TACGAGTACACCTGCCCACAACCCACTGAGTGTTCAACAGTTTTTGACCAGAAATGGCATGACCCCCATGCCCCAACCCCCCATTTACCTAATCTCACCCCAAGTGACTTTTTTATGTGTGTCCGTGGATGAAAAAAGTCCTGAAAGGGAAGCATTTTGCTGATGTGTAAGAGGTGAAACAAAAATGGCAGAAGCACTAAAAGGCATCAGAATGGACAAGTTCAAAAATTGTTTTGAACAGTGGAAAAATTGTCTCAAGGGGTGTATTGCATAAAATGGAGAGTACTTTGAAGGTGACTGAAGTTTAAACATGTAAGAATAAGTACACACTTTTTTATAAACAAATCCCAATTTTTGAGTCCCCCTTGTCCATGCACCCCTGTGTTCATTGCAGCATTATTCACAGTTGCCAAGATTTGGAAGCAGCCCAAGTGCCCATCAGCAGATGAGTTGCTAAAAAGGCTGTGGTCCACTTACACAAAGGCATACTACTTGGCTGTCAAAAAGAAAGAAATCTTACCCTTTCTGACAGCATGGATGGAGCTGGAGAGCACTGTGGTGCTCAGTGAAATAAGCCAGTCAGAGAAAGACAAGTACCGCGTGATTTCACTCACACATGGGATCTAGTTAACAAAATGAGCTAAGAAAGTAGAATCAGACTCACAGAGGACAGACTCACAGCTGTCAGAGGGGAGGAGAATTGCACAGCTGGGTGAAGAAGGTGAGGGGATCATGCAAAAATACAAAAAGCTCATAGACACAGACAACAGTATGGTGATTACCAGAGGGAAAGCGGGTGGGGGAGAGAGAGAAGGCATGGGGGGATACATGGTGATGGAAGGAGATTTGACTTGAGGTGGTGAACACACAACACAATATATAGATGATGTGTTATATAATTGTACGCCTGAAACCTATATAACTTTATTAACCCATGTCACCACAATCAATTCAATAAGAAAGAAAAGAAGCCAGGCTCGGCCAAGGACCTACTTCTGCCTCAGGGCCTCCCCTGTGGATCCACAGAAGTTCACCATCTGGCTGAGCAAGGAGCAACTTAGCACCAAGAGAGGTGGTGGGGGCACCAGGCAGCGAAGGGGGCAGAGGGCAGGGCGAGGTTAGCGGGGTGTGTCCTGGCAGAGGAACAGCTCCCTCCCCCTTCTAGCTGCACTGGGTCTGCTCTTGGTGATGCCCATGCTGGGCTCCCAAAGGTTGCATCATTATTTTGGTGTACTCATTATAAAAGAGTTGAATGGGAATTGGAATCCATTTGCATCATCCCAAGATGTACCAAATTGCACTTGTTGATGATAGAAAAGATAGTCGATTCTTTAAGTTCAACTGCTGGAAATTTTTAAATGATTGTAGAAATGATTTAAAAATTTTTCAAGTCGTGCTGGCTGTTTGGTGTAGCTCAGTGGATTGAGCGCGGGCCTGCAAACCACATGATCGCGGTTCAATTCCCAGTCAGGGCACATGCCTGGGTTGCAGGCCAGTTCCCAGCAGGGGACTCACGAGAGGCAACCATACATTGATGTTTCTCTCCTTCTCTCCTTCCCTTTCTCTCTAAAAATAAATAAATAAAATCTTTAAGAAAATTTTTTTCAAGTCATTTCACTGTGTATATCAAATCATCATGTTGTACACCTTAAATAGATACAATTTTTATTTGTTAATTATACCTGAATAAAGCTGGAAAATAAATACATAAACATTTTTTAAATTGTGTAGACATGTTTATGATGTAGCAAAAATTTAAAGAGCTCATCAGTAAGGAGCCTTGATAAGGAATTTCATGTATCCATTTCAAATATAAAATGTATTTTTGTGGAAGCTCAAGATTCTTTTTTCTCCCTCGTTTAAAGAGTACTTTAATTTATGTAATTGAGATGTACTCGATATATAGAATTTAGTTTCAGGTGCACAACATAATGATATTCGCATATGTTGCAAGCGATCACACAACAAATCTAGTTAACGTGTATCTCCATAGTTATAACATTTTTTTCTTGTAGTGAGGACTTTTCCAATCTCTCTTAGCAACTGGGTGGCACTGGTGGTTGAGATCAGTGCAGCTGCAAAAGATTCCGCAACCTGTGAAGGGGGAAACCTCCATCTTTCTCGAGTCCTCACCACTCCTGCCATAACCCCATGCAGTCACCGAGTTCTGAGTATTCTCCACCTCAGAATTATTTCCTGAATCCGGGCCATCCCCACTGCCAAAGCCTCAGATCCACTCTCATCGGCATCACATCCCTGGCCTGCTGCTGTGGGGTCTGCCAGCTACAAATTGAGAGAGTCAAATTTAACAAAGTCAAATTGAAATAGTCAAATTTAAGTCCCCATGGTTTCTTAAAGCTCTAAAATAAGATTTGCAATTTAATCTCATGATAATGAATTCCAGAGTTTTCATGAAATAATTCATAGATACTCCTTTGTTTATCCAAGTGACTATAAAATTTCTTTTATAAATATTTTGGGGGGGTTAATTGATTTGAGAGACAGAGAGGAAGGGGGAGAGAAACATGAATTTGTTGCTTCATTTATTTATGCATTTATTAGTTGCTTCTCGTACGCGCCCTGACTGGGCACGAAACCGCACCCTTGTGTGTATCTGGTCAACGCTCTACCCAACGGAGCTATTTGACCAGGGCCGGATATAAAATTTCAATGCACTAAGTAAAATAAGTGCAATAATTTTTAAAAGCCTTGAAATCTCGTATGACCTTTTGTCTTGGAAAGGTCAGCTCAGAAGTCAACAACTTCCATGGTTCCTCCCCTTCTTCTAGTAACCCCATTCCCACAGACGTCAGTCTCTTAACAAGTCCAAACAAGGAGTAAAGCATCGAGGGTTTCAAAATGTGCACATACAATGTTTTCAACAAAGGGATGACCAACATCAATTAAAAAGGAATCTGAAAGAAAACAGCAACATCATTATAGGAGTGGAAGGGGAGCGGCGGGGGGGGGGGGGCTGCAGGCTCACAGTGCTGCCTCCGCACTCCCCACCCCTCCCCTTTTCAGAGGTGCTGTGGTGACCTTTTCACCGGGGAATGCGATGCATTTTCAGGGATATCGTTACTGTCTAGAATCCCAACAGGCCTTGTTATAAGCAGGCGCTTGTATCGATTGCTGTTACACGTGGATACAAGAAAATGAAGGAATGTCCACGTGCGTTGTCACCTGTCTTGCAGCAAAAGAGCCTGAGGACAAGCACCCGGAGTGGGTGCCAGCACCAAAGATGGCCTTTTCTCCTCGGTGTATCTTCTGCAAGAAATCCCTCCATCTTATCGGGAGACAGGGTACAGTCTTGAGAGCGTCAGCTCCCAGATACCCTGCCAAGTCTTGGAGTGCAAATCGAGGTGAAATTTTAGCTTAGAAGAGTTTACTTTAGGACTCGAGCTCAAATGGATTTGTAACAGAATCAAAGGCAGAGAGAAAAGTAAGTGGCACCAACAGTTTCACACTTTTTCACACGGGGAAACCTTTATAGCGTGATAAACTAGCTTTGTTTAGTAGTGAGAATGGAGTGGATACTGAATAATCAGGGCACCTTCCTCTCTACGGGCCAAATGCAGCTTCGGAATTTTTCTCATTGTTCTACCCTAGGCAGGAACTACTCACTGAGGCTGGCCCTGGAGTGGAAACATTTGTCCTCCCTCAGGTAACCAGAGCAATGATCAGGTTTAGAGGGTAAAAACCGAATCTGTTTACGTTGCTCTATTACTAATCTTTTAATGACGTTATAATGATTCCCAGTGGCCTAACTTGGCATATATGGAAGAAACTAGTGGAGTGCTTTTTTCATTGGTGTTACTTCAGGTCCTCCTTCTTTAGAAAGATCTTGGAGGGTGGGGGCAGGGGGAAGAAGCTACCGCTGTGTGAACTCAAACATTAACAAATAAAAGTAAGTGCATATTGTTCTTACCATCATGTGATCTGAGCTATTTGAGTGGAATCATAAATCTTGAGAACATAGGACTACCTAGACCAACCTCACATTCAGCGAGAAACCAAGTACGAACAGGGAGTCAAAGAGAAACCTACTCTCATTGTTTGGAGTTGCTGGGCCGAGTGCGGCAGCTCCGTGTTTGCTGCAAGATGGCTCCTCTTGCAGTGAACTTTGCAGAAGCCAAACAGCCTCTCCAGGGAAGCCTGGGAGCAGGGCCTCCACCAGGGCAAAAGCTCCTTTCCCTAAAAACAAGTTAAATCGTATCCCTTCCCTTCTCAGACTCTTCAAGAAGTATCAGGTCAGGGGAGGGGGAGACTGGAAGAAAGGAGGTGAAGGGATTAGCCAAAGAACAGGCGCAGGACCCGTAGACACGGCTACCAGTGCGGTGATGGCCGGAGGGAAGGGGTGAATGGGGGGCGCTGGGTGGAGGGGGGCAAAAGGGGGCCATGGGGACATCTGTAATAGTGTCAACAAGAAAAATAAAGTTGAAAAAAGAAGCGTCATAGGAACAGTCTCAGGCGCTACTGAAAATTATAAATTCATAGAAATACAGACATAATAAACGTCAGAGAGGGTGGTCTAAAACAGTTTTCCTTTGCCCGTTTTAAAACCTAAATCCCCCGGAGCCCCGCCAACCCGGTCACCGGTTGAAGCGCTCTCAGGGAGCGTGGGGCCAGGGGGTGGCGGGAGGAAGGGCGGGCTTGGGGCAAAGTGGCCGGTTTCACCCAGAAGTTACCCTGATACCGGGCGTGTTCTGTTCCCCGCGCTCTCCGGCAGCCCCCGAGGACCACCCACGGCAGCCGAGGGCCTTCGCAGCCGCCTGCGCCGCACCTCGGGGGCATCTTCGACGGGGGACACGTTCACGTTGTCAAACACATCGACCTGGGACACGGGCCTTCAGGCTACGTCACTGTTGAAAGTCACACCCAGTCTACAACTCGTCCGAGAAGCAGCTGCCCCTCGTCGCCAGGAGCAAAGGCCCCCGCGGGTCCCCGCCCCCGGTCCCGCCCCCGCCCCCGCCCAAGTTCATTACTGTGTCCCCGAGACGCACCAGCCGGTGACTCTTCAGGGGCCGCGCTCACAGGCCCTGCCGCTCTGGGGATGGAGGGGACGGAGGGGATGGAGAGGACCGAGAGGACGGAGAGGAGGGCTCGGAGCTCCTCCAGAGAGGCCCACGGGAGAGGCGGCAGGGCCCCCCACAAGGAGAACAAGAGGGCGAAGGCGGAGCGGGGCGGTGGAGGCCGCGGGCGCCGGGATGCGGGGCGCGAGCCGAGGGACCACGGGCGGGCAGGGAGGCCCGCGGAGCCCCGCGCGCCCGCGGCCACCGTGGTGGACGTGGATGAGGTCCGGGGCTCCTGCGAGGAGGGCACCGAGGTGGTGGCGCTGCTGGAGAGCGAGCGGCCCGAGGAAGGTACAGCGGGCAGGTCGGGGACCGGGAGGGAGAACGGCCTTTCCAAGTGGTGCCCAAGGGATGTCGGATAAAGCGGAACGAGTCGCCGCGCCCAGAGCCACAGAGGCTGGAGCCTGCTGGACTCACTCCTCGGCGGTAGCTACCAAACGCATCGGAGAAATGCAGATAACTTCAACTAACCACCGTTGGTCTCGAGGGCCAGCCAAGGATGGGAGGTGGGAGGGAGCGTGGTCCAGGCTGGGGCCCAATCCACATGGCAAAGGAACCACAGCCGCTGGTTTCTGTGGCCATGCGAGCGTATACAGGGCTCCTAATTTCAGTTAAAGGCATGATGAGCCCGTGGCTCTGGGCACCTGTGCGGCCTATTCTTCCCTCCTCCGTCCACCCCTCAGTCCCACCTAAAAGCACGTTAAGGTTTCTTTGGGGTGATCGTTTTTTTCTGGAAGTAGAGGCAGCAGAGGCAAGTGGAGAAGAGCCAGACCTGGGTTTAAATCTCAGCTCAGCTGCTTGCTAGCCGTGCGCTCATTCGTAGGGATCGGACCAGGCCTGACTCACACAGGGTGCTGAGTTGTGAGGCTATGAAATGCTGCATCCAAGTGCACGAAGCCTGATGCAAGGAACACACTCCACTAAGCCAGGACCCCTGCTGGCCGAGAGCGACGCAAGTGAGGCCGCAGGCAGGAATCACCCCAACACAGAAGTAAGAGTTTGGCTTCCGCAGGTGAAGCAACCTTAGGAACAAATGTTTCTGCTTCCAATCCTCTTTATAATGAATGAAAGGAAAAACATTTATCACGCCTTAGGCATACGATGAAGCTTAAAGGAAATTGAATAGGGTAGGTGCGTTGTGTCCCTTTCCGCTGGCTTTGGAATTATAACGCATCCTGGTCACAGTGTTGCAGGGAGTGCTGGGCATGGAGGGCGATGATTTGAGGATGATTCCTGCGGTCAGGGCCATGGTTGTAGGGACCATGTTAATGCTGTTTTGCCCAAGTGATGGCCTTCCATCAGTCAGAAACTCCCAGTTATTAAATGGTCCTTGGGTTCAATGCCACAGTAATGCTGAGGTTTAAGGTCTTGTATGTGCTCAGACCACAGTGGACGGGGAGGCAAGGAAGGAAGCCCAAATGTTTTACTGAGTATTATCATTCCCTTGTCACAGATGAGGAAAAATGCTGAGAAATTAAGTAACTTGCCCAAGACCTCCAGCTGGAAAGTGAAGGACCAGACTTCTAGAGTAAGACAGTGCGGTGGAAAAGCCCCTCCAGGCACAGGGCTGCCCCTGGTCTCTGGTCGCGGTCCCAGCACTGCCACCTGTGTGGGCTTCACTCAGTCTCTCCAGCGATCAAGTGGCTAGAGCCCAGGACCCTAAGCAGTGGATGAGAAGGTCTCACTGAGGATGAGGCGGCCTTGCTGAGCCCTCGTCTGGGAGATTTCTGTGGCTCTGGGGAGTGGGGAGCAAGAAGCACAATGTCCGCTCCTCTGCCTCACTTAGCACCACACTGCGCCAACCAGGTTACTTCACCTGCCACAGGCCCACCCAGCCCTTCACACAGACGGTGCCCTGGCTCAGTGAGCGACCGCCCCCATATCCAGCTCACTCTACTGTTCCCACCAAAGTCTACAAACTGCTCTGATCCTAATACCAAGGACTGGACCAACAGCTGCCAGTCAGTGAAGATGGTGACGTTTCAATATTCTTCTTTGTTTAAGGTACCAAGTCTTCCGGTTTAGGGGCCTGCGAGTGGCTCCTCGTCCTCACATCCCTGCTCTTCATCATCGTGACCTTCCCTTTTTCTATCTGGTTCTGCATAAAGGTGAGATCCCACGAGGACCCAGTAATTTCCTGGAGCCTCTCGGTAGCCAGTACATGTCCTCTCTTACTTCTGTGTTTCCATACGGGCTGTCTGCTCTGCCCGGAATGCCCTCCCCACTCACCTTCCAGGAACGCGCTCACTCCTTTCAGACTTTGCCCGGCTGCAGCTGCGTGAAGCCTTCCTTGACTCCCCCGACTGTCATTCCCTTGCTCGTGCTCTGGTGTCATTCTGCTTCCATGTCCATTGTAGTAGCAGTTGCCACATGGATCGATGTGATATTATATGGCAGATGGGCCCAGAAGAGATCATGATGTCCACTTCTCAGGCAGTTCCCACGGACCACGAATGACAATTATCTCTGGCCCATTGGGTGGTTACACTGCCCATCTCTGAAGTAAATGCAGACCTGCATCGGTTTGGGAAGCACATACAAGACAGAATGAGAAGTGCAAGGGCTTTATTGGGCAGCACTGTCTGTGCGATATTAAGCAGGGAGAGAACAGGAGCCGGCAGGGAAAACCCTCAGGTGATGACGCAGGTCTGACCCTGGTGCTACGTGAAAAGGAAGGAAGGGGTGACTTGGAGAAAGTCTTGGCCAGTCTGAAAGGGAACTCCAGGGCAAAGTCTGCTTTCTAGAGCAGTCCCACGACGGGCGGAAATGGCCAGGCGCTGGTGCCCTGCCATTCTTAGTCATTGTCTGGAGCTGTCTGGCAAGAGCTTGTCCTTGACTGGGACACTATGGATGCTGCTGAGGCCAATGGTGACTGCTCTTCCTTCCTCCTCCTCCTCTTCCTCTTTGCCTTTGTCATAAAAGAACATTGCATTTTGTCAAAAGTCTTTTCTGCATCTATTGAGCTGATCACGTGGCATTTCCCCTTTATTCTATTGATCCTGTGTCTTACAATCGATTGGATGTTAAACCAACTCTGTGTTCCTTAGGTAAGTCCCACTTGGTTATGGTGTATAATTCTTTAATATGGCTTATTTTAGTATCAGGGTAATACTGGCCTCAGGGATTGAATTGGGAAGATTCCTCCTCTTCTATTTTTGGGGGCAGAATTTGTGACTCACTGGTACCACTTTTTCTTTAAGTGTTTTGCAGAATTCACCAGTGAACTCATCTAATCCTGGATTTTTCTCAGTGGGAAAATTTCAAACCACTAATTCAATCTTTTACTTCTAGTTCTTTCAGTTTTTCTTTTTCTTCTTGAGTCAGTTTTGGTAGTTGGTATATCTATAGAATTTGGGCCTTTTCATCTACATTATCTAATTTATTGGCCTATAATTCATAGTACTTTCTCTTGTAATATTTTATTTATTTCTGTAAGGACAGTATTGATGTCCCTGAAATCATTCTTTTTGATTCTGGGTTTTAGCAATTTGATCTTCACTGTTTTTTTTTTGAGGGGTGGGGTGGGGTGGGGTTTTTTTTGGCGGGGGTGGGATGGTCATTCTAGCAAAATGTCAAATTTTGTTGATCTTTTCAAAGAACAGGCATTTGGTTCTTCAGATTTTCTCTACTGGTTTTCTATTTTCTACTGCATTTATTTCCACTCCAATCTTTATTATCTTCTTTCCACTTGCTTTAGGTTGAGTTTGTTCTTCTATTTCTAGTGTCATAAGGTAGAAAATTAAGGTATTATTTTGAGATGTTTCTTGTAGTTGGAAACAAAATATAAGAATTGGTATTAAAATATACCCCTCTTTCTGCTAAATAGCTAATAATTGATACATAGGAAAGCTAATAATGCAGCAGTCACAGAAAATAAAGACAGCATGCGGTGGTGAGCATGCTGTGATTTCTTTGATTTAGGAAATATTCATGGAAGCATTATTTTTTTTAGATAATTATGACTCTTTAATCAAAATTCTGTTCATGGGCTCAAAGGTTAACATGGCCGATAAGCTTTTTTATTGGTTTCTGAAATTCTACACTTAAATGTAAATATTGAAAAACCGGAGTATTTTTTCTTGGTTATCAAAACAAAAGGTTCCTGATATCTGGGATTGCTTTAGCACAAATGCCTTCTGAAGACTTTCTTTGTCTTTCTTGGGTTGATTCAGAAGTGTTGAATTTATCTTTAGGTTGTACAGGAATATGAGAGAGTAATTGTACTCCGACTAGGACACCTGCTTCCTGGAAGAGCCAAAGGCCCTGGTAAGAACCTGCTATAGACATGCCAATTTCTTCAATCCATGCATATTTGCAACGTGGACCTCTGATTACATGAAGCGACTTGATTCATGGTGTCTCCATTTCCTGATCTGTTGTTTGTAACACGGGTTGTAAGAAATCCTACCAGGTCACAGTGAGCCAGAGAGAAGACGGATGGGTGCAGAGAGCTGAATGCCAGGGCCAGGCTGGCTGGAGTAACACGTAGGCATTCACCTGTCACTTTCTCCTCCCCTACCCGCTTCTAGGCCTTTTCTTCTTCCTGCCCTGCCTGGACACCTACCACAAGGTCGACCTCCGTCTCCAGACCTTGGAGATACCCTTTCACGAGGTGAGCCAAATGATGGATTTTTCTTTCTACATTTTACATGGCTGCTGTCAATGCTACCAGTTTCAATCCAGGGCAAAATGATTATTGAAGATAGAAAGCAGAAAAAGGAACTAGAGAGTGCACTCCATCAAAATTAAAAACTCCTGTATAGCAAAGGCCATAACACAATGAACAGACAACCTATGGAGTGGAAGAAAATATTTCCAAATAACATGTCTGATAGAGGGTTAATATCCAGACCATATAAAGAAATCTTATAACTCAACAAGAAAACAAAATAAATAAATATAAATGGGAAAATGGACTTGTGATGGTTAATTGTACATATCAATCTGGCTAAGCTCTGGTACCCAGGTATTCGCTCAGAAACATCTGGATGTTGCTGTGAAAGTATTTTTTAGATAGGATCAATATTTAAATCAGCAGACTTCGAGCAAAGCACATTACACTCCATACTATGACAGCATAACTTCTTTCTCATTCTTTCTTTTGTGAAATAGAACTATAAGTATAAATTATATATATATCTATATATTTAAATAGTTTATTTATTTATTTTTAGAGAGAGAGGATGGGAAGGAAAAAGAGTAGGAGAGAAGCATCAATGTGTGGTTGCCTCTCATGTGTCCCCTACTGGGGACCTGGCCTGCAACCCAAGCATGTGCCCTGACTGGGTATCAAACCAGCAACCCTTTACTTCACAGGCCGGTGCTCAATCCATTGAGCTACACCAGCCAGGGAAGAAATTATATATATATTTAAAGGCTTATTTTAGATAATAAAATGTGAAAAAGGAAGAAATTAAGCATACTTATAATCCTAGCACCTATGGATAGATGTCGATATCTTGGACTGTATCCCTTCAGACTTACCTAGGTGTGTGGTTATGGTTACAGACAAGAATGCATATCAAACCACACATTCTATTTGGTAGCATAACTGTATTCACCCAACAATTTTTGTGATCATCTTTTCATATACTAGCTACGTTTCTACCCTTTTATTTTTTTCTACCCTTTTATTTTAAAAGGACACGTAGCCTTCTATTGTATGAAGGCACGTACCACAATTTACAATTCCCTGTTGTTGATATCAAGTTGTTTCCAATCTTTCATTACAGTAGGCAATACTGTAAATAACATCCTTGCAGCTAAACCCTCATAGTACGTCCCGTGATAGTGTCTGCACGAGGAAACGCTGAGAAGATGTCCCATCACAGCTTTGGAGGCACGTCACCAACCTGCCCTCTAGCATGTGCCCAGCCAGTGGAACACCCGAGGGCTTGTGTACCATGCTTCTCTTTGGGCACATTTTTTTTAGGCATCAGTTCAAAAAGACCTGATAAACAACTGATTTTTTTCATATAAGAGAAGTCTTCCTGATTTTTTTTTACAAAAGGGTTTACAAGAGAATTCCTTTAAATTGTGCGTTCTTTAGCGTAGTTAATAAAAAACTCCATACTCTTCGAAAACACCTATTTTGAATAAAGGGTAGACCAAGTGACGCATGCACTGACAAGCAGTGCCCGCGGCGTCATGGATGAGACATGAGACAAATTCACACGGACTACTGAGTCCTGTGGAGGAAAAGGGCCGGCGAGGCTACTCCCTCAGGGGGGGAGCGCCTCAGAACAGCCCCGCCACCCTCTCAAGGGGAGAGCGGCTTGGAGCAGCCGGGCAATTCTCTCGCCATGGAAGAGAGAGCGCCCCAACCTTTGCCTAGTCAGGCTTTTATTGGGATTTTTGCACAGGAGTTCAGGTATAGCTTATTAATCATTGTCAAGCAGTAAACAGTAGACAGCATACAAAGAACCATTAGGGCTTCTTCTAAATCAGGGCCTGTCAGCTAAAGGGCTACAGAACTTTGGGAACATAAACTCTTCTTCTGCTCAGGCCCTTCTCATCTAACTGAAAGCATTCTTAAACAAAGCAGGTCTCGCTGGGTTTCACATATCCCTTCCCAGGCCTAATTATCCAGGGAGCCCACCATTCCCAGCACAAGGCTTGCACCGCCTTCCCCACCATAGGTTTTTAGGCTTAAGTGGATTACAGCCAGGAAGCGCTTCTCCCAGAGGACATGGGGACTCTGGGTTCATCACAGTCGGGGGGACAGGGTGCATCACTCCCTCTTTGTTGCAGCTCCCAGAGTCCTTCCATGATGGCCTCCCAAGTGATCGTGTCTGGCCTAGGTCGCCCCTCCTCTGAGGGGTCTCACCTGTCTCTGACCTTCCGACCATATTTTGGGGGCACGGAGATGGAGCAGGGGCAGCATCTGCTGCCAGAGACAAGCCTTGTCTCTTCAGTGGCTCACGTTCCCAAGGTCACTCACAGCCTGAGACATGGGAGATGGTTTACAATTCCTGAAACCAGGCAGGGCGGTCCCCAACAACCAAGCATTCATTTTTTTTTCTTGTTATAATCTTACTCTGAGAATCCTCTTGAACACATTTAGTTCCTCGAACCCTGCACGGGGAAGGAGCCGAAGAACCGGGCTCTACATCTCCTTTTTTCCGCCTAGGTCGTGACCAAAGACATGTTTATAATGGAGATAGATGCCATCTGCTACTACCGAATAGAAAACGCCTCTCTTCTGCTAAGCAGTCTCGCTCAGGTGTCCAAGGCGGTCCAGTTCCTCGTGCAGACCACCATGAAGCGCCTGCTGGCACACCGGTCCCTGGCTGAGATTCTCCTGGAGAGGAAGAGCCTCGCCCAAGATGTAAAGGTGCTTCGATCAATTTAACATAGAACGGGTTGAAATCTCTCTTTACGTTTTCTTTGTTTTTCTCATTGGTCATTTGTTGCACCTTCCATGTGCCGGGCATTCCCTGGCGAAGGCGCCACCCTTTAGGGAGCTGAAAGGTAAGTGCAAGGTCACCAGACTGACCCTGAGCCAATCACAGTCACTGGTCTGGTGCAGGTTAGTCAGTTACTGCCACTGTTTGCTCTCAGCCCCACTCCAGTGCTTTGGACTCCTCGTCAAGTGCCCACATAGCACAAAGTGGTGGCATCAGGAGATGGCATTAGGAGCCTGTCAAGGAGGCCATGGGGCACAGAACTGAGATGGGGGGTTATGACACACGACTGGCTGAGAGGGGGAACCTCCAAGTAGAAGGATCTAAGGAACCAAAGGTACCGATGATGATTGGGTGGGTGGGGCCTGAGCAGACACTAATCTGAGAAGACAAAGAATGTTCTCGAGTTGCCCCACTTTTCACTGATGAAACGGTGATTAACCTCCCCGTGGAAAAGGGAAGAAACCAGGAAATAAGAGAAGCTAAAAAAAGGAAGAGTGATAACAAGAGGGACATCAGGGGAGTCGATGCTCTGGAATTTCAAAACCACCCAAGTGCGCTCCCCCTCTGCCCCCACCCTCTCTTCCTGTCCATCCCCCCCCCAAAGGGTAAGGGATCAAGTCCAGACTCTTGACATTCCAGCTTGCCTTGTTACCTTGAATTATACTTTATGGATTTATCCATTTGTCTTCCCAGGCTATGAACTCCATGACAGGGGTCACATTTTACTCACTTCTTTGTCCTCGGTACCTGACACGGGGCTGCCACACAGCAGCCTGATGATGTGTTTTGGGCGAGAAGAAATGGTCCTGCTGTCTCGGCCTCGCCTCTTGCTGTCCTTCCCCCAGTGTATCTGATACTGCAGCAGCCTACTTGGCGTGCCTCCAGCTGCCATGCCTCCGCTCAGGCTGTTTCCTCTGCAGGGAATCCTTCCCTTTTCCCCATAGGCAAATCCTATTTGTTTTTTAAGATGCCGCCTCCTCTGTGACTCTTTCAACATTCCTTCCTCTCACCAACCTCCCAATGAGTCAGTCTTCTCAGGATTCTCAATGCACTAGGTTATTAGTTATCCAGCCACTAAGAAATCATCAGATATTATTAAAAAGGAAAAGAATGTGAATGTACATGTGGCGCTCCATGCCTTGTCCCTTTTTCCAGAACCCACAGTTCATTTTCTCCTGCCTCCTGGGACTGGGACGTGGGGGGGGGGGTGATGGAAGCCACCAGTAGGAAGGACGAGCCAGCACCTGTTATCGAAAGCCATTTGGGAGCGAGGTTATAGACTCTGGTTCTCTAATAAGGGCATATTATTTTATTTTGTTTTCAGCCTCACCTGAGGACTTTTTAATTGCTTTTTTTAGAGAGAGAGAAAGGGAGAGAGGGAGTGAACAAAAGAGAGAAACATTGATGAGAGAGAAACATCAACTGGTTGCCTCCTATAGAACCCTGACCAGGGAGCGAACCCGCATGTGCCCCCAACCAGGGATCGAACCATGCAAACTTTTGGGTTGCGGGACAACATTCCAACCAATGGAGCCACACTGGCCAGGGCCTAATAAATGCATTTTAAAACAGACTTAACAACTACATCACCTGTATTACTTCCCATTGCTTTTATTACAAATTGCCACAAACTTGGTGGCTTAAAACAAAGTCAATTTAATCTTTAACAGCTTTGAAGGCCAGAAGTCCAAAATCAGTTTCACTGGGCCAAAGTCAAGGTCAAAGTCAGCAGGGCTGGTTTCTAATGGAGGTTCTGAAAGGAGACTCCATTTCCTTGCCTTTCTCAGTTCATGGCCCTTCCTCCATCTTCAACGGACACTGCTGGGGTCTCCGCTTCCACCCCCACCTCACCTTCTCTTCCACAGTCAGGGCTCCCTCTGCCTCCCTCCAGAAAGACACTTACAGTGCCCCCCCAACCCCCCTGAGGTTGTCACTGACATCTCAACTCTTCCCTTCACAGGTGGCCTTGGACTCAGTGACCTGTATTTGGGGACTCAAAGTGGAGAGAACAGAAATGTGGGTAGGAAATTATCAGAAAAAAAAGTGATAAATCAAAATATTTTGGTTTCATTTAAAAATTTTTATTCGATAACTTCTTTTCATTGCATGAGTATGACTATAGCCATATATTTGGGGGGGAAATAGAAAAAAATGCCAATCATCTCATACATTCACAATCACTGTGACAGGTGGGCAAATTACTTTCACATTTTCTCTCCATGGACTAAAAAATGTTTTGAAATAAAACTCAGCTTTATGATCATTTATTAAGTTATATAATGTTTGATCATTGGGGTGTACACCTGAAACTAATATAATAATACATGTCAACTGTAATTAAAAATAAAAAATGATTTAAGAAAGATATGCAAAATTTTAAAAACTCATTGTTTAAACCATTTTAAAGTACAATTTGGTGGGTTTTAGTATATTCACCAAGTGCTGCGGCCATTGCTACCATCCAATTCTAGAACATTTTTATTGCCCCCAAAAGAAAGCCTACATCCATTAAGCAGGAACTCCTCATTTCTCCTCACCCTCCAGCCCCTGTTAACCACTAATCTGCTCTCTCTCTGGGCTGGCCTATTCTGGCCATTTCATATAAATGCAGTTCTACCATATGTGGCTGTCATGTCTCCAAGGTTCATCCACATGGTAGCGTGAATCAGGACGTCGTCCCTTTCTATGGTCGAACATTATTCCATTGTGTGACTGCACCACGTTTGCTTGTCTGCTGACTGACTGATGGGCTCTTGGATTGTTTCCACTCTGGGGCTGTCATGAATAATGCTGTGATGAACATCCATTCACGCGCGAGTTTTCATGTGAACATGTTTTCAGTTCCCTTGGGTAGATACCTCTGCATAGAATTTCTGGGTCGTACAGTAATTCTATATTTAACTCTCTAAGGAACTGCCAGACTGTTTTCTGTCTATGTATTTTCATAGTTACATTCAGGATAAAAATAAGATTTTGTGTCTTTTATGCAATACATTAAGTATTGTTCTTAGTAAGTCATTTCTACTGTTTCCAAGGTCACTTCTCTTGTACAAATGCAGATGGCTTTCCTTATTATTATAGCATGGCTCTTCAAGGCTTTTTTATTGTTCAATTTTAATAGCTGGGATTTAGATTAAAATAAGTGGAAAAAATCAACGTAATCCATCAACACAGAATGTGTTCCACATGGAGAGAGAACACCATAGCTCTACTGTAGCATCAGTGATCATAAAAATCTGCATTTGAGGCACTGCCCCTGGAGACAGTCTGCCCACTGTCTAACCAGAGACCCCAGGACGGCACTTGTTAGATTCGAGTCGGCTGTGAAGCGTGAAACAACATCGAGGGAAGCGGTTAGACTGTACGGGAACTCTGACTGCTAAAAGCAGCGTCCTACCTACCTAACCAGGTTCTTTCTTTTCCAGTAAGGACGTGAGGCTGCCCGCCGGGCTCCAGCACTCCCTGGCCGTGGAAGCCGAAGCGCAGAGACAGGCCAGGGTGCGGGTGAGCCAGTGCCCCACAGGCCATCCGCCCAAGGGGCTGTTCTTTGAAGAGCTCTGGAAAATCCAAATGGCCTGCTCACATAGAGCGTTTTCCCTTTGCTTCCTCACGTCCTAACTCCTACCATGCCCCCATTCATCCAGGCTCTGGGAGGGATCCGCCTCCTGCCCCCAACTCCAGCCAACTCTATTAAAATCGCTGTCTTAAAGTGTGGTTAGTAGCTCCTATCTGAGTAATGCAGCATCTCTTTCCCCATCACACCCTCTGTCTGAGGCTGTTGGTAATGGTGACCCTCTCCTCCCTTTTGAGTCTTGCCTTCCCTCTCTCTCCCTTAAGGCTTCTTACCACTCTTCATTCTTTTTCTCTTACACTGGCAGCTTTCCTGGGTAAAATGAGTCCCCTGTCACCTCTAGGTTAATGACACCCAGACCTGTCTCCCTAGCTCTGTGCAAGCTCCGGAGGGACTACCAGGATCAGGGCCATTCCCTCAACACCAGGGTCGAGAGAAGGCTGTGACCACCCAGCAGCTACCAAGTTGTGTGGGTGGGAAGGGGTGCTGGGAAGAGGACTGTGAGGGCCGAAGGGGAAGCTGGTTTCTTTCCAAGAGAAAGCAGGTTGGGGGACCCCGAACCACAGAGAAGGTTGGTAGCTGGGGGGAAGCAGATAGGAAGGGGAGGAAGACGTGCCCTGGGCAGAGTTGTGTCCAGTCCTCTGTGCCCACTTTAAGGTGAGATTCAGGTGGTGACATGGGTGCTTTTTCTTCTCAAATGCTTACCTTTGAGATTTCAAAATGAAAAGCATTCATTTTGCTTCACTTGGGAGTCACCCTTTCAGGATTCCATGTTTTTGCCTGGCACATCGGCCAGCCTTCTCTCTATATGCAAAACCCTACTAATCTTCCAGGGCCCACTAGTCATAATCCATAACTCCCCAAACACTTCTCTCTACTTGCCAGGGTCCTTAACAAATTCTGTCCTAACTTACAATTAATAGTGTAATCTGTATCCCCTAGAGCGAGACCCTTAAAAACGAAGACCATCCGTTCTATGCTTAACAGCACCTGCCTGCCATGTAATAGATGCTCCGTGCTTGCTGAATAGTGATTGAAGCTCTCAAAGAACGAAGAAGAAAAAATCACTCTGCTTTTCTTCACGCCTGTTCTCTAGATGATCGCTGCGGAAGGGGAGAAGGCTGCCTCCGAGTCCCTGAGGATGGCGGCCGAGATTCTATCGGGCACTCCAGCCGCTGTGCAGCTCCGATACCTGCACACTCTTCAGTCCTTGTCCACAGAGAAGCCTTCCACCGTGGTCTTACCTCTGCCGTTTGACATGCTGAATTTCCTGTCTTCTCCCAGCAGCAGAACTCAAGGAAGCATCCCCTTCCCTAGTCCTTCCAAACCAGTTGAACCACTGAATCCTAAAAAGAAAGACTCCCCCATGTTATAGGAGGCGCAAAGGACAATGAGAATGTGCAGGGGCCTGCCACCTAACAGCCACGTCCCTCGGTGTTCTCACATCCCTCCCTTCCTTCCGTCTCCAGGTAGAACATCCTTGGAATGTATGATGCCGTCATGCATGAGAAGACTGTGAAATCATGTCATGTAGGAGAAGCCATATAACAAGTTTAGGTGGACCATCTAATCAAACTACTTATGGGAAAGAGCTTTAGCCAACATGCTACTTTGGAAAGGATTTTGAGTCTATATACGGCTAGATGTAGACTTCTGAAGATGCAGTTCAAAGGTCCTCGGTGCTGTAAGCCCTCCGGCCCATTGGTAAGGTCTTTCCTGCTCCCAGGCCCTTTTGACAGGCCCGTCATTGTGCTTATCACACGGGAATGTGTAATCCTGTACTTAAGATGCAGGCTTCTCTCCCTCTTTACTGGGAACTCAGAGGTACATCTTAGGCATTTTCTCCAACTGCACACTCAACCTCATACACTCCGTCGTCCCAAAGCCTCACACCTAATCCTGATACCTGCACCGTAGTCACATTTACATGTTCCTGAGTGAGTCAAAGTAAGAGAGATGTACTTGGGCTGAATATAAAGAAATAATTTAAAAGGAGTTTCTTTTATGGAGACTCCTTTATTAATAGAGAAATAAAAGGACAAAACCATTTATCTGATACATGTTGCTTAAAATCTGAGGAAGCAGCACTACAAAAATAGGGCTGATGTATTTTCAGTATAGAATTGACTAGCTGGCTTGTTTTTCAAACAGTAATAACACTATGTGATCTATACATACCCTTAAGTATTCTTTTCTTATATATCATAGATATTCCCTGATACGAATATATTTTGATAATATAATTGGTCTCATTTTCCATTAACTTGCCTTAGGCAATTAGAAACATATATCATTGAGCACGGGCCTGCGAAGCAGACAATCGCGGTTCGATTCCCAGTCAGGGCACATTCCTGGGTTGCAGGCCAGTTCCCTGCAGGCCAATTCCCAGCAGGGGACGCACGAAAAGCAACCATACATTGATGTTTCTCTCCCTCTCTCCTTCCCTTTCCCTCTAAAAGATAAATAAATAAAATCTTAAAAAAAAAAAAAGAAACATATATCAACAGAAAAAATTAGCCAAGTAAATAAGATATATAGCAAATCCTCTATGAACTTTAAAAAAATCTGTGACATTATGAAACATTACTAATGTTACAAAAATATGACTCAAAATCATTATGTCAGTAAAATGGGGATTTCTGTGCGGCTGCAGAGGAAAATGGTGGTCCCTACCCCAGTGCTGCTCGCTAGGTGGTGACTTCTCTCCTTGGAAGCACCTCTTCACCCTTAGTGCTACCTGCCGCTGTCACTGGAGATGTTCTTCTGCCATGCTTAGCGGGACATTAAATATTCTGCATAAAAACACCTGTACATGAGTGTTTATCAATGTTATCTCGTGAAGCCCTGCTGAACATTATCTCAGAGAGAAATGTGTTCTGAGCCCCTAACAATGGACCTAGAAATTTTTGTAGCATTTTTGTGTGGCGAACACAGGCTGTTCTAGGCTAAATGAAATAAGCCAGTCAGAGCAGGACAAATACCATATGATCTCACTTATATGTGGAATTGAATAACAAAATAAACTGACGAAGAAAATAGAAACAGAAGCATGGACATACGGAACAGACGGACAGCTGTCAGAGGGGAGGGGTGGGGCCAGGCATTGGATGAAAGAAGGGGAAGGGATTAGCCAAAAACACATACACGTACATACATAACCCCCACACACAGACAGCAGTGTGGCGATAGCCAGAGGGCAAGGGCGAGGTGGAGGAGGGCAAAGCAGGGGAAAACGGGGACGGACAGAGATTTGGCTTGGGATGGTGGGCGCACGATACAGTGTGCAGATCATGTTTTGTTGAGTCGTACACTTGAAACCTGTGTGGTTTTGCAAACCAATGTCACCGTAAATAAATAAATAAATAAATAAATAAATAAAAAACAGAAACAAGGACCAAACCAAGGGCGCTTTGCCTATCCTGTTATCTCCCAATCGCTTCCATACTCCTTCCCTTTGCCATCCGTTCTCCTTTCTGAAAAATAACAAAACTCCCTAGCAGTCTAATACAGAAGTCCATCATGATGTCAGCCACAGGGTCATTTCTGTCCTGTGTCTCTAGGCCACCTTCTCACCTCTATCCATAGCCCAGCCTTGCTATGCCCTTTGACCTTAACCAAGCCATGAGTCTTCCCAAGGTCATGCAGGACAACTACGTGATTTCAAAACTTACATATTCATTTAACCATGCCAAATTCAAGTATTGATATAACGATCTGCTTACAAGCTTACTATATATTGAGATAATTTTCAATTTTGTTTTAAAAGACTGCTTCGTCTAGTTCTGAAAAATATTTCCGTATGTTGTTGAGAGAAAGTCTCCCAGACCCTACTCCCAAGGGGAGATTCTGAAGCCAAAGGAGCAGGTGAAGCTCCAAACCATGCTAGAGTGCCGAAATACAGAGTGGAATCCAAAAGGTGGTCAAATCCAGGTAAGGCACAGGTGGGTGGTGAAATCTGCCTGAGCCGGGAGTAAGGTGCCTGAGAGAGGAAAGTGAGCACTGAGGAGGCAGATGCAACAAGAGGTGGGCGTGAGCTGGGTGACCTCCCAGAATGTCTAATCCATTAGGGTTTGCTGTTTGCTGCCGTGGACCAACCAGGGCTTGGTCACAGATGGCCCAGCCTATTTAAGCGGCCAAGGCAATTAGACAATCCCTGAAGGGGGAGGAGTTTCCCGTGACCACTGTGCTGGCCCATACCCATCCCAGTGTGCTGTTTGTTGAAGCTAATATGGCATCAGGAGTTGCAGGTCACTTTTTGCCCCATACAGACAGTTCTTGAACACAGGTTGGCAAGTAGGGAATGACTAATGAAAAAGGAGGTAGGGTCCTGCTGGTTCGAGTGTAACCAGAGCTGAGAACAAGACAATGAGAGAAGTGAATACCAGGGTCATAATGTAATAATGTAAAGTGGCTTTTATGGCCCTTGAGTGCCCGTGGTCCCGCCCACTGGTCAGTTGGCCCTGATGCCCTCAGGCAACATTTAGATTTCTCATTAGCTTGCCAGAGGGCGCCTTCTGGGTCTGCTGAGTGGTCTGTGGTGCCTTCGGGTGTTAACCAGTTGTTGGGTTGGGAGGGCTCGATGGGAGAGAACTAATGGGATGAGCTGCTATGAAACTATTCTGGGTGGAAGGGTGCAGGGACCAGTCGAAGCAAATTCTTCAGAGACTAATCAGGTGAACTGACAGTGCCGTCTGCCAGGTCCCAGGAGCAGAAGTCTTTTCTTGAGACCTGGGTGCTGCATCCCAACTGGTTACTGATGAGGTGACGGTGCTACAGCCCCGCTGTTTTGACTCCCCATATCCAGGAGGCCCAGCAGGCCATTCTGCCAGTGCCTCCGCATTCCATGTCCTTGGTGGGGGGAGGGGTATGTCTGAACAGATCCTCCTTATGAGACTGCTCCTGGTCCCCACAATGTTCCTTAACAGAATGCATTGGGACTATGAGGGTTCTGACGTCCTCTAGAATGTTGGCTTTTATGTCAGTATATTTGCTCTTTTGCTTCCTGTGAGAAAACACTCACTGTTGGGAAACATGCTTGGAATTCCAGAAATGGGAAGAAGCAGAAGTCCCAGCAGTCTTTTAAAGCAAAATGCAAAATGCAGGGTACCCAGGTAATTGATCTCCAGTTAGGAAAGTCTAAGAGCAAAAAAGATAGCCCTGTCCATATGTGCCCGAAAGTACCTGGCATGCGACCTGACCACAGTCACGTCAGCAGGACCACAGTGCAGGACCAGATCCGCTGGGAGAGAAGCACAGGGCACCCACACGCAGGCAGAGGTCTGGGTATTCGGTGAAGAGCCAGGCCTGGTGGATGAGGGACTTGCTCATCAAGCTTCCTACGGTCCCTGAAGTCAATGGAAAATTACTCTAAAAAAATAATTAAAAAACTATTCTCAAAGCCCACCTAAAAGCCCCCAAATTTGTTAGAATCATCCCAGATCTGTTTCGGAAAGCAAGAGTACAGCAGGTGGTAACGGTAAGCGCGAGCCTCACCTTTGGCTTTTATTTGACCATGACCACAGCCAACCATCTGAAAAGTTGTATGTTTTCTTCCCCAACAGTAAAGAATCATCTAACAGGCTTAGCATTTTTGAAGCCCATTCCACACACATTTTGATGATAGCCAGGAGCGGGCCTGGCCAGGGGTTTGGCTTAAATAAGTCTGGGAGCTCTGGGGTTGTGGTTGGGGGTGTTTGAGGCTTAAGAAACAGGCAAAGGTCTAAAATTTCAGAGATAAATCCAAAGGAACACAAAATACATGAAGCCAAAGCAGGTGCAGAAACCTTGTGACAGATGTTTGGAGCCTGAGCTCCAAGAGCAAATCCCAGCGAGCCAGGAGCAGAGAGGTGGGAAGGAACTCCTGCCACGTGACTGCTCAGAACGTGCCCGTCATTTGCAACTTACTTTTGCAGGTTAGTCCAACTCTAGTGCCTCAAGGGACCCAAGGTCACAACCAGAGCAGATAAATGAAGCAGTAAAAACCCAAAGTAAAGATTCTGGGTGAACCTTCAGCAACACTGGCCCCAGTAAAGGAAACCATTTGAACAATGGCCTGATGGCATGGCTGTTGTCACACAATCTAGACACGCATCCAGCAAGCTGGGGCTCTGACCCAGATCAGCTCAGTGACCTTGGGGAGTCTTATACGCATTTTGGGCCTCAGTTTCATATTCTGAGAAATGGGGATAACAGTATCGCCCCCACCTACTTTGTAGGGTTATTGTGAAGACCCAATAAATCATAAGAATGCCTGAAATTGTAAGAAATTTGAAAATGCTGTAGAAACCTAAGAATAGTATCAGGATCCTCTTTTAAATTGAAAAAAAAAAAACAACAAAACACCTCACGGACATGGACAACAGTGAGGTGATTGCTGGGGGGAGGAGCATATCAGGGGACTACCGGTAAATGGCAAGAGAAAAATATAATAAAGATTATATAAAAAATAAATAATAATAATAAAGTAACGCTTCTTATTTATCATTTTTCTCCACAGAGTGCAAAGTCTTCAAAGTGCACTGTTTTCTTGACAGAAACAGATATTTTCACAGACCTCTGTTAGAAAATCAATTGAAGAGGCCAGCAAACTTTTGCACAAGTTATTTTTAATCTGGCAAATAAGCGAATGTGCTGATTCCCCGCAGCCATCACTGTGAGTTTTAATGAAAACATTCTTGGGTTATATGTCATGGCTTTTCTACTAGCTGTTGCAGAGGGAGCACCTCCAATGAGCCATGAAGTTACCTCAACAGCGCAGAGAGATCTGGGGTGTGTTCGGGTAGGAGAGCCACGGTGACCCCCGGCACCCTATGGGTGCTGCTTGGGCTTGCTCTTGCTGGGTCTACTCCGGGTTTTGGATTTGCTAGTGAGAGGATCCTCCTTGCGCTGTACTCCTGAAAAGACAAAAACGATTAGAACGTGGTAGTAACACTATCTCGTATTTACTAAAGACATTCTACTTTACAAAGCCTTTTTAAAATTCTGCTCTGCTTGAGTAACTGCTAAGTTACAAACAGGTTCTGAGCCCTAAGTTTGACTCTAACTTTGTCATTGGGATTCAGAATGCATTTCCCCAAAGTTTAAGTGAAGTCAGGTAGCCTGAGTTCCGGGTCCTGGAAAAGGGGGCCATGTGGTCAAGGAGGGAAGAGAAAGAGGAATAACATTTCTTCCTTCCAGCTTGTACATACCCCAAGCTTGGCAGAAAAAAGAAATTCAAATAAAAGGGAATGTCCAGAATCCGCCAGGTCCATCCTTGCGTCCTGTTCTGTCCCCTCCCTCTCTCCAGCCCCCTGCACCCTACACAGGCCCCACCCCTGGGATGGGTGCGGGAGGCCTCCAGCCTTCGAGCCTGCTACCCCTGGCTGCTCCATGACACCCAACTTTGCAATCTGATGCCTTCTGACTGGCTGCGGCCATCTCCTTGCCACACTTGGTCACCTTGTCCACACCCTCATCCTGCTTTTGAGTGGCTCTCCCCACTCCCAATCATGGGCCTCACTGAGATCAGATTCACCTTTGTAAACGCCCCTGATTCCCTTCTCCACTCACAGCTCAGCACCATGATTTTCTAATTATTAAAAACAATGATCTAAAACAAAAGTATCTCTCCCTACTCCATCAGGATCTCCTTTTGACTCGGCATTCACAAGGCTCTGACCTCCACCTTCAACTTCTGTTCCTTTGCTGCGCAGCTCCCAGGGGAAGAGTGATCTCCCTGTGCTAACTTGCACCAGTGTGACATTGTATGTGCCATGTGAGTGTCCCATTGCTCCAGAGGTGCCTGCGGTTTTTAAAAGGAGCTGCCTGCTAACCCCCCCAAAATGAGTAATTTGGGATTTCCTAGAGAAAATATTCTGGTCACCGGGCTATAGCATGGGGACTGCCCTGCGTGGGAGACGATTCCCCTACACAAGGCAGGGCTTCCCGTCCTGCACTTTCGAGCTCCCAGGCGCTGGCTCTGACGGGTGTGCAGAGGCAGGACATGAGGACTACGCATTCGTCTAGGTTACTCTTTGTAGACTGGGGACTAATTGTGCCTCGCTATCCTCTATGATAATGAAAAATGTTAAGTTCTGGGTTTAACCTAATCCCCAGCACCTTCATGGAAATGGACAAAATGAAGGTCACTCATTCCATATTGAGGTGACCTCTCCAGTTTAACACACAGGCCTTTTGTATGGTTTGCATATTTATTTTTCAGTCATCAAGAAAAAGTTCAGTTTTCAAAGTATCAGGATAAAGTTGCTCAACAATATAAGAAGATGCTTTTTTTTTAATGCATGAAACTTATCTGATGCATATTTAAACCTAGAGCTAAAGGACTGTCCCATTAGGAACGATCAACATTCTACCAGCTCAGAGTTAAGAGGAGAGAAAATGGGCCCAGACTCTCCCTCAGTCAGTGTTGATACACAGTACCCGGGGCTGGAGAGTGCCAGGCACTGGCTACCTTACAGCTGTTACTGAGGACATAGGTGCAGGTAGGGGACGCAGCAAGAAACAATAAGTGGCAGCTTCCCAGTCCGAGCCCCATACCAGGAACGGTCCTGGGAACAGCCCACAGGTCGAAGATGACAGTCAAAATAAAAAACAGTCTCCAATACTGGGGATGTTGACAACTGCTGAGGAAATATACAGCACTGATTAGAGGCAAGAAAATAATTAAATGAATTTTCCTGAAGAATGAAGGAGGCTGCTCCCATCACAGAAAATCCAATAAGTACCAAAAAATAAAGACAAAAATTCCCCATAAAATTCCATCAACCAGTGGCAATATCTGTCAATATTTGGACATATTTACTTTTGGCCTTTTCATTCTAGCTTTAAAAAAAATACTATCATATCTAATTTCTTGCATTTGTAGTTTTAACACAAGAATCTCCCATGTCATTACAAACTCCTCAAAACACCATTTGTAGGGAGCCATTTCTTGTGGCATGGAAATGTAGCTGCTCCCACGTGGAAAACCAGTGGGAAGTGAGTCAGCACACAGGACCACACCCACAGAGAGGTTTCCCAGTGGGGAATCAGGCCTGCATTGTACCTAGGCTGCTATGAGACTTGCTTTTGCTAAAACTCCCTCACCCTGAATTGAGGCAGAAGTGCTTACTGTAACTTTCTAAGATCTGTGCTAAATCTGCCAAGTATGGAGTGTAACCAGTTCAACTATTTTTCCCCTTGGTCTGCAACATCCTTCTCTCTGAAGTAATTAGCAACATTCTTTCCTTTGTTATCTATAAAAGGTAATCCCCTGCAGTGAACCTGTGAATAGTAAATTAGGACTAGCTTCCGATGTAATGTACTCAGAAGAGCAATAAAAGCCTGTCCAGGCAGGGGCCAGGGCCCAGGGCCCCCCTCTTGCCCCCACCCCCTCTCTCTCAGAGAGTGGCCATGCCATCCCTTTTTCTCAGCAGGACGTCTGTTGTCCGTGTGTATTTGTCTCATGGCCACAACACACAGATCCTGCTGGCCAGGATCTGCATCAACCATTCTAATAACTGTATAATATTCAGGTATATTAATATAGCATAACTTATTTAATCTTTCTCCCATAATTGTAGAGATATTGCTTCTATTTTTGGCTATTATATATAATGATACACTGAACATTTCTGTGCATTAATTTTTCCCTATATTTAGGATTATAGATTCTCAAAGGTTAAATTATTAGGTCAACATATTTGTCTGCTTTTAAGGCATATCCCACACATACTCTCCCATTATTTTTGGAAAGGGTTATATCTGTCTGCCCACCCACAAGTTTTCTGCAAAACTACCTACTTTGCCCCTTCTGACTAGCACTGTATTCTTTTGTTTTAAGCAATCTTTGCCAGTTTTATAAGTCAAAATTTTATCTCGAGTTAGTTTACTAGTCTACAATTGTTAGTCATTCAGTTTTCTTTTTTGCGAGGTGTCTAAATAAGATAGTTAAGTAGTTACATGTATGTGCAAGCCTATGAAAAGCATGAACTAGGAAATCAACATGAAGTTTGTTGATATTCTTCTAAAATATCTGTGACCCAATCGAGTTATCTTTCATAGATACAACTTCAATGAAGCAAATGTGAAAGAAAGCCTCACCTTTCTTCAGAGATTTTGAGGAACTTTCCGCTGGCCTGATTTCTTCTTCTTCTTCCTCTTCTTCTTCTCCTTCTCTGTGCTCTTCCTCTTCTCCTTCTCTTTCTCCTTGATTTTCTTCCTCTTCTCCTCCTTCAGTCTCCTTCTCCTTAGCCTTCATCAATGCTTCCTCCAGTTCTTTCTCCAGTTCTTTCTTTCTTATAAGGGTGTAATGAAGTTTCTCACTTACAACATCAAAATTCTCCTCTGCTCGTTTGGCTCGGTTTGCAACCTCTCTGATGTGGACAAAGTCCAGAGAAACACAACGAAATGGGAAAGTTCAAAAAAGTGTCAATCATGTAGAAAAACTTGTTGTCTAAAAAAGGCAGTGGGATTAGAGAAATGCACCTGATGATGAAGGGTGCAAATGAGGGAAGTGGCGGCATCACCGATTAGCCAGGCACTGGGGGCCGGGGAGCTACGCTGGATGGTAATGGCAGAGTGGCAGTAATGCCGTAATTTAAGAATGTGTATCATGTCTTAGTGAGACCTGACTTTTGGGTATTTGGAATTCTCTATCAATAGTTAAAGAACCCCTTTTCAGAAGTTAATTTCTGCTTCTCTTCATTGATATGATTTGACAAACTAAATCCAATAGTATCCTTTAAAAAAAAAATCCAAAGCAAAAGTACCCAGGAACACAGTGTCTTTTTTATCATTCCTTTCTTTTATAGGACCTTTAAAAACAGATTCTGCACTCAAGAAAGCCAGTCTGAGAAGTGCTTCTTAATAACCACAGCACATGTCTACAGGGCTACGCTTCCGCCTTGCCATCCCCAGCTATCTTTATTGCTTCTCCGATTTTGGGGGTTATGTAACATTCTTTCTTGCACAGGGTAGTTTCTCCCTGTTCCACCTATTTCTCTAGTTCATTTCTTAGAAACATACTGAAGTGGATCATGTCTATCATCCTATCCTCCCCGCCCCATACACACTTTGACCTCTGCCATCTCCACCATGGGTAGAGACAGATGTTGCTATGACAGCAGTGTAGTTCCCTGGGTCTGGAAGAAGATTTGGAGATACCCATCCCACTAGTGAGGATGAAGGAAGCAGGAGAACCAATGATCAGCCAAGAAGTGTGGGCTTCTCAGCCAAACCTCCTGGCCAGCATCTTCATCTTCTTACCATTGTGGTCCCTCATACTTACATTAACTTCTCCTGTGTGCGTTCAATCACTGCCAATGCTTCAAGATACTTTGGGGCCAATGTACCTTGACTAGCTGATGTTCTCTGACAAAGGAAATAGGTGCAATAAATGAACTGGGAGTCCCAATAGTTAATACCCTACTTCTTCAGGATGTTCTGGATGAAGCCTTCCAGAGTATTTTTTCCTGTTCAATACTACCCATATTTGTACAGTAGACAATTAAGCCTCCTCTTCACAACAAAAAAGAACAGGGATATCCTGTGGCCAACAGCACACCACTTCCAAATTACTCGTGCTGCAGGTGGTCATAGATTTGATTAGAGTTATAAAGAAGCATGGAAAACAGTATCAACAGAAAGAAATAGGGAAGAGGCTAAAAAAGCAAATAGAAGGGTAAATATGTTTATCTAGTAAATCAAGTTAAGTATCAAGGAAAGTATCTATATTTACCTCAATACTTTATTTCACTAAGCACATAACACTGCAAAATCCAGTATGATCTTTTAGTTCAACAGGGGACTTTACATATATTGAGGCAGTAAGAATATGGGCAAAAAACCCTCCTAACATGGTCCTAGAACTTTCTGTGGAGGAATTTTAATTCTGTTTTCCTGTTGAGTTTCCATAGCCACCGTCTAAAGGTTTCCAATTTCCCAATAATTCTATGGTTACAGGTATGTGCTTATCACAGCTGCCAATAGAATGTGGTGAATGAATATATTTAAAAGTTGGGTTTCAGTTACATACCCAGGTAGATAATATATCTGTTCCAAATAGAGGCTTGGAATGAATATTTTCATCTTCTCCAATGAATCGAATGAGTTTTTCGCTCTCTGTAGATGTTGAAGGTTTCTAGGCACAGAAATACCAAGGACCCGTCAGTGAGCTGGCGAGTGACATAGTGGTGTGACGAGTTGCTTAGCCCCGTGTCTGAAGCTTTCATTTTCTATTTGCTGTAATTATTTAACAAACATTTTTTGAAGACTCCCAGAAAACACTGTGCAATTAGTGTGGATGAGGAAGCAGGGACGAGTGGGGACACCTCTGAGAAAAGCAAGGCAGATTTCTCCAAGACCCCAGGAACTCACAGTGCAATAAGAGAGATAGGCTGTAAAATAATTGTGGTATATGTGCTTACTGTTAGCACAGAGGCATGTTTCAAGAGTTGTGTGGCCCAGAAAAGGGCCCTCCATTCTGCCTAGACACTGGGGGAAGTTTCTACAGAGAAAACGATCTTTGCAAGCTGAAAAGGAGATTGTAAATAGAGAGAAAATGGCCTGATCTAAGGCCACAGATGGAGGAAAAGAGATGATGCATTACAGACTTAAAAGGTATGACAGAATTTAGTGACCAAATAATAATGTTTTACACCTATTTTGTGCCTTCTATATGCAAGCACTGTGCCATCAATAAAATGCAAAACGCTGGTCCAAAGAGCCTTGGGTGTTGCACAACACTCTTGTCCTGTTGTCCTGTGTGGACAAGGGGTAGAGGACCTAGGTCACAATCTGGGGTCACGCCAATTGTGCCAACAGTCAAACTATTCAGAGAAGAAACATCAGGGACGTAGATTAAGACAGTAGAAAGAGCAGGAGGGGATCAGGATGAGTTCTGAAAGCCAAAGACAGTATTCACTGTGGGAATGAACAAGGACTCTTCGCCGGACTTCTCTGGGTTTGAATGTTGATTCTGCTACTTACAGTTATGTGATTTGGGGTAAGACAGACAACCATTCTGATTGTGAGTTTTCTTTTCTATAAGATGCGGGAGGTAATGAGGTCACATGTGTGAAGCATACAGCTCCTGGTAGGCACTCAGTAATTGGTCATTATCATTGTATTTTCATTATTATTACAATCGTCCCAGGAAAAGTCATTACTAATGATGCCCCAACAGGGGTGAAGACAGGGTAAGAAAAAGAGAGAGGGAGATGGGCCTGGGAGGAGGCAGGAAAGGCAGCCCAGAATGAGAGCTGAAGAGGTGGAGACACAGAATTTGCACTACTATTGAAGGAATCAGGCAGCGAAGAGACAAAACGACAACATCCAGGTGAAAGGTGGATTATGTATGCAGGTAATAGGGGCGTAGCGGTGAATGAGACTAATGGAAATGGCTGGATTGAGAAAGGAAAAAGGACACTCCTTAGAAAATTAAGAGGTAAGTGTGTCTACAGATAGGGTTAGATCTGTATGGAGTTAAAGAGTTTACTCCAGATGATCTATTTTTATTTTCATCAGGTCATATTAAGTTCTTTTAAAAGATAGTACTGTGTAATCTTACTTCTGCTTTCTCTTCTTCTGGTCCTTTCTCAAATTTCTTATCCTTCTTACTTTCTTTTTCATCCTCTTCAAAACATATGTCTGCTTCAGGCTCAGAGAGTTCTTTTATCAAGTCCTGTGAGATAAAATAGTGTTATAATTATAGCTAAGTGTATATAAATATTTTAGTGCTATATTAGCAATTATTCAAAAATACTTAAAGGGCACTAATCCTGCAACAGAGCCCCGTGCTAGTAATAAGGATACAAAGGTTAATAAGAATGGTCCCTGCTCTTAAGAAGTTTACAATTTAGTGAACCAGAAAATGCTATGAATATATACAGTTGAATAGTAGAAATGCCTAATTTTGATCTGGTAGTGGATGGGGGTAAAAGAGAGGGTTGGTCAGGCAGGTTTCCGAAAGAAGATAACGTCTGAGTTTCCCCTTGAAGGGAGAGTAAAAGGAAAACAGGAGGTACAAGGGGGAGGACACCAGAGGCACAGGACTGGCTCTGAGAAGGGAAGAACTGTGTTCAGCAGGATGGGCACTTGGGGACAGGGAGGCCAGAGCATAGTGTGTCCTGTCAGGGAGACTGGATTTTATCCTGAAGGCAACGAGGGATCAGTACATCGATTGATATGTGTTACATTTTAAACAATCACTCTAGCAACAGGAAAGTAGATTTAAAGAGGAGGAAGAAGATTGAGAGAAAGAGGGCAGGAAAGAGAAGATCAGGCAGAGAAGAGAAAGACAAGAGGAGGCGAAGAACAACACAGGGTTGTAGGAATGAAGGGGATAAGGATTCAAGAGATATTCAGGAGGCAACTCTTAGTGACCGATTGATTGAATGGATGGACATGGGATGGCTGGGAAAAGGGAGCATCTTGAATGACACCTGGTTTACGGTTGAGGTCACTACATAGATGGTAATGAGATTCACAGGGATAATAAACAAAGTTGGATAAGCAGGTTTGGGAAGATAGATGAGATCAAACTAGACTGCATGAGTCTGAGGTGCCCCTAAGACATCCAAGTGCAAATATCTGGTAAGTAGCAGAATATCTGAAGTTTAGACAGGGATCTGGGTTAAAGCCAAGAAGGTAAATTACATCACCAAAGAACTTGCGAAGTGAGTAGAAGATGAGGCCTTAGGACAGGAATCTAATCAAACCAGGGACTAGAGAAGAAAGAGGAACCTGCGAAGGAGGCCCGAGTTGGCCTGGACATAAGAGGGGACTCCAGGGACACTCACTGGGAAACGTCGCTGACCCCTCATCTGTTAAAACACAGAAAGAACCTGAGTAATGACCAGTACCAGCATATGGTGAATACCTCTTCTTCGAGTAGCTGCAACTTTTCTTCGTATGTCAATAACTGGATTTGTTTGCCTTTCATCCGACCAAGGAGGTGAGAACATGTGGTGATCCACTCATAACATTCTCTCTGATAAGAGATAAAAAGACCACTATTAAGCAGAAAGAATCAGATTATACCAGCTCGTTTACTCACTCACTCCTACCGAGAAACTGCTGAATATACAATTCCTCGAAGCATAGCTCCATTCAATTAACATCGCCTCACTTCAGCTCACAGGTACACGCAGGAGTGATTTCCTGTGAATATAGACCTAAAATCTAGCATTGCTTATGGACATTGTTAGAACAGAACAAGGTGGAGTTAAGTGTCATAAAGTCAGATGCCGAGACATAGTTGGACTTGCTGTGGGCAAATGGTCTGGCCCAACAAATATGCAGCCGACCAGGCCAACTGTGATCGCTTAACCTAACAATAAAAACAGCAACACTTAACATGGCGCTTAATTCTGTGTCAGTCTTTCCTGCGCCTTGAGCTTATATTAACTCATTTGATCCTTAATATGAAATATGTCCTATTATTTTTAAGGTATAAATGAAATAACATTACACTAGTTTCAGGTGTATGGGATAATTAATCAATATTTATATATATTACTAAATGATCACCATAATAAATCCAGTTAACATTTCTCACCATAGTTATAGAATTTATTTCCTTGTGATGAGAAGTGAGATATATACTATTATTATCCTTATTTTTTCAGATGAAGAAATTAAGGAAGAGAATAGTTGAGTATCTTGTTCAAGGTCCTATAGGTATTTAAACATGGACCTGGGATTCTAACCCAGATGGCCTGGGCTCTTAATCCCTACAAAAATATTACCCCGCCCCCAACCAAGTGAGTAAATAAAGATTGGAAGCAGTGTCTTAGAGAAGATGCTCACTCTGAATCTACTGTGGGTACAGAACAGTCTTCAGCGCCAAACAGTAGAACTAAAAGGTTTTAGAAATCAAATCCAAATCCTTATGTTGCAGACAAGAAAACTGAAATCTAAAGTGGAAATGTCAGTTTGCCACAGCTTCCTTCATGTCACTGACACGTTTAAATTCGAAAGGGTTAGGGTGATGTCTCGTCACAGAAAGGATCAACAAGGGATGTGAAAGTTTTAACGGCTTCTAGTCTTCAGTTCACTTCGCTGGCTGTGACGTCTTGAGCAAAGTCTTAATAATCTTAATCTGTTAAAACCAGATGAAGTGGTTGGTTTACTCCAGGGGACCCTATGCAGTGAGCAACTGGTAAAAACCACCTTGGGAAGGGGAGCCCTAATTTACAGCATTTGCTAATTCCCATGGTTACTCTCGCGTGGCAAGTTCAATGACACTCATCAGCTTGCACGTCATTGCTGGACTTGGAGCCCGTCAAGGGTGTGTACAGCCAGCTCTGCGGGCCACTGGGAGTCTACCACACCGCTGTCCGTCAATGAGGAGCCTTCTGGCTACAAAATTTGATGCACACAGTATTTAACTTTCAATATTGTTCCTAGAATAAAACATTAGTTAATTCTGAAAATAGTAATGATATTTTTGAAATTTTATTTCTTCACAGTTAATTCATCATTCATGAGAAACTTCTGTGGTTGTACTTGCACTCATCAAAAAAATCCTAGTCATTTTCTTATAAACTTCTAAGACATTGAAAATACTGTCATAAGACTTCTGATAGGAGAAAAAAATCAGTAGGGTGCTGTGGGTTTTTTTGGTAAAATTTCACAGTACTCTACAGAGTTAAGCAAGTTTTCTTTCGAAACCGTCAGCATTGCCTATGAACAGCTGTAGACCAAGATAGCTTGGTTGCTAATCAATGCATGTAGATATCCTTTCATCAGTGATCTTATTTAATGCTAATAAAGTCTGGTTCAGGGCTGTGTTAATGAATACTTCTGATGGGGAGTAAAAGGACTAAAATTCATGTCTGGGATGGAGGAGGATTTAAGAAGCAAAGGACAGTCCTGCACGTTAGGCCTATTGCAGCAGATCAAAAGCAGGAGGAAGAGAAGACTGTCAGAGATGTGGCGAATTATAGGGTGCCAGTGGTGAGACTAGAGTGGTAACATAGTTAAAGAGCCCCAGGTCCCCCCAAAAAGGCGGGAAAGCTGGGACTCCTCTGAGTTCATCTGCTAGAACACTGCAAGAGACAGGTCCCCGGCACTTCTCTTCAAAGTCACCTTTCCGGGGGCCAAATCCTGAAACTGGCAACAGTACTTGGGTGACATAAGAAGGTTACTGCAGCCCAAGGTGGATGGCAGGGCCTTAATGAATTACTCAGGCCAGAGATGGAAAAGAATAGCGTGGAGGGAGTCAGTGCAGCCGGAAGTCAGTGTGAAGGTCTCCAAGCAAGAAGTCCTCTCTTCTCCACCACGGTGGGTAATTCCTTGGTATCAGGAGGAGGGATTTCCTTCCCACACGTCCTCAACACTACTGGGGGTTGGTCATTGTGTGTCTTTTTACCAGTCTTGGACTGCTGAAGGTTATCTCAGAGATCTTTCAAAGTAGCTGTCATCTACTCAGATTGCGGCCAAACTCCAGATGACCAGTGACTCTAATTCTAGATGCCTGGAACCGTGTAGCTGGACCACCTAAATCACTTGAAAAAAGGCACCTATCTGTTTACTGGGGGCTAAGTTTCTAGGTTGCGAGGAGCTGGTTTGTGGGGCAGAGGTCCTAGTCTACTCTCAGTGGATGCCAGGACTCTGATGTAGTGTTTCCAAGCCTCAAATGAAGCCTTAACGACAAGCAATTCCTCTTCCCAGATGGAGCAGTTGATGTGCAGAGACCAGCTTCTTTCAGAAACAGAAACAGGAGCAAGGATCCCCAGAACTGAATCCTCTTGGAAAACGGCCTCTGGCACTGATCCGTAGCTCCAAAGTGTGAGGTCAGACTGAATCAGCAGAAGCCAGGGTCAGGTGACAGGTACATAGGGTCAGGAGTTACCGGACTACCTCAGTGGTGGTGGGGCGCTCACTACACAGACCCCAAGGCTTTCTGAAGAAGTAATTTAGGCAGTTGTGGTGGAAAATCTGGGTAAGAGCTCTTGGTAAGTGATCAAACTCCAAGATTCTTACTTAAGAATCCTCCCACTCCAGTAGAATCCTGTTCAGCACTACACAACTCTCATTTATTGCAATGGACCCCCCCCCCAATATTAGATTATGGAAAACCATCACTAGCATTATCTGAATAGCAGTCTGGTATGTTGGCGAGATGTTCTTCAAATGCTAGGATGTGACTGGGGTGGCACAAGCCACGAGCATCACGGTTTACCCACATTCAACAGGGCTCCTCTGGGGAGCTGTCTTGCATTCTTTGCTTTGTGGGGCATAAATGAAGCTACAGGAGTCCCAGAGTCTGATGTCATAAAGCTGTTGTCACCAAGAGGTTGTCCAGGAGATCAGGGGAAGATGGTAGCAGTCAAGGATAGGGATGAATGTGGAATTAAGAAAACCCTAATGAAGAGGGAACTAGCCTAAAATGCCTGCTCAAAACATAACAAAAGTGAGGGGGAGACAGAGTGATTACCTTCATCGCATTCAGATCGTGAAGTTCCTTAGTAGAATATTTTTGGAGGTTGCTGGTTATACTCAGAGCCATGGCCGTTACCATCCCTTTGCAGCAACTGGGGGAAAAAGCACACACACACAAACACACACACACACAGCATGGCCCGTCATTGCTGGCCCCTCTCCTAAGTGTTTTCAATCCAGATGCAGGGGGAGTTTCCCATAGTAATGAAGCTACTGACCCATCCAAGAGTACGAACCATCTCTCGGTTTCTCACAGTTGTCCTCCCTGCCCCTCCCCTCCTGTCACTTTTGACCATTGATAACATTGAATCAATATGAAGGGGGAAGTTGCTAAAATATAAAAGCTACTTCCCAGATTTAAAGTAATCATAGTGACAGTGTGCTTACATTTTTTTCAGACCTCATCTTTATTTGGTGAGAATCCTCTAACTTTTCAGATATAAGGGTTTTTATCTTTTTGTTTGTTTTTTTTTAGATGTTTTAGTGTTTAATGAAATAAAAGTATGCATTCCATTTTGCATGAAAGTTACAGGGGAAATAACAAGCTTCTTCACAGACGCCCCTAGCCTGTGCAAACATGCAAGATGTTTCTTACTTATTCAAGTTAAGTGGGTCTTTTTCGGTTTTTTAACTAATTCGCACTCCCACATCCGTACATACTTCCCATCCTGGCCACACTAACTTTGTTTCCAAAAGGATGCTAAAGCCATTGGGAAAACACTGAAATTTCATATTCTACTGGGCAGTGCCAATGATGGTTTTAAAACCCAACTAGTACTTCTTTCAAGGTTTTAAAACAATTCCTATTGCTGCTACTTAACTGTCCTTCTCTCCTCTGCTTTATGTCACAAATTTATCTTCCAAGAGGTGGGAATAAAAAAACGGAGAGTTTTACCTGTTCAAATAATGGGAGTATTTGGACAGCTTTTTTGCCAGGGCGATGACGTCTAGCTCCAAGGTTGCAATGTTGACGTCGTGTTTCTTAGCTCTTTTCTCCTCCAGCCCTGGGAGAGTGTCCTGGTCAGGAATGTCGGGTACCATCACTATCAGCAGACGCACCATCCACCGGATCATAGATATATGCAATTCATCCATCTGTTAAAAAGGAGCCATAACACAAATGGCCCGTTTTAAATAAATTGCACAGTAAAAAACCAGGCCAAACTTAAAACTAGAAATGATCATACCTGTGTCTAATTTTCAACATTAATATCATTCATTCTCAATGAAATTAAATCATCACTATTCGGCTGGTATAACCATATATATATTTTTTTCTTCTCACTATACTACACTAGCTCGCCTTAGCTTGGTCAAGGGTATTAAAGTCATAGTTCCCAAATTGTACACACCAAGGCACCCTAGGACTCCACAGTGAATTCTCAAGGATGACGTGAGATTTTAAATTCTTTCTTTTTTTAATCCTCACCCAGGGATATTTTTATTAATTTGAGAGAGAGAGAGATGAGAGAAAAACATTGAGTGCTGTCTCCTGGACACACCCCAACCAGGGATGGAACCTGCAACCTCCTGGTGTATGGGCCGGCGCCCCCACCCACTGACCCACCCGACCAGGATGGGGTTTTCAGTTCTCGAGGGAAATACAGCCTGTATCAGACGCGGCATGAAGCTGATATAGTTCACAGCTTCAACATTAGATGCGCTATACCACTTTTGATGACGTCATATCTGTGCAAAGCTGGTTTTATTGGTGGCTGTGTGGTAAAAACAAGTGCTGCATAAAAATGGAAGTGAAACAGGAAATGAGGACGGCAACATCCCATCCCATTTCCAGGTTAGAGAAGTTATACAGGGCCCAAGTCCATACAGCCCTTAGGGATTCTGATTGAGGGGAAAAAAGGGGTTTTCTCCCCAATGTCCATATATGTACAAAGGTTAACTGAGACATTAAATTTTTCCGAAGTTTATTTTGGCAACAATTCCAACTAAACAATGCGAAAACCTAAACACTGTTGGAGGAGCTCTGTGGACAGGGGAAGGGGCAGAGATTTTTATAGAGAAGATGCTGAAGTAAAGTGATGGTTTAATTATAATTACTTAAACATTTGCCTTATTTGGGAACATTTAGTTATTTGGCTGTTATGATCATTATTCTTTTTTTAAAAAAAGTAATTATTCTTGGGCTTCATTTTTTCATATTTGGAAAGTCCAGTCGACTGCTTACAGTCAGCACCTTCTGGAGTTTCTTTTTCATAGACACGGCGGCACCGATTCTGGCTTCAGTTTGTTCCCACGGGCAGCCAGAAGCTGTGGAGCTACCTCAGTGCAATGGCCTCCGTGTTTTAACTATTTTAACATTTCTTGCTTTTTCCAAACAGTTACTAAATCGTTGGGACATGAACACTTAGTAAGTTGTTCGAACCTGCCTGCTGGGTAGCATTTTTTTGGACTGAGGAGCTCGAAAATGCTGGGGCATAAAGGGTAGCGTGAAGAGAGAAAGTTTGGGAACCTCGGGGTTAGGGCGTCTGCTCAGGCTGGGCACCAGAAATAAAATGCAAAAACCTTTACAAACTGCAGATGGCGAACACACCATTTGCTTCGAATGCCCAGCCCCACTCTCTGTCTGGTGGGCTTCTAGAGTGTTCTTCTAGGCTCACGTGTGACCTGCTCTGAGGCCGTCTCTTTCCTATGTTTCTACGGTGCCTTGTACATTTCTCTGTTTTAACTGTTTGCACATCTGGAATGCTCATCCTTACTTCCTTCAACAAATATTTCTTGAGTCCCACTGGGACAGGCCCTCTGCTCCCCTTTTTAAATTAATGTAGGTGGTCTTTCAAATCATAGAATTGTCTCCCAATCCTTGGCCCATATTTCCAGTCTTGATATATTTGCTCCTCAACTCTTAGTGCCTTTCTATCTATTTGTAATGTGCTCACAGGCTGTGATATAAAGTAACGCTGCTGCATAAGCAGCAATCCCATATCACTGATGAACTCCGCCTTTCCACTTCCTAAGGTAAGCAATGTTAAAATGAATTACATTTATTTAATCACATTAAGTCTGCTTATAAGATGTTTTTCCTGTGCGGAGTTAGATTATAATTAAGACCAGGAGGCGAGAGCAACTGTAATAAACTAAGTCATCCTTTGCAAGTTACTTCATGTTCTGCTGGTTAAGAAGTTCACAGGCACAGCTGCTCAAAACTGCAGAACTGTTCTCTTCGTTCTAATGAGTGTAGACCAATAGTATTCTGGCATCTCGTCTTTCCCCCAGTTACATGTTTTTGTCAGCCCTTCAGCCAATCAGGGCCACCAACATAAATCCTTAAAATGGCCACATCCCTATTAAGGGGGAAAATGTCAATATACCAAGTAAAGAGCAAAGATAACAATCAGAACTCAAACATTTTGGGTCATCTCCGACACTTCATTCCACAGGCAGGAACATTTTGCATTCAAATCATTTAGTCATCATCTAAGTTTCCATTTTTGCCCTCCCAATCTCCTGCTTTAATTGCATAGGTATGACCTGATTTTTCCTTAAAGAAAACTCCCAGCTGAGACAAAATTAACCTCACAAATTCCTACTGGTACCTACGTGGCGCTGAAGTTCAATGTTACCATTGTTAATCTCGTTGCCTATTTTCAAATGCCATTGTTGAATCATGTTAAATATATGTGCTTCCAGTACCCTGAAGGAAAAAATAAGTAAAATAAAGATAAATGACTTACTTAGAATATTGAGGTAACTACAGTTAAACGACAGGCTTTTCTTTAGGAGGGCCTAGTAAACCAGGTGTTGACACCTGTTTGAGAACTCGGGGAAGGTGAGTGAAAGCCTTGGTATTTCCGACATAGCGCCTAACTCACTGACGTGGCCTTCCTAACACCAAGAGCGATTGGACATGACGTTCTTTAGACAATGGAGGTCTTGCCTTCAGTGTTAGCTCTCTACTGTGAAAACTCACACTGATGCACTTGATATTCACTTCTAGACCAGGGAGACCAGGAAGTGAGAAGAATGAATTTCTAAATTCTCTCAAGAGATCAGCTTCTACCATGACAGTGTGAGGAGCAAAGCTGACTGACCCCTTCCCCACTGGTAAGGAAGGAGGGAGGGAGGGAGGGAGGGAGGGAGGAAAGAGGGAGGGAGGAAAGAGGGAGGGAGGAAAGAGGGAGGGAGAAAGAAAGAGAGGAAAGAGGGAGGGAGAAAGAAAGAGAGGAAGAGAGAAAGAGAGAAAGAGAGAAGAGAGAGAGAAAGAGAGAAAGAGAGAAAGAGAGAAAGAAAGAAAGAAAGAAAGAAAGAAAGAAAGAAAGAAAGAAAGAAAGAAAGAAGGAAAGAAAGAAGGAAAGAAAGAAGGAAAGAAAGGGAAGAAAGGAGGGAGGAAGGAAGAAAACATTGAAAGCCTCTGGAAATGGTCCTAAGAACAAACAGCAAATGAAGAGACTTCCATTCAAGACAACCTGTGAAGATTCTGTAAGAAAGGCAAGAGTCTATAGTATCTGAACCAAGGCTATGCCCTCTCTTCCCCTTCCCAGCTCGGTGAGGCAGAAACGCCACTGTGGACTCCTGCAGTCATGGACCCAGGGCTCTGCACCCTCCAGCGCCCAGTCAGACGGCTGTCTTCCTCAGAGGAAGATGGCTTCAAGGTTTCCCATCTGACCCCAGCTGCCTGTGGCTGAGGCTAGGTACTGAGAAAATGCAGTTGAGAAGCAGGGATTCCCTTCTTCTGCCCAGCAGAGAGCTCCGGGAACTTACGAGCCAGTATCCGTGTCCAAACTCTGGGGAACAGTGCCAATGGTGTCCAGCAATGTCTCCAAATGGGTTTTCATTTCATTGATTTTTTCATCAAGTCCTTCCCATTCTCTAGGAAACATTTCAGGAACCTCCGCGAAGCTTTCCAACTTGAAACAACAGAAGTCCATAGAACTAATCACACTTGCCAAAAGTCTACAGACACCTTAAAAAGTGAGAAAAGCATTCATTGTTAGAAGTATTTGTAAGTCTACTATTTCAATAATAAGTCATAAAAACTAATGAGCAGGAACATATCTTTTTTTCAACCTTTCATTATCCTTTAGGTTGCCTAGCAGAACATCTGGGAAAGAGCAGCTCCTAAATAAATGTTTAGTGAACAAACACTGTGTAATTGGTGCTTTTCTGCCTGTTGGACTATTTCTTTGATCACGGCTTATACTCTAAGTTTCCTGTCGTCTCAGCAGAGAACCAAATGCTTTAAACCTACAAACTATGAACTACAGTTCTCTGTCAAAGATAGGAATTCATTGAATCTTTCTGTTAAGAAGACAATGATGATGAACAGGTTCTTCATGATTATAGTTTAGTTAATAAGAGAAATGACAATCTACTTCTTGAATTATTTTTAAGTCCCAGTTCAGGTTTTCATGAAGTTTACAGTTGTAATCTGAGCCAGGATCCAGTATGGAGCCCATGGGATCTCACATGATTCCCTGTGAGATCATGGCAAAATAGCCTCTCTATTCCTTTGTCTTATCTCACTTGCAAAATCAGAGATAAAAATGCTCCCATCTAAGAGATATAGAAAGAGAAAAACTTTAGGAGCAAACTTTTTCTTACATTTGATGAAGATATTTTCACTGCCTTATCAGTGAAAACTTCGATCTCTTGGGAATATTAAAAATGATTATCCTTTTGACCTGTCAGTATTTTAAGCCATTTACTAGCTCATTTTTCTCTGCCCACCGTCTGTATATTCTCATGGGTGAGTATTGCTGTTTCATCTATCCCTGTACTCCTGCTGCTACAGATCATTAGGATTGTGTTTTCCCATCCAGAGCAACTCGATGTCAAATAACAGCGGTAATGAATGCATCAGGGTTGCCGGGAACCCTTTACTGAGAAGGACTGACTCTTAGGTAACATATGGCACGGTGACAAAAGTGCTTTGAAGGATTTTTAATATCCCTCATGGGTTTTGGAGGGTGAATTTTCTATTTCTCTCATGGCAAAGTGGGATATTTGGTCACCCTGCTGGGGAAATAAAATTGAAGTTCAAAATCTGCCAAAAAGTAGAAGCCCTGGAAAATGCACCTAGCTTTCACCTGGGGCGCCTGAAGCCGAGAGGCGACACTTTAAAAATAAGGGTGGAACAGAAAAAGACCAGCCCTTGCAAAGTCTGAGGCCACACTTCTCTTCAGTTCCGACCCCGTGTGGAGTAAAATGATCCGCCCCCTACCCTCCGTAACCTTCCAGAATAAAAAGTAAAATCATTCTTTTGAAATATAGCCCCATGTGGAATCTTAAATTGTCTCTAGAATTTCTCACAATGTCCGACATTAATCAAAAACACCCAGGAATATGACAAAAATTGACTCAAAACCAAGACAAAATACAGACAATAAAAAAAACTTAGTACACCCGAAACTAAGATAATACTGTATGTCAACTATAATTGAAAAGATGGAGAAAAGACCTATCAGAGAACCAGATATCATCCAATTATCTGAACCTGACTGTAGGGATGGTTGCACACATCTATGAAAACACTGCAAACCATCAAATTGTTAACTTTAAATAGATGAATTATATTGTATGTGAATTATAGCTCAATAAGTGATGCTCAATGGCTTATTTTGCTATACTTCTAAAACTATATTCATGTGTTGTCTTGATTTTAAATGTTAACTGTATTGAAAATAATTACTATTAAAATCCTTTATGTCAAGAATCTATTATTGCTTTTTTCCTTACCATTTTCTCCATTTATCCTTACTTCAAATTCTTTGTAGAGTGTATCTATGCTTTTCACAATGTCCTCCATCTGATAATACTCTGGCGGCATCTCTCCCTCCATGCTTATGTGGCGACGGAATATCCCGAGCCCAATATCTGTCCAGTTTTCCTGCAAGTACTTAATGATCTTGAGAGAATCATATTTTGACACTAGAAAATCCCCACTATACTTGTCTCTGTTGTCACTCAGTATCTAGAGGATGAAAAGGGAGTAAAGAAATCAGCACATTATCCACTCGTGATCTCGTCAGCCTCAACCCAGATCTTTACTTTAATTGTTTTGGACTTAAATACCTTATTATTATTTGTTCATATCATTTCTTCATATAACGTACACTTTATTTTCAAAATTAAAGTGAATTTAGATTAAGTTGATACCCAATAAGATAAATCCATAGTTTACCAGGATGAAAATAATTATATGAAATATTCTACAGGCAAAAAGTTGGTGATAGTCAAGTCCCAGAGAGCTGACCATGTTTAATTGGCATATGTCTTGGTAAGGACATCTACTCTCCTGCATGGACATCTACTTACGCGATCCCCACTAGACTGGGGGAGCTCCTAGAATGTAATGGTTGTATTTTATTCATGTTTTATTTCTCTGTCGAACCCCAACATATGACATATCAATAAACATTTACTGAAGAAACACAGTACAATCTGCATATAAAGTTTGCCATTACACATGAGCCAGACAATGGAACCAAATCACCTATGTGCCAATAGGAGTGGCTGGCCCAGGGGAACACCAAGGTAGGTTCTACGGAGTTGGGGGGACAAGGACTCAAATTCTGGTCCAGCCACTTGCCATTTATAGATGACTTAGGCAGGTCCCTGAACATGGCTGAGCTTCAGTTTCCCCACCTGTGAGACAGGGACCATAACACCAGTGTCAACTGGCTGCCACCAAAGGTAAGTAACATATGGGAAGCACACTTAGCCGAACAGAGTAGGCGTTTAATGAATGAGAGTTATTATTATTCCTGCCAAGTAAAGAAGCATCACTTATTTCAATTTTATCTAAGCCATGTCAAAATGGCCAGAAAAACACTAAAAGAAGTCACAAATGAGCTATACTGTGTAGAGGACAACAAACATCAATTCTGAGAATATTCTGCTCAAGTCGTTCCAGAAGAAAAGATGGCTTCCTGGGAGCTGGGTGAGATTTCATGAGGTCCTATGCTTGACCTTCACTTTGGAGGAATTTCAGTACCTATTTTCCTTTGTCAGACCACTGTAACATCATAGTAATTTGATCCATAAAACTTATTTGCCTCGTTCAGACACTCGTCAAAGATGCTATTAATAAACAGAATACGGTATAATGCATACGATGGAATTATTCAGCCTTGAAAAGGAAGGAAATTTTGACACATGGAAGTAAGTCTCACGAATATCTGAATGATTCCACAATGCGAGGTGCCTAGAATAGTCCAGCACGGCGAGTAGAGTGGCGGTTGCCAGGGGCTGGGGAGGCGGAAGGGGTATTAGTGTTTAACAGGCAGAGTTTCAGCTCTGGGCTGAACGTGGACAGTGGACAGTGGTGATGGTTACACACCAGTTAAAGGGACTGAATGCCACTGAATGGTACACTTAAAATGATTAAAACGGGCCCTAGCTGGTGTAGCTCAGTGGATTGATCACGGGCTGATAACCAAAGGGTCACCAGTTCAGTTCCCAGTCAGGGCACACGCTTGGGTTGTTGGCCAGGTCCCCAGTGGGACCATGTGAGAGGCAACCACACATCAATGTTTCTCTCCCTCTCTTTCTCCTTCCCCTCCCCTCTCTCTAAAAATAAATAAATAAAACCTTTTAAAAATGGCTAAAATGGTAAATTTTATGTTATGTATATTTTACCACAGTTTTTCAAAAGGTGTTATTGATTTTTAAAGTCCGATTTGTCCTTAAGACAAAAGCCAGGTATAGGAGAGGCACAAATGTTACTAGGTCTGACAATCTAGGGAGAGAATTACAATGACCTTCCCTATCATCCAAGAATCTTTTCCTCTTTTTTTTTTTTTTTTTTTGTTCTGGCAGCCTATTTGACCCAAAAATCTAAATTAGAACTGAAAATAAAATATTTAAGGATATTGTAAAAACCACCATAGCCTTGCTGTTTTCCTCGTCTCTCACGAATCTTAGTATGGAATTTTCAAAGGTTGAGATGAGACCCAGCTGGAGGTGAGGAGTGGCAAGTGCTCTGATTACCATGTTGTTTATTAGAAAGTCTTACCTTTACCCACTGCTGGAAGTCTGGAATAAGTGGTTCAAATATATTTTCTTTTTTAGGGAATACAATGTATTTTTTCCTGAAAGAAGGAAAAAGACAAAGAGCAGGGTCTCAGAACAGGTATAAAGAAAGAAAATTGCAAATCCACACACTATATGACAATATTATGTTTTTCCCTAATGATTTTCAAGCCTGCCTTCCAGGTCTGGTCCCTCTTCCAACAGGCAATCATCTTAAAACTCACAAATAAAAACATACATTCAGACTCTGATCAGGTCTGAGTAACCAGGTCAGGGGGTCAGAGGCCGTAACAGAAATGAACGGGTAGATTCTGGGTCTTCAGCATCCAACATCAGATCGCCACGAGAATAATTCCTGCTGAAACAGCTGTCAAAACACTATATGAATAGAAAGGAAGCCTCGTGAATGATTAAGGTGAGGAGCCCCAACTTCTGGGAAGAGCGTTTCCTTTAATATCTCTAAAGTCTCACGAGAAGAAAGCTCTTGATAAAGAAGTTCCTAAAGAGAAAGGGAGAAGACAGCCATTGCCATCCGTGCCGAGAGTGACCAAATGGGAATGGAGCTGGCATCCAGCCTGGCTGTGTACCCGCTTCAGCTTCCGGAACTTCCACATCTGCTACCTGGGAAGCCTCTTAGAGGATGTGAAAAACTGAAACCACTGTTCTCAGTTTGAAATGGAAATGGCACCTAAATGTGTTGAGTGCAGCCTGCATTCAGAGTATACATTCCCCCAAATTTGGCTGTGGCTTGGTCCTTCAGCGTAGACTCGCCTACTTCATAGGCAGCCTCTTCCATCATCAGATTTCTCTATTACACGGTATGAGAGCTGATCAAAACCAAGTTTCTTAAAACTGCTACCCCTTGATTCCGCTTCTCTGCCCATGTGCTCGCTATACTACAGAATCTGTAGATGGATCCAGACACCCAAGTTTGCCAATAGTAAAGAGGGAAGAAAAGAAGAAGAAAAAAGAGTTGGGCTTTAAAGAGAAGTAGCAGTAGAAGGATGGAGAGATGAGGAGGGACTACCAAGATGATTGGCGCTAGAAACTTAAGACCATTCATGCTCCTACAAGGATTGTACCCTGTACGGGTTGCTGGTTACCTTGCCAAAATTAACGTTAGAGTGATCACAAGGTAAAAAAGACAAAAGGGAAGAGAAGAAGTGAACTGAGTTATCGGACATGACAAAGTATAATCAGAAAAACAAGGTTCTTCGGGGCTCACTTATTATTTTTGAAGAGGAGCTGACATTTTATAAGGCTATCCTTAATAATCCGCACTTGCTCCTTGGTAGTCTCTTCATTTTCTTCCACTTCTTGTCTAAATTTACTCACTAACATTTTCCAGTTCTCTGTCAACTTCTGCAACAACGCAAGGTCTGAAGTGTCCTAGAGAAAATGCATGGTATCAAAACACTTATTAATTGATTCATATAACAAATAGTCACCAGATATACCAGGCCATTATCAATATTGTAATACTAGAGACATCCATAGGAAATGGATTAAAAATGTAAAAAGACACTCCTCTTTCCAAATGTCATCAGTGGCACTACTACACAGTCCCACTAGATTTTCCATGGCACAAATTATTAGAGACAAGACTTTTTCTTTGCAACAGAGCTCAATTTCCACGCAAAACTTTCATGAGAGGCAGTGTAATACATTGGAAAGATCTAAAATTTCAAAGCCAAATAGAACCAAATGTGAATTCTAGACATTTAACTGGCTGTGTACCCTTGGGGAATGTTATTTAATGCATTTGAGATTAATTTTTCTTGACCATAAGATATATATATATATCTCCTAGGATTGTCATAAGAATTAAATGAGCCGTGGCTGGAGTGACTCAGTGGATTGACTGAGTGCTGGCCTGTGAACCAAAGGATCGCCAATTCGATTCTTGGTCAGGGCACATGCCTGGGTTTAGGGACAGGTCTCCAGTAGGGGGCATGCAAGAGGCAGTCACCCATTGATGTTTCTGTCCCTCTTTCTCCTTCCCATCCTCTCTCTAAAAATAAATAAATAAAATCTTTTTGAAAAATTTAAAAAGGCATTAAATGAAATGACTAGGGTAAATAGTTTGACTCCAGAAACACTAAACACCACTTTCCTCCTTTGCAACCTTTTGTGCTCACTGAATTCTCCCACTAAATTGCACAAAACACATGGACAGTATAGCTATTTCAATAAACACAGCTACTTCCAATCTTTTAGTTTAAACACTTAGAGAATAACACTATAAATAACATTGGCAGCGTTATTGACTTAGACAAGGTGCTTAAATTGCTTTAATTAGGATGTAAGACAGATATAAAAAAGAGCCTTTATTCACCTTTCCTTAGAGTTTTCATTCTGTCTGCAATAAAGCACAAGTATAAAACTATATTTAAAACTTAATCCATACATTTAGCAAAGGCTTCTTATAGTCTCCACGACTCAAGCGAGCTGGGCTTTACCTTGCTGGACAGCAGTATGATGAAATGCTTAGCATATTTGCTCCAGCCTTTTTCGTTCAGGTAAAGTTTTTTAGCCAATATGACTTTATTTCTTTCAATTACCTATTGGGAAAAAAGGGCTAAAATTAAGAACCCAAATCATCAACAAACCACTGTAATTACCTTTGGCTATAATTTACTATATACCCAAACCATTTTCACATCAATTTTTCAATGAATCATTAACTCAGTCGCAATTTCTTATCTAAATCAGGAACTAATTTGTAACACAAATTTGTGTTTTTGAAAACCACTAAACTGAAACCAAACTGAAGTATTGTATGTAACAAAGGTTCTTACACAATTTGGTCTCAAAAACCCTTAACGCTCTTAAAAATGAGAACTTCAAAAGCTCTTGTGGCCCTGGCTGGTGTAGCTCAGTAGACTGAGTGCGGGTCTGGGAACCACATGATCACGGTTCGATTCCTAGTCAGGGCACATGCCTGGGTTGCAGGCCAGTTCCCAGCAGGGGACTCACGAGAGGCAACCATACACTGACATTTCTCTCCTTCCCTTCCCCTCTGAAGATAAATAAATAAAATCTTTATAAAAAAAAGCTTTTGTGTATATGATTATATCTATCGATATTTACTGTACTGAAAGTTAAAATTGAAATTATTTAAAATCTATATTTAATCCACTTAAATATAACATTAATAGACATGTATGTTAACATAGATCCTATTTTTATGGAAAAATAACTTTATACCCTGGCTGGTGTAGCTCAGTGTATCGAGCGTGGGCTGGGGAACCAAAGGGTCGCCAGTTTGATTCCCACTCAGAGCACATTCCTGGGTTTCAGGCCAGGTGCCCAGTAGAGGCTGCATGAGAGGCAAACACATACTGATGTTTCTCTTTCTCCTTTTCCTTCCCTTACCCTCTCTCTAAAAATAAATTATTTTTTAAGAAAAAAAAAACTTTATTTTTCCAAACAAAAAAATTAGTGAAAAGAGTGTCACGAGTTTGCATTTTTACAAATCTCTTTAATGTCTGTCTGCCTTAAGAGAATAGAGTTAAGTTCTCATATTTGCGTCTGCATTCAATCTGTTACAATATCCCATATCATGTAACTGCAAAAAATACCCACTGTACACTCGTGTGAAAATGAGAGTGAAAAAGGCAATATTATCTCTGTATTATGATGAAACTAGTCTGACCTCATGAAAAGGTGTCAGAGAACCCTCGGGGGCCCTGGGACCTCCCCTGAGCACCAGTGACATACCGAATTGGTAATATGGTCATTCAGCGAATGACTGTTCTAGACACTGTGCATACAGCTGTAAACGAAAGAAATGAAGTCCTTATTTCCAGGGAGGTGGCATGCCAGCTGTCCTTTCCTGTTGAAAGGGACTTTAGGGACAATCTACCTAACACAAAGCCCCAAAGTATAAGGTATCCTTTCATAGAACCCTCCACCAGGGGTCAGTTCTCTGCTGTTTAAATCCTTCTAGAGTGAGGAAACTCACTTGTCTTCTTTAATTCTCTTAGTGAACATGCCTCGCCCTGAGACTTGTTTCTTATATTATATGTTTACTGTCCTGGTTACTTCCTCTGGATGTGTCCCTTTTAAAATTCTGGATCAGGACTGAACATCATGTTCTAGATGAGGTCTGACCATTCCAGAAGAAAATGGGACAAAAGTCTGAATCTGTGCCAGGTCTTCATTTGCTATTGATACTCTTAGGCCCAAGATGTGAGAATAGGCAACCAAACAGCAAACATTTAGAAAACAAAATATCGCAGGACTTTGCTATTTCTCTAAAGCATTACTATAATGGTCCACAGGCTGCCATATTTCATTCATTTGGCACCTTGAATACAAAAGTAATAGAACCAAAGTGAGGTATACAGTGATCCTAACATGGTTACATTATGTGAAAAACTAGGAACCACTTTTCCTACTTTATTACCAGTATAAATTAAAGCTAAAAATTTTAACATGTTCGCAAACAACAGAAAAAGTACCTTGCTTATACTTCTTAAGTTCTGTTAGGAAAAAATTGCCTTAATTTGGCAATAGCCAGGTATTCAATAATGAAGAAACAAACAAAACATAACTTCCTTTCCAAGGTCCATAATGCATACACTATTCATTAGTTAAATATGCATCTTCATCTTTTAACTGTTTGTCTAAGTGAAATTTGCAAAAGGAAACTTTATCCCAATGGAAGAGAAGTTTGAGTCCTGACCCCTGATGAACCAACCTTGAGCGCCAGTTCATATGTGGCTGAGCTCCAGACGTCCCTTTCTGCCATTAACTGTTTAATATCACTCTCCATCCTTCCTCTCTGTAATGTGTACAAGTCATGGTATTCTTCCACAATTCTACAAGAAAAAGTAAGAAAGAGCATGTAGGCATTTTTTTAAAGGGGAACTTTGTTTTTTAAAAAGGCAAGTTGTTCCTTTCAGACTGATCATAAGGTAATTATGGTAAAATTGCTGGATATATTAATAACACCAACCTATAGCAGAAATAGAAGGAAAAGATTCACATTTCACTTATAAATGTTATAAATGTCTTAAATAAAAAGTTCAGTATATTGTTCCCTGCTCTAAATACTTTTCTTCATATTCTTCTACTAGACTTTTTACAACAGGGCATTCCAGCAGTATAACAACATTATTATCTAATGAAAAATTCAGAATATGAGTAGCAATAATACAGCAGTGTTACTTTTATTTCTCATAGAATTAGGATTCTTTGCTAATCCTAATTAGTAAACCACTCTATGTGAACCACTGTATTTTTAAAGTACATATAATTAATATAAGATTTAAATAAACTTTCTACCAACAAACCAAAAGCTTAGGATAATTAAGTACCTTTTCAGTAACTATGTTTTCTTTGTTTACCAGAGCATATGTTTTCCTTTTAACTTATACTGGAGCTTCTTTTAGAATTAAAAGCCCTTCTGAGACTAAATATAAACACAGAAGCAAAATGAACAGCAGCATTCGACAAACCTTTTGAAACACATGCTCCTAAGGAATATTAACTTTGCTACAGGAATGAAAAGCCAGCAACCGCCTGCACCCCTTCCTAAAGCCTCCCTTCTCGTCGGAGGCTTCCATTTGTTCAAGTCACTGGGAAAAAAATCAGTCATTTGAGGTGTCACACAGGTGACCACAACCATTAAAATCCCACACGCTGTGCCCATTAAAATCCCCCCCAAAAAACTAGACTCACACTGCTAATGAGAAAAATGTAAATAAAAGTCAGATGCTTTTTCATACCCACCCAATTAGTAAAAGATACGGGCAAAGGGGAACTCTCATAGACCGATGACAGGTTATCTGCCGGGACAACTGCTCTGTGGAACATTTGGCAACATCTAGCAAGACAAGGCTGTGCACATCCCATAGCCCGGGACCTCCACTTCTGGGTACACACCCGTGGAAAACTCACTCAGGAAGACATTTACATGATGTGTATTACAATAGGGCCTGTAGGAGTTGATATACATAATGAATTTACACTGTTTTAATTTTTTTTAAGTTGAATGCTTCTACAAAACTTTGATTTGTAAAGTGTAAAGCAAGTATGGCATAATGGCTAAATTTGATCGCTCACTTGGCATTTTTCTCAGCATCTAAAAGAGCTTGTGTCAAATCCTTGTGGGCTTTCTCTGCTTCCTTTGTTAATTTTATATCATGTGCCCGGACCAAACACAGCTCCCTGAAATAAAGCAAAGAAATTTTTATCACCATAGTTGAAGATTTCCAAACCATCTGTACTCAGGAAATCAGACTCACACTCGGGAATCTTCTCGGTTACCATTTGTACATCTCTTCTGGTTTTCCCACCTCACAAACCACATCAGTAAGTCTAGTGTACGTGTGGGTGAAATCTTGCCAGGTTTGGCAATGGAATCAGGCTGGCTGGAGAGGGCAGAACGAAGGTGTGGGGGGTTCCTCTGGAGTGGAGTGAAGGCAGGTGCTGACTGGCAAGGCCTCCAGCTTGCTCTGTGCTACCCTCTTCATTCTTGCCAATAATTATCTTGCTACAAGTTTAGATGATCACTAACCTTGGCTGCTATATATGTGCTTATTCTCTTTCTATTTGAACCTGAACATTCAAAATCAAGGCACTGCTCTGTAAACTGAATTAAGATAGATATCTCGACCTCAGAAGGAAGCATAAGATCTTTTTTCCCTATTGAATATACACAGTGCCTTAGTTTCGTGTTCACCTGTGTAACCCACGTCTCTGGGTATGTGTCTACATCTCTATCCAGTCCTTTCTGTTCTCTTGCTGAACAAGAAAAGAGAGCGAAATAGTTCTCACCTATAGCCGTTCTCCTTTCCCTAAATATTTCTGACTTCTCTTTGGAGACGTGACTTTGACTTTGGTTTTGTGTTTAAGATAATCACAGTTTTTACCTGGTCAGTTCCTCGATAACATTCTTAAAATTGTACAATTCTTGTAAGATGCGCTGGTCCATCATTCGCTGAGTCACCAAGTCTTTGTAGAAGTCAATCATCTGCCGGGCAATTTGGTCAAGCAATTGTACGTACCGCTCCCTGCGTGAAAAAGAAGGAAAACAAGACATTGTGCAGGAGAACAGGAACAGGAGTGAAAACCTGTGTGGGAGAAAGTAACGTTAGAGGGAGAAATAGTGAACAGGCACAAAGATGGAAAGAGAAAGGGATCCGGGCCGAGTATTCCTGCCATGCTCATGCAAGCGAATGAACTGTGAAGAACTTTAACCAGAGTCATAGTTATCTGGAATATAATATCTGCGACGTAAAACAAAATAAGGACGTCTTTGCATCCTTCTTCTAGATTATAGTCTCTATAGGAATCACGTCTTAAGTACTTACATATTTATAACATCTAACAGAGCAGCTTGAAAGTAGTGGAATTCTTATAAACAGTTGAATTCATGACTAAAACCACTTTTCTCAAACTGACCAAAATGTACCTACTGTTTAAAAATAAACAAAAAGCTTAAATAAAAAAAAAGTCATTTAATAAAATCAAGCAAAATATTTGGAAATGGTCGCAGACGATAAATTACAAATACTCTAATTGAGCAGTCTTTATTTTATGTTGAAAGGGGTCAAAGTATTATATCCTAACCCTGAGACCCCAGAATTATAATATCTTTGAGTCAGAATGGTCAGTTAGTTTAATCTCTCGCCCACAGAAAGAATTACTCGGTCCTTATTTAAACACTTAAAGCAAAAGGAAGTTTATCAGCTCAACAGGCAGGTCATGTACCAGGAAACACCCATTTTAAAAACACCTTCTTTAGGACTTGCCCTCCCTAGAAACATAGGGACAAAGTGTTCTGTAGAGCCTTCTAACACATTATAGCTACATCCACGACAGAGCATACAGTTTACCCCCACGCACAAAAGACTGTGGTGTCCAACACCTCAACAGAAGTCACCTTAAGGATGTTCTCAACTACCATATTCTTATTATAGAAAATATAATAAGATTGCCGTCTGGCTCTTTATTATCAATAAGAGCAAGAAGGGTATTTTTGTGATTTCCAATACGAAACCCACAAGGAAACTGCAATGACCCGCCAACTGCGCTCACCTGATTTTAGACAGCAGCTCTCCTCTGTCTGCACAGTCTACACTGACCTGTCGAATAAGTTCGTGAAACACCGTGTTGTAAATATTCTGTTCCTGCCTCAGTATATGTAGCAGTTTGTGCATCTGGCAGAAGAGAAGGTAATCAGCATTTATTATGGTAAACAGCATTTACCATGAAAACCATTTTAGGAGTTCATCGCTCCGAATGTGAATTAAGTTTTAGAAGCACCTTGATTAACTTACTTGATGAATATTTTCTATTATAATATATATATACACACAAAATGATATCTTTTTTTTAAATTGTCTAATCATTGCACCTGTTTGTATGATGTGCTGAGGTGATGGTGTCACTTTCATGTAATTCCCGCCAAAACCCAAAACCTGAACCTAATCATGGCTGCACATCAGACAAACCAAAACTGAGGAACATTCTCCAGGATAACCAGCCTGTGCTCTCCCAAGTATCAAGGTCGAGAAAAATAAAGAACTCTTTCAGATTATAGTTGTCTAAAGAAAAGTGACAGATAGCAGCACGGTGTGATTCTGGGGTCCTCAAAGAAAGGGGAAAATAGCTATAAAAGCCATTATAGGGACAATGGCTGAATTTGAAATATGAACTTGGACTACCATAACAATGTTAAATGTCCCAGTTTTGAAAACTGCACTATGGATACCTAAGAGAATGTCTTCATCCATAGGGAATATACCCTGAAAGTTTTGGTGGTGAAGAGGCGTGATGTCTCCAGCTTATTCTAAAATGGTTCAGAAAAAGAAGCTATGCTTATAGAGATATGCAGAGAAGGAGAGAGAATGATAAAGCAATTAGGGCACCATGTAAACAATTGGTGAATCTAGGGAAAGGTTACCCACAAGTGCCTTATACTGAACTTATGTATATGCTTCAAATTCTATAAAAACAAAAATTTACAAAACAAAAAAGAAATAGCCTTCATTTTAAAAAATCTATATCTATGGAAACCTGAAAGAGCCCCCTCATTAAGCACAAAATAAAAATTACAAGTGGTAAGAAAGTACAATTTAACTGGCGGTGGTTTTTACTGGTACATAAAATATTAAGGGTCTTATAATCTGTGGCGCCTAATATTCAATGGAATACAGTAATAATAAAACAGTCAACCCTGGACAGTGCAGGGGTAGGAGTTCCAGCGCCCACCCTGTCGGAAATCCATGTATGTCTTTGACTCCCCCAAAACCTGACTCCTAATAGTCTACTCTTGACCGGAAGCCTTGCCAATCACATAAACAGTTCATTTAGACATATTGTGTATGTTCTATGTATTATATACCGTATTCTTACAATAAAGTAAGTTAGAGAAGAGAAAATGTTATTAAGTAATAAGGAAGAGAAAATACACTGACAGTATTTACTGAAAAAACCCACGTGTAATTGGACGATGTAGCTCAACCGTGTTGCTCAAGGGCCAGCGGTCCTGACAGTGAATTGCAGGCAGCTTCCCACGTGCCGAGGGCTGGCTGCTCTTAGCCCCCTACATCATTATGTCACTCAGTCCCCACAGCCGCCACAGGAGCAAAATATCACCGTCATCTCTAAGTCACAGGTGAGGAAACTGAGGCACAAACATGATAAATGACTTGCCCAGGGTCACCAGCTGATCAGTGGCAGGGCCAGGATTCCCACCCAGGCACCCCACCGACCGGAGTGCATGCTCGTGACCATGAGCTAGGTTACACTGATCTTCGCAGTTACCTTGGTTGGCCCTGTGTAGTCCCGATCTTCCACCCCGGCCCTCTCCAGCATAGTGTCCATCACGTCACTCAGCTGGATCACCTCCGCTCTTCTGTTAGGCTTCCTGAAAGATGGAGACAGCGGACGTAGTAAGTACTGCTGCAGTAGGTCATCCTCAGATCTCAAAAACAATATAACATGTAGAAAGAAAATGCATATACTACGGCATATTAATGGTATCTTAAAGTATTAGACATGTAAGTATTGACTTAGTGGGATATCAGTAATACAGTTAAAAATGCAAATAGTATGATCCTCTGTTCCATAAAAGAAAATAATGCTCCTTCCCCCCAAAATTCTATTGTGTATGATTGTAAGAGCAGAAAAATGTGGAGAGATAAACACTAAGCTATTAATATTGGTTACTTCACAATGTAAGATGGGGGGGGAAACAAAGAAGTAAAAACAAAAAGACTGTAGTAAAATGGGAAAACTACTAATGGTTAAATGTAGCATATAAAAGTATTTTTTTATAAGCATGACCAGATGACCTGTTCATACCATGTATTTTTTTAAAGATTTTATTTATTTATCTTTAGAGGGGAAGGGAAGGAGAGACGGAGAGAAACATCAATGTATGGTTGCCTTTCGTGCGTCCCCTGCTGGGAAATGGCCTGCAGGGAACTTGCCTGCAACCCTGGCATGTGCCCTGACTGGGAATCGAACCGCGATTGTCTGGTTCGCAGGCCCGCGCTCATATAAAAGTATTTTTATACATCATCTAGCAATCCCACTTCTGAGTATTCATCCAAAGGAAATGAAGGGTCTTGAGAGATCACTGCTGCCCCCTGGCCCTGCCGTATTCACTGCAGCACTAGTCACAACAGGTAGAAACAACATAGATGGTGAATGACGAATGAATGGATGGAGAAAGCGTGATGTGTACAGACACTGGAATATTATCCAGCCTTTAAAAAGAATGAAATTCTGACACACACAGCAACATGGATGACCCTGCAGGGTATCACGCTGTGAAATGAGCTGGTTACAGAGGGACAATACTGCACGATTCCACGCACACGAGGCCCCTAAAATAATTAGACTCGCAGAATTGCAGAGTGGAGTTGTGGTTTCCAGGGGCTGGTGGGGGAGGGAAATGGGGAATCGCTAGTCAGTGGGCATGAGGTTCCAGTTGCCCAAGGTAAGTCCTACAGATCTGACGTACAGCACTGTGCCCGTAGTTAACACTGCAGTGCACACTTCAAAATTTGCCGAGAGCGGATCTCATGCTGTGTTCTTACCACCACAAAATAGAATCTAAAAACAAGGAGAATTTCAAAACTGTTTCTAAAAAGCATTTTATAATACTCAAGTACTATACATATGTAAAAACTGAATACGCAATTGGACAAATGAAAATACTGATTAGATGACAGAATTGTGGGCAATTATTGTCTTGGGTTCCTGCTGTCATTTTAATATATATGTATATAGTTATTCCCTCTAAGAAACACTTTTAAAAATAAACTGTACTCACATGGAGGGGAACAGCAATAGCCTGTTTTCACTGTCTTTGAGCAGAGTAGTGTATTTGCTGCAACGAATGAGACAGGTAAGTGTTACCATAAGAAAATCATCCGGGCTGCTTACCGCAGATCACAGCATCATCAACCTAAGACCTCACAGAACGGAGATGCTTGATGGTAACCAGAAAGGGCCACCATTTTGCACACAACATCATAACTGAGTAGCCTGAGACTTGCACAGGTACAGGTGTGATGGTGTTTGTTACGTCTGGAACTTTTTAAAGGACCTTGAATTGCATTCCTTAATATGTCAGAAAATGAAGATTGCCTTGATTCACTTAAAAGCAGCCTTTGCAAAAGTGGAAGGGTTGTCTAGGGACACTGAAGTCAACAAAGTGACTAAACAGGTCACGGAATTAAGAAGAAGCAAAGATAAAATCAGAACACCGTTTTCTGCCCCACCCCCACCCCATCTGTGCTCTGGAGATGCTTGTTGACACCTGAACCAGTATCTCGATGAGAAAGACATGGCGATCCTTTAAATCCACTCTTAGTTATGCACCTTTTTTCTTCCCCTCATTCATAAGCACTTCCTTTGGTTCTTTCCCCTCCTGGAACTCAGTTGGTTAATGAGGTCCATTTGCAGAACTTAGATCAGTAAAACAATCTCCAGGGAATATAAAGAGTCAGTTTCGAAAGTGAGTGTGTACCAAGGACTAGAAGCAATGACATCCCAGGAGCAATGAGCACACCTCGCACCCAGATCTTGGTTTCTAAGTCTCATTCTCCACTGAAAGAAATCAGTATTCCTTGGAGGAGTGGCTCAGAGTTCATTCTAGATGAACCTAAAAATCTTACTGAGCCAGAAAATAAGAGAACATTCAGAGAATTATGCAGACATGCCCAAAGAACACAAGAGCTAGCTCAAAGGAGCTAGCTTTGGCAAAAATCTGAAAAATTTTGAATATCAAAATAAATAATCATAGTAAAAAATAGTAACCCATTGGACACAAAAGAAATCTGTAGGTCCATATGGCAAAGTGCTAACAAATATAGAAGAAAAGATGGAGCTAAGAAAAGACCTGTAACTATGGGTGGCTAGAAAAAAATAAACTCAAGTATTTGGTGGTGAAGGGTCATAAAGTCTCCAACTTACTCCTGAATAGTGTAAATGTGTGTGTGTGTGTGTGTGTGTGTGTGTGTGTGTGTGTGTGTGTGTGTTAAAGCAAACGAAGCATTCAGTGAGTCAGAACAGAGGGCACAGGCAGTGCCCTTGTCCTGTTTTTGTGACTTTTTGATAATTTTGAAATTACGTAAGAATTAGAAGGCACCCCCAAACCAGTTCTATTTCGTTCTTTGACAAAACACGGCTCTGAAACCCACCATTGCACAGGGAAGTGCCATGTGACATGGGCACCAGGCAAAGCAGAGTGACAGCACCCAGGTGTTTCATTACAAAATCTCAGTCCGAAGTTCTAGTTTTTTACACTGTGAAACAGTCAAGTATTGTTCCAAAAAATAAGAACAAGATCCCATTTTCAGTCCTATTAATGGGAAAATTGGAGGTGAACAGTCCGCACTGTGGAGCTACGCTCTGGAAACGTGAGACGTGAGAATCCAGCTCAGGGGGCTGCTTGCCCTCTGTCTCCACGGTCATCGTCCAAAACCATTCTTAGAGAAGCAGAGCCAAGTGTTGTGAACAAAGATCCACTTTTTTTTTTTTAAGTCAGAACTAAACAGTAGGAAAAGACAGAGAAGAATTTAATCACTAAACCCCCAAATTCTTTCAAGGCCTTTTCATTAATTTCTTTAAGTGATTTCTTTCTGAAATGGTATTAGGACGGAAGGCCGAATGCCTTCTCCTTCCAGGGTGGACACTGCCCAGGACCGTGAATGAGCTGTTTCTAGGTTCCTCTGTTTGTCAGAAACTCGGCGCAGACCATGGTACTCACTCATCATAACACTCCAAACCCGAGACTCCTGTGTTTGACACAATGTGAAATTCTTCGGGAATCAAAGTATCTGTTAGTTTCTTTGGCTTCAAAAGAATAACAAGAATGAAAACATTAGCCGAGTTAAAAAAAAATGAATTGCACAAATCCTAATTCCTGTCCCAAAGGGATGCTATTTATTATGAGATTTTGATTAGAAAAAATAATAATATTAGTAATATGGGACATGGCAAGTAGTAAAAAAAATTTTCACCAGAGCACACTTTGTACAAAACACGAACTACATAATAATCTTGGTTTTAGTATTAGTTACAGGTGTCCCTTATACCCTTCAGAAGTCCATTGACTCTTTAAAATCCAATAGGAATTTAAAATTCACCTTAGCAATATCACCAAAATAAGAATTCTATAACTTTAAACTGTGAATTTCGGGAAAAAAAAAATCTAGGCTCCTCTACTGTATTTTCTAGATTAAGCGAAGGACCGTAGTTTGGAAAATGGCTCAACATAAGATACCTTTTATCTTTTCTCACTAAATACCCTTTTCTAGAAATAATTAAAAGTGCCATGAAAACTGATGAGCAGTGCAGGCTGTTGTTACAGTACAATGTTGCTTTGTGTTTTGGGGAGAACTTTTTTTAAGAAGAGAGAGGAGGATGAACTTGTTCATCAGATGCTTTATTTACCTTGTGAGGCACAATGGCGCTGTCACGTGGCTGTAAGGAATGGCCAGAATGCGGGGGACACAGTGTGCTCTCCCTGGCCTCTCCTTTGACATATTTCATGTCATACAGAAAAGAAATATCCCTGAAAAGGAAGAAAAGTCTATTGACAAAATCAGTTTTCTGTCTGGCGACTGGGTAAGAATGGATAAGGTTTCCCCGGGTTATTTCCTCCACTTACATCCTTGATTTCATCTTCACCCACATCCTTGGGGGTCTCATTGCAACCGTTGTAATCTCTGTGTATCTCCCCCTCTGTTGGGACACTCCCCTGGGCCTGTAACGCAGGTCCTTCCCCTTCTAAAAGTCTCCCCTGACCATGCATTGTCATGTCACCATAATCGACGGGTTGATGATCTATCTTCTACCTCTGACTTTCTGTCAAATATCGAACTTCTTGAAATTTCCCCCAAATCTGATTTCCATCTTCATCTCTGCTCTGAAACTACTCTCCAGAAAGCTGGCGATGACCTTCCACTGCTAAGCTATCAGGTCTTATCTTCCACTACTTCCCTGGATTTTTTCCAGGGTCGGTCACCTTTTTTTTAAAAAACAAACAAACAAACTCCTCTGTCCACTGTGTTGCTGGACTTGCCCGGTTCTTTCATCCTCTCTTGACTACTACCCCTCGGACTTCTCCGTGACCCCCTGGCTGCTGGACGGAAGTGCTCCACAACGGTCTGTCCTCATCCCTTTCTTGTCCTCTCCCTCCGCTTTCTCCCTGGGCAGTGTCATCGAGTCCCTCCTTATTACCTTTGTCACCTCCAGACACAGCTGCTGTCGCCCTCTGTTCTAACTCTCACCCTCCCGAGTTCACTAATTCTGCCAGCAACACTGCTCCACTCATCAAAACCTCAGCCTCCATCACTGATCCCTTCCCATCCTTAGCCCTCGGGACACTCCACACGTCACGAACACATTAACTTTACAGCCATGCTCACATCATTCCAGTGGTTGGCTTTCTGTTTTTTGCCAATGCCAAAGTCACTAGTCCAAGTTGTGATCACGTTTTATGTGGATTCTCTGGTATATTCTACATATTTCTGCCAGCTTTATCTCCTATAGGGGCTATAATCCTGTCACTTACTACACATAATTTTCAGACGTCTCTGCCCCTCCCTCCAATTTGAATGGTATTGCCATTATGCAGTGCAAGTATGTTGGTTCACCAAAAGAAAAGAGAACGACCCCAGGGTCCAGCAATCCCATTTCTGGACACACCGTATATGCAAAGGGACTGAAATCAGGATCTCAGAAACATATCTGCATTCCCAGGCTCACCACAGCGTGACTCACGGAAGTGACGACAGGGCAGTAACCTAAATGTCCACCAACAAATGCATGGATAGAGAAAATGTAGACATGTTTCCAACAGAACTCGACTCAACCTTAAAAAAGAAGGAAATCCTGCCGTTTGTGACAATGTGGATGAATCTAGAGAACCACACGCCAAATGACGTAAGCCAGCTAAACACCAACACTGCGTGACCTCCCCTGTGGGAAGAGGGGGTGGGAAGCAGGGGAGAAACGAGGGTGTGGTCAAAAGGCACAAAGTCTCAGCGATGCAAGGTGCGTGAGGTGTGGAGATGGAATGCACAGCACGGCGACAGCACTTAACACAACTGTACCGTATCCTTGGAATTTGCTGAGAATCTTACACGTAATCTCACCACACACACACAGACACACAGGACAACTACACAGAGGTGATGGACAAGTGATTTAGCTTGATTGTGGTGATGTCACAATGTATATATTTTCCAGAATACCTCTGTATGCCTTAAAAATACACTTTTAATGTGTCAGACACTGCAATAAAGTTTTTGTTCTTTTTTTCATGCTGTGCTATCTATCACAAGTACCTAATTGCAGCATATTTTCATCACCCCATCATCAATGAGCGGACAGTTGAGTGGTCTCCGCTCTGTGGCTATATGAGTAATATTGCCATGAATATTCAGGTAAAGTTTTTGTGCAGATGGGTATATACATAGGAGCGGAGTCCCTGGGTCATGTGGCAACTCTGTTTAACTTTCTCAGGAACCACCAGACCTTTTTCCAAAGAGGCAGTGCGATCTGGCATTTCCACCAGCAATGTACGGTACTTCCAATTCTTCTACATCCTCACAAACACTTGTTACTGTCTGCTTCTTTATTATGGCTGTCCTCATGGGTATGACAATAGCGTCTCATTGTGGTGTGATTTCCATCCTTATGGCTAATGAAGTTGAGCATCTTTTCATGTGCTTCTTGGCCATTTTAATCTTCTTTGGACAAATGTCTATCTGAGGGGGCACACTGCGTAAGGACGCAGCCTTGGAAGCAGTGACCCCTCCACAAGGGGTCAACCCCATCCTTTTCTGGGAGACATTCCCAAGGTCATTGCCTCACACCTGCTCCTTTACCACTTCCAACAATTTTGTAAATACTTGATTTCCTGCTTAAAATACTGAGTGTTTTATTTTCTACATCGAATTCTGATTCAGAGTCGGTGGAAATATTACTCAGAGGCCATTTGCCTGGTTGTTTTGTATTTTACTGCTTTGCTCTGAATATTTAAGGTTGCTATACAAGTTATCTCTTATTATGAATAGTATGGATTGTGTACAGATGTGTTCATTTCCTACTGGTGCCAAAACAAATTACCACAAATTTAGCAGCATAAACACCACCAATTTATTATCTTATAATTCCATAGGTTAATAGTTCAACACACTGGGATAAAATCAAGGTCTTCAAAGGGCCACGCCCCTTTCTCCACGCTCTGGAGGAGTATTCCTTTCTTTGGTCATTTGGGTATTTAACAGAGTTCAGTTCCTTGTGGTTCTAGGACTGAGTCCCTGTTTCCTGGATGGTTGTCAGCTGAGGGCCACCCCCCCTCCAAGGGCTACCCCCCATTCCCCCCACCTCCATTTCCAGTGGCCGAGGGCGATTCTTAGCTTGTTCTCTGGCTTCCTCCATCTTTGGAGCCAGCAAGGAGGCTGAATGCCTCTCCCTTGCCTCTCCCTCTGAATCTGAGCTCCTTCCTCTGTCTCATGTCTCCAACCCATGCAAATGCCTTCCTTTTCTATGTTTAAAGACACAGGCATTCAGTTCGGGCCCATGCTGATAATCCAGGATAATCTCTCCATCTCTCAAGGTCCTTAAATTTAACCACATCTGCCGAGTCCCTTTTGCCAGGTAAGGTTCCAAGGATTATAGTGAGAACATGGGGAGCGGCGGGGAGGCCACAATATGATCTTCGCACTTACAAATCCCAAGTCAGAAGTCATTTGATTGACATTAAAACTTTTATATCTGTTATTAGCCACATTCCGATAGAGCTCATTATTTTTTAAAGCACTTTAAATATCTCGTAACTACTGGTCCTATTAATAATTATGGCCATGATCTGAAGGCATAAAATTTAGATACTTTATGACACGTAGGCCCCAGGACTCAAAAGTCAGTGGCCCAGTTTCCCGCCATTTTTTCTAGCACTGATATAGTTGAGTATTTAAATAGCCCTGGGTAGTTTTGCAAGTGCTCTTCCATTCATTACTTCATTTGTTTGTTCTAGATCCTGGGAGGTACGCAAAATGGAGCACATCTATTGTTCCCTTCTTATAACTGAGAAAACAGAACACAGAGGGACCACCCAACCCACCTAAGTGCTAGTAAACGCAAACATTTCTTTCAGATGAAGTGGTATTTCGGTGAGAAGCGCTCAGCTGATAAACGGACCACACTTAGAAAACGAGAAGGTCACAGTTTTCACAGGAAGGTGCTGGCATTTAGAATATTTTGGGGAATGATCTAAAGACCACAAATAGAATTTATGGATTTGATCTGAAACTGTGTAATCTCTGGTTAAGGAAAACCAGAGATTCAGCACTTGTTTTTCAAGGCTTTCTGCATCTTGAAGCTACGTCACCCAGCACCCAGCACTTCTCAGATGTACAAATAAAAGAGGCACTAGAGGCACTTTGCCTGTCCCTTTGATCTTGTCCCTTGTACTAGGGTACAAAGGAATGGGAGAGTAAGGGGACAAGAACAGAAGGCATGCAAAAAAGACAGCGAACAAACTAAAAGTAAGTACAGCTAGCACCTACTGTCATCCTACTGATAAGCTGGTCCCTCCTCAGAATGTACTGTGACTCATCAAAGATACTATGCACTTTAAAGTTTAATTCAGATTTTATCAACGGTGCCCCTCCCAAGGAAATCATACGAAAGGAGAAAGTGACTATCTGAATCCACCTCTACTATCTTCCTTCTTTACCTTCCAGCTCCTGTTAGTGAAATGGGATGGTCAATCAGATATTTGAATTTATTCCTACGAACAGGATGATGCCAGACGTGATCAACGGGGCGTGGAAGGGTGCCCTGTTGAACAGCAAACGGGAAAAAAAAAATGAATACACACAGCAGAGGGCGCACTACTCAAATAAAATCTTATTCTTAGTCATTTTGAGTATTTACTTACATCAAGAGCATTTGTTTATTCTACAGGGGAAAAAAAGAGAGAGCAACATTCTTATTCCATAACAATGAAAAAAATTGAAACTAGAACTATTCCACATGACAGGAAAATATCAAGACTAAGAGTAGTAGTAATCATTTAGGTAAATCACATAAAAACAAGTTAGTGAAAATAAGTATTTCCTTGGAAACATTCATGCAAAAGAATTTAATTTTCAATATAGGAAATTAATTTTAAAATACTTTTAAAGACAATCTGGAATATATAATGTATGCTCAGTAAATATTTACTGAACTGGATACCAAAAAGAGGAGTGTTCCTAAGTACTTTCTGTGTGTATATACACACCTTTGGGGTTTTAAGTTTCTTTGGAGGCAGTAAGTTTTCAGGACAAGGACCAGCGCTGGCTGCATAGGTCAGAGAAAGTAGAACTTCTTCCGGGATGAACTCATTCTGAAGGGAAGTAGGAAGGGGTTTTGAATGATCCACCATATTTTTTTTCTCCCTTAGTTCAGGAAGTCCTAAGAAAGTAATGGGAAAGAAAAGCTTACTGTGGTTTTTTTGGAGGTAGCTGGAGATTCTCAAGCTGCCTCATCAATCCCATTTATGTGTTTCTAACATATGTTTTAAATATTTCTAACATTTATATGCTTCTGGTTGCTAAGAATAGTAAGAATATTTAAAACACCAACCACCGTCTGGTCAAGAAAAAGTTACTCCTATTGTCTGTCCTACTTACACTTCCATCAGACACAGGTTCACACACTCATGTACAAAGATGAGCTCCCATTATTCCAAATTCAAAGTTGAAAAATAAATTCAGTTCACTTGCTCAGTTACCTGCCATAGCCTTCAGATGATGGGAATGCCCGTTTTTCCTCTGATGCGAAATGACAGAAAAAAACCTCCTGTTCTCAAAACCGTCAAATTACTTAATATTTTTTCTATAGAAGTTCAAAGGTGAGAAGAATTGCATTAAATTGGGGCACTCATAGAGAGTGAAAGGGATCTGCTTTGGGTTTAAAAGTCAAAGTCCAATTGGGATTGTTGGAAATGAAGAGTGAAATAATCCGAGCAAATCGGTCGGGTAAGACCAGTACAGTGTTGTACTCGGCTTGATCAAGGCAGAGATGTAAAGGTAGGGCAAATACAGGAAAGGGTCTCCCATGAAGTCAGAGAATCAGAGAATCGGGGCGGTGGCTCCTAAAGAACTCTCCACTAATCTCTGCCCTACTTTTCTGCCCTGAGTATGGCTTACGTTAATTTCCATAAGGAGGTATCCACTTTGATCACTATCAAAACCTCTCAAGTTCACATTACCAAAATGTCTGTCTCTAGAAAATTTGGGGTCGAATCAGAGTATTAGAGGAAGTAGAAAATGGAAAAAAAAGATTTAGGTGGGAATTTTTAGCACAATCTCCCCTAAAAACAAGATGTTGGTGAGTTGGAGGAAACTTTAATATGACGGGGGGGGGGGGGGTGGTAGAAATGAGTATAGCTGATTATTTCCTAAGTACAGATCTACATTTATCCACATATGAATTAAAATCATAAATAAGGAATTACTTTCATTTAAAATAATTATGAAAACCTGATACAAACTGATTCCTTATTCGGTACCAAAAAAAGTAGTTTCACACAACTAATGGCATGTAAGATAGGGTGCATTTAAACAATAGAACATCAGCCTTTGAAAAAAATTACACAGTAGTCCTTAGGTGGCGTCGTGAAACAGGGATCTGACTCGAAAATACTGTAAAATGAATGGCTTTGATTTCATTATGAGAGTATTAGGAAGACGAAGCTAATTAACGTATCCTGAAACCTCAGATTAAGGAAAACGGTAGACGGATCGTGGTTTCTGTCTATAGCCATTATTATTTATGTCCACGGACCCTCCAAGAACTTTACCTGTCTCTTCTTTGGATGCAGAGACTCTCAACTTTTTGCTCTCAGACGACGTCGGGGGTGTTTTCGGGTGAGCCATAATAAACAATGCCTCCAATCACTCTCTTTAATAATTTGAAATAGCCTTCTCGAAAATTAACCTAGACACAAATCAGCAACATGTTGGGCAGGGTGTAGGCAGAGTAGGGGGAGGGGGAGAGACCTATTAGGAGCTTATGTTAAATATCGGAGTTGACAATTCTAGCACGGGTTTTGCGTCTTCGAGGAGATTTCTGCGTTCCCTCGGGTCATCTGACCAGACTAAGAAGCCTGTGGGTGTGCCAGGGTCTGCACCCAGCCCACAAAAGGCACCCTGGGCCACCCACCGACCCCAGCACCCGTTGGCTGTCTCCGGCCTCCCCCACAGGCAGCGCCCTGGCACGCCGGCTGCACAGACTCGGGTTAGGCACTTGTCACACTGTTGTGCCTAAGAAGGGATGGGAAAGGGACACTTGCAACCCGTACTGTAGGTTATGTTTCCCGCCAGACTTCTTGCGCCTCTCATTTTCTTGGAACCCTCAGTGTCGTCATGGCAACCCAGGACCCTGAGCCCTCGCCGCTCTCAATGGGGACTGCCTTCGGCGGTGCCTGCGGAGAAGGGAGACGACTGAGAAAAATCCCAACAGTCTCTCGGGGTCTCGGTGCGTTTTAAAGGCTCAGTAGTAATAGAGAATAAAAGTGTTTAAACGGGCTGTCCTCATGGAGACCGAAGGTGTCTCAAGCTCAGGGCTTCTGCCCGCAGGCTGGCGACAGTGCGCACGCGCTGGCGGTGGCCGCGTCCGTTTCCCACTCCCCCGGGACTCCCGGTGGGACTCCCGAAGGAGGGCGCTGCGGACCTTGAGCGAGCGGCCCGTAAGAGTTTCTCTCACCCGTTTTTTCCTGCTTTGCATATCTTTCTAAAAGCCAAATTCTCAGGGAAATGGGGTAATTAAATACTCCAGTTGCCATCGGTTGAGGCTTTATTGTGGATGTTGCCATGTCCTTGACCTGTCTTGATCAAGTCTTCTTGGGACACTGAGCGCCGCCTTCCCGAGCACGTGGAAGTCATTACTTGGTCGGGGCTTATTTTTTTTAATGGCTGGAGACAGAGGAAGATATTGCACTTTAGGCAGAGCCACCCTAAGTAAAATCGCTGGGTGTTGCCTAAAAACTGTTCTCAAAAAGAATGTGATAACACATTTGCACTTTGGGTTTGAGACCCTGCCCCATAACGCCACCCCGAATCATTTTGTATGAGATGGGAGCCGTAATGCCGAATAATGCCGGTGGGGATCCCAGAGGCTTCTACATTGATAGACTTAAAACCTCTGGTTTCTGATTTCCAGAGTAATAGCAATGAGAACTATAAGCAAAATGCTGGAAATAGAAACAATCCAAGCCCTGGCCAGATGGCTCAGTTAGTTGGAGCCTAGTCCTGAACACCAGAAGGTTGCCGGTTCCATCCCGTGGATTGTGGGTCACTTGTAGGAGGCAACTGTTTCTCCCACACCAGGTTCGCTTTCTCTCTCCCTCCTCTTTCCTCTCTCAAGTAAAGGTATCCTCCATGAGGGTTTTTAAAGTCTCCAAAGACCCTCTTAATTCTCCAAACACCTTGGATGTCAGCATTTTAGCCTTAACCCCTATCTCCAGTCACCCTAATTTTTCTCTAGGTTTTCCAAGGATTAAAATACACATATATAGTTCACCTTTAAGGGCTGGCAACCATCAAAACCCGTGATGCAATGCACAAGCAGGTAGAAGGTAACTTTCTAAGTGTATTTGCCTTCCTTGCTCCTTACCAGCATTGTGACTCTATAGTTTGGAACCATAACCATGATAGTGAACTTCAGAGGTCCCAAAACTTCAACATCAGTTTACACATGGTTTATCAAGCATTTAGTAACTCATCTTGCATAATCTTAATCCTTTTGAAAAGAAAAATCTAAGTAGGGCATTGATAGAAGAAATGGAGATAAGTGAACAGATTCAAACGATACTCATAAAGTCAATAATAGGATTAAGTGATTGGATCTGGAAGTAAAAGACATCAAAGGTTACTTTTCATTTTCTAGCCTGTGCAATGGTGTGATTATACATTGTTTCCTAAGCAAAGGTCTGGGTTAAAGTTGCAGAAGTATATAACGCAATAAGCACAACAGATGAGACCATAAGACCACTGCTATTGAAAAATACAATTTAAACTCTTAATTTTGAATTATACTGAGAACACTAAAATAGAGGAAGAGAAAATGCAAGACAGGCAGGTAATAATTCTCCTAAATGGAAATGCCCAGATATGTAAAACAGTCTGTCATAGTTGTTGACGAGGCTAGTTTGCTTGTTGGTGTCAGCCGACTTCTCTGGCAGCTTAACACCAACTGAGCAGTAGGGTCATCCAGGGTGTGGCCATTTTCTCAGCAGAGAGCCAGTGTCACCCCCAAACATGCCCCAAACTGAAGAAAACACAAGGAACAGTGGGTGTGCTTGTATAGCAACCTCCTTCTTACCAACTCATTTTCCAAGTGTGCAGGGAGGGCTTACACATACCTCTGTGTGCACCTACACACAGCACGCAAAGCTCCCTGAAGGGGTCTGAGTGGCAGGTGGACCAGAATTTTTCAGTGTGACTGAGAAATGAAGGCATTAATGACAAATGTTTTCAAAGAGACACTGAGAAGCCGAGGCACTGCTCAGCCTAACACTTCCCAGGGCACAGCAGCTCCTACTGCTGCTTCCATACAAGAGCATCACTACACCTGAAACGATTCCACCGATCGCCTTAATCTCCAGTCAGTGTTCAACTCACGGAGCACCCTCCCAATTCCACAGGGGTATGCCTGCAAGAATATGCTCTCGTCTCGTTCACAAGTGTATCTTCAGTACCTGGCACGTGGTGTTGATACAGTCTAGAATAAATCCATCTTCCTCATTGCACAGTAGTTGGGCTTCTGCAGAGGGCACACGTGACAACCTATTATCACACCACGTGCAATTTCTCCTGGTATAGTTACAGGACGGCACTCTCCTGCTTTAATCAGATCCATCATGAATCTAATTAATTTGGGTCCAAATGCAAGCTGAGCCTAAAAAGGCATGACCCTGAACTTTAGTAAATTCATCAAGGAGGGGCATGTCCTATTTCTGAGGGGACTTCCCCTTCCCAATCTGCAGAGTACATCTAGAGAGTACTTTCTTGGCTGTTACCGCCATACAGTGGGTTCCTGGAATCCACAGACCCTGCACCTGCAGATCCAACCAACTGCAGATGGAAAATAATTTTAAAAATTAGAATTGCTGCTGACATGTACTATGTAGTTACCATAGTACTGTAGTACAATGTAGTCAGGCCTATGATGTTTACGTCTCCTAACACGCTCAGACTTTACCTGTCATTATTCCCTAAACAGTACAGTATACCATTTGTATTATATTAGGAATTATAAATAATCTAGAGACTAAACTATACAGAAGGACGTGTAGGTTATACACAAACATGCCATTTTATATAAGGTACTTGAGCATCTGTGAATTTGGTATCCACGGGGAACCCTGGAACCAATTCCCCTCTGATAGGAAGAGAGGACAGTATGTTTCTATGAATAGAATGTTATACAATGTCAAATCCTACTCATATTGTGTTCCTATTAGGAGATTTCTTTGGAGGGAAATGAAGCAATTTATCTTGCTTCAAAATCAGCTTCTCCAAGCCTTGTCTGTAAAGGCACACGGTGGACACCACAGCCGAGCAGCTCAGTTGGTTGGACCATCGTCCCGTACACCAAAATGCTGTAGGTTTAAATTCCTGGTCGGGGCACATACCTAGGTTGTGGGTTCAGTCTCCAATCAGGGCGCTTATGGGAGGCAACTGATCAATGATTCTCCCCCCACATCAATGTGTCCATCTGTCTGTCTGAATCCCTTCCTCTAGGAATCAATAAATATATCCTGAGTGAGGATTAAAAAAAAAAAAGAGGTACACTTCCTGGCCAACATATTTTCACCTTTTATTAGAAACCTAAGTCTACGGCCAGGCCATACCATCCTGAACGTGCCCGATCTCTAGTCTGATCTTGGAAGCTAAGCAGGGTTGGGCCTGGTTAGTACTTGGACGGGAGAAACCTAAGACCATTTCTACCCATCAGAAGGTGGTAGGCAGTACATTTTTAGAAATACCCATTCACGAGTTTTAAAAGGCCAGCGACGAAAGGAATCAAGCCACAAATAATGACCAATATAAAGAGAAGGCCCAAGATTCGGTGTCACTGCTTTTCTTGGCATAAGTGAAGTCACAAGAAGGTCCCGTCACTTCTTTGTATGTAATGCAGCTCTGCATTATCCTGGATAAGAAAGCTGTTTTTTGCCTTCTCTCTGGCTACTTTCAGCATAGAAAGCTGCCTGATATCAGACAAAAAGCACTTGCGAACATGCAATATACAGTTCACATAAATACAGAGTTAACACTGAATCCATTTGAAGTTACTTTGAAAACAAGTTTTTTTCCCCAAAATCTATTTACCACATTCTTCACCTATGCAGCAGTTTGCCTTCTTGTGTATGAATACCTTTTAAAGAATTTCAGGCAATGGGAATACAACACACAGTAGAGGGTCCAGCAGAAGTAACGCCTGCGTGAGTGTGGTTGGAGGGGTAACAACATGGGTGTGATAATGTACAGTTTTAATTTGAACACTTCACCTAAAACGTTGTACAGTGGGCTTGAGTGTGATAATGTTACGGAATTACGTGCTTGTGATTTTGTAACAAAAGATCTTGTGATAAAAAGGAGGGGCGTTATTTGTGCCGGACTCAGAATCTACAAAGTGACGGCACCAGTGACAAGACACTCAGGGTCTGGAGGGGAGAGGAAAAAGGAAGTCAGGCAAATGAGACAAAAAATCAGAAGACACGTCTTTAGTTACAGAAAAACCTTTAAGCCACCGTGAGATTCCGGTGACCCCTGTGCTTTCTCAGAGCACCGCAGACTGGACACACAAGCTGGAGACGGACAGACAGGGGAAGCTGCCCGGCAGGCACACAGGGCAGGGCCTTGCGGGGGCTCGACCTCTCCTCCCACCCAGGCCCTGGCCCCTCGGCACCAGGGAGTTCAAACTGCTTCCCTACACAGCTGGGTGCCCGGAACTGCCTCGTGTTGCAAGTTATTTCGGACAAAGAGAAAAGTACACCTACCACCTCATTAAAACAAACAAAAGAACACCGGGAGCACAGTGAAGTATCTGTTAGCTTAAAGGGCATGTTGATTGAAGAAATGTCAATGTAAGGATGTAGAAATAAGGAAGAAAGCATTTAGAAAAAGGGAGTAGAGAGGCAGTTGTACATTTTTTAAAGCTTTTATCGCTTCTGAAATTAACCCTTTTTCTCAAATCCAAACTAGCTATTAGAGTCTGTATTTTACAGGAAAAAAAATGAAACAGTATTAAGTATTTAGTAGATTATATAGATTGTATAGCTTCCCTACTGGCCTATCGATTTTATCATTTACTGATTTCCTGGACATTCAACTTCCAGTGGGGAAGGGGATGGATGAACAGAGGGAGAAGGGCTTCCCTCTCCCTGTTGCAACGAGAGTAGCCGTACAGACATTTCACGTCCTTTACAAACTGGGCTCCAAGCACTACAGGAACTTTAGTGATGTTAGAAGCTAACCAAATATATAAGCTTCACAAATAACTTACGTAAGCTTATGGTATTACCATTCCTCAAAGCCATGTTCCCATTCCTTCCATTTCTGAGCCATAAACATAAAGAGATAAGATTCACAAAATGATGTCCAAGACAGTTCTTCAATGGTGTGTGTGTGTGTATGTGTGTATATATATATATATATATATATATATATATATATATATATATATATATATATTATATACCATACATACATACAAACCGTATATAAACTACATAAATTACATGAAATTTTGCAGATTAGTAAGCAAATCACTTAATATGAACTATCCTCCATTAAGAAATTTCTTCTGCCTTCCAAGATTACACACATTCTTTAAACTGGCAGAAATAAGGCCTCGTTAGTTTCTTTCCTCTCCGTAAATTCTAAAACTTAAATAAAAAATATACATACTCGTTCTAAACACTTGAGTAGGTAAGAGCAGAAATGTATTTCTTTATAAAACAGGCTTGGGACCCTACCCTAATGCTGGGCAATAAACTGGGAAAGACATTTGACAGATGGAAACATCGGTGAGAGCCTTTAACAATCTCATGAAATTCTTGTCGGTTCCATTATGGAAAGCCTGTTACCTCAGTCAGGGTGCAATACCAATTCACATCATCCTGAGAGTCTGCAAAGCAAAGCACAGCACATATTTTTGGAAGTTGGCAGCATTTGAAATCCATTTTTTTTAAAAATATTTATTTTTAGAGAAAGGGGAAGAGGAGAAAGGGAACATCAATATGTGGTTGCCTCTCAAGTGCCCCCTACCAGGGACCTGACCCACAACCCAGGCATGTGCCCTGACTAGGAATTGAACCAGTAACCCTTTGATTTGCAGGCCAGCACTCAGTCCACTAAGCCACACCAACCAGGGTGAACCATTCACTTTTTAAAAAGGATTCCAATGAGATCATAAGGGTTTAGGTTTAAACTTTATGGAGGATAAGAAAATAATGAGGTCCAATTTCTGCCAGGGCTTGTGCTTGGCAACAACCCTGTGAGGCAGTTATTATCCCATTTTACAGATGAGGAAAACTGTGGCTCTGATCCATGAAGCAACTTCACTCAGGGGCACACTGCTAGGCAGTATGGGGCTGCCCTAAATGAAAGTCAGGGCGCACTCTCTTCTCCCTGCACCACTGGTTTTCCGACTGCGGGTGGGAGGGGAAAACGGGTGCACAAACACAACAGGCTCCAGCACCCCCATCTCTACCTCGACCAGAAGCAGCTGTACTTTACCTGCTTCACACATTGGGCTGAAGTGTGATAGTTTTTTTGTAATTGTTTAGGCCCCTGGGTTTCTACAGTTATATACGTTTACCTTCATTTCTGTTCACCACACAAAACAATGAACTTTATTCAAAATTACTTATGACCACACAAAACAAAGATTATCTTCCTGAATGAGACTTCGACAACAATTCATAAATGGTATCTGTTTAGGTTGTATCACCCACATGACTACCTTTTAAACACAGTGTTCTATTATGTTTTCTATAAGACTTCAGGATTCAATTTTTCAGGCAAATATGGTTTTGGTATTATGATTAAAATTGCCTATACTAAATGAGTCACTTGTAAAACATAATCTGTTTGCAAATATAGAACATTCACTCACCGCACTTTAACCTGTCACGGTTATTCACTCTTACTCTGCAACAATTAAAAAACAAATAGGACATTTCCCCACTCCTTTTGCTTTCAAATGCTGTAGGTTACCAACAGGTTAAAAATAGCCTTAGTTTTCTAGTTAAATTCTAACACAAGGCAACTGCAGTAAATGAATCCACCAAAAGCCAAAAAAAATTTCCATTTTCCTTCACTAATAATTTTATTCTCCTTTTCCTTGAGAATAAAAACATCTAACACATTTATGGCAAAATTAGAGATTTTAGTTGTTCTCTTGGATAACACTCCAAAAATAGTTTCTATCCTTAATATTTCTTACGGAAAAGAAAATTTAAACTTAACTACTTTTCAAAGAAAAAAGGTATCATCCAGTAACTGAAAATAATTTTAGCAAGAGAAACTGCTAAAGGGGGAAATTTTAGCAAGGGGGAAATCAATAAATCTTCCCCAAATACATTAGTAAGTAGTTTTAAAAATCACTAATACACAAAAGGAAAACGAGGTTGTTTTGTTTGTTTTTTTAACAGCCACAATCAGCCCAACAAATACAGTGTTCGGAGTCAGTCCGGAGTCAGTCCGGAGCGACCAGGCCCCTGCTGTGAGCTGCACGTCTGCTGTGCTTCACAGAAACACAGACCCGAGGATTCCATTCTCTCGCTTCAACGCATTGGCTCATTCACACCCAAGTCTTCCACCAACCTCATTTTCTCGGCTCCCTCATTATAGTTTAAATGCAGTTATAAATTTAAGTGGTTGACTACAATTTAAAATATAGTCATTTTAATTGTTAATAAAATCACCAGAAATTAGAAGCAATATTACAGCAGTCTTGTTTCGGGGTTATGGTTCCATAACAATCACAAGACTACTTGACAGATACTTAGTGGAACCTGATGGAAGATAACCTCCTTCGAGGTACACTTTTGTCTGTTCAAGCTGGATTTGATGTGTAAAAACTGCCTAACTTCATTTGGACCTAAAGTACGGGGAATAAAATAGGTGACTGAAGTGGGTACTTGTAGTATAAATTAAGTTGTGACTATTAAGAAACTCTTCTTAACTTCTTGTGAGGCTCCAACCACCTTTAAAATAACTCAGAAAAGACTTCCAAAAATTTCTGGACAGCAGGAGGCCTGCTAGAATACCAAGAGAGCCCATCAGATGGGCTATTCCAAGTAACAACCATCTCTTGAATAATTTACGTCTTACTTCTTTGGGTGGAGAGCTGAACCACATACAAGGTCTCTGACATTCCTTGCAATGCTCAATCTTTACGAACACGACCACCCCTCAGACATACAGACAAAATCATTCCGCTGCACCACTCACCACTAGCAATGGGCATCTCATAACACAGGAACACCACACAACAGGGTACATGTTCTTGAAAATGATCACACAGCAGTTTGTTTCATCGAAACCCTACTACCATTAAAAGTACAATAATCGAACCAATACAGAAGCCAGCTTCTGGATCTTTAATAATCAATATAACATTAATGGAGGTGATTAACACTTCTGTTACAGGCTTACTAGCCTGCAAAATAATTCAAGTCAGTATTTATTAGACAACAAAATAACTGTACCAAAGGATATTTTAAATAACTTAAAGTTCTGTGATAAAGTAATTTAAACGCTTGACTGATTCTGCAAGTCGTTTTAAAAAATTACTCTCCAAGTTATAAAAAGACATTTTTTTGTCCTGTGCCTTCTTTCTCTTTCCCTTCCTACTTCTGTTCATCTCAAGGTATAATATTATGAAATCATACTCAAGAATTTGAGGTGAAAGGTATAATTTTGCTTCACAGTAACCATGACCTACACTGTTTAGTGAAAAGAAGATAAAACTGGGATAGAGTCAAACTTCAAAAAAAAAAAAATTAGGATATACAATAAGATTATCTTTAGAAAGTAGGTATTTTCTCTCTTTCTACTAGAAATAGAAAAACATTCCAAATTTTCTCTTCTTTCCCAATTGCATGCTTAATCAACATGCATTCCAACAGTGTGCATGAAAAAATTTCTAAGCCAGAGGTATTTCAATGACTTCTTTGTAAGTGTTTTGGCTAATTCAGTGGCCAAGAAAACATGATGTTTAGTCTCTGATTAGACAGTCAAGAAACAACACAGATATCATTTCTGAGGCTTAAGCTAATATGACCCAGCAAAAATCTGTCATTATGTTAGTTATAAGGCTTCCTTCTCCCCCAACCCCCTGCCCCCCAAAAAAAGTACTGCTTAAGTGTACATAATTCCAGTAAATGTCCAACAGCTCAGCTCCAGACGACCTGGGAATGGGGTGAGTCATCATCTGTCGGGTCTGGCGTGGTCCGCGAATAACAAAGCACTTCATTGGTAACCGCTGGAAAGAGACACTGGCCCCAAATCAGGCAGAATAGCCAATCTTCAGTGTCAAGGAATAAACCAAGTCCAAGCTTCTAAAATTCGTAACGGCAAGTCCAGGAGCGTGGCCGGATGTAATCCAAAAATGTTGGCTTCGAGGAAAACAGAAACACAGTTTACTTGTGTGTACTGTGTGCATGAGATGGGGGGGAGGGGCATTACTGCTACATGCTCTACACCTCTTAAAATGCCTCCCGGAATTGCAGCAACCTTTAAGTTTCAAGCAGCCCCGTAATTCACAAGATGGGTCATTATCTTTATCTATAGCACAGACTTGATTTAGAAGCTTTACATGAAGATTTTTGAAGTCCAGCAAACCCTACACAATGGCACTTCTGACCCAGTTTCAAACAGGTATTACCTCTTTACCCGTCTTGCGTTTTATTTTTAGCACACCTACTTCTCACAGTCTAGAGCAGTTAGTTCAAATGCACAGGGGAAGTGACAGGAAATAAGGAGAGCGCATTTGGGCAGCACAACGAAAACCGTGTAGACAGGAGAAGCTTTGGCAAAGAAACAGACTAATTTGATTGCTGGCATCCTCAGTTATAGGTGCTGCCTGTGAGAAATACCCAGAGAGAGGTACAAAGAAGGCACCCATAAATACTTGGGAGTTTCCATACACAGCTAAAAGCCCAAGCTCTAAGAATGAGACTCTTACATAATCAAGACTAATGAAATGACAACTGAAGAATCGAGGGAACTGGGATCCTAGGCGTATGAGTGTAGCTGGACATTTTTACAAAGAGTTAACAGTCTGGAAAGGAAGAGATAGAAAGACATGTTTGTTTAGGAGTACGTGTGGTGGAAAACCCTGTTTTAGGACACAGGAAGAAAAACAGAAGGAGCTAAAGAAAAACTAGTAACAGAGAAAAAAAAAAAAGAAGAGAACCAAGAAATAGGAGAGCTCAAAGTGAAGAAAAGCAAAGAAAAATTCCAAGGACAATGCAGTAAGATCAGATAACAAGCTAATGTTTCTCTCCCCTTAACATTAATTCATCACTGTCTCTACTACTCTCCTTCCCCTTAAGACTGCCCTCCAACCCTAACAATCGGGTACAAACAAGTCTCTTGTCCCCTCCAGCCTGACTGATGACTCACATTTTTCAGAGGACAGTGCTGACGCGCATACCACTCTTGAGAATAAAAGCACAGGAGGACTCCTTGGCCTGCGAAAAGGGACGTCCACATCATGACGTTCCAAATTGGCCTTTTCCGACTGTCATTGGCGATGAAGTTGAAAGCCACTGAAGTTAAGAAGATAAAAAAACACATTTATCAAAACAGTCTATAAAGAGCCTCAGATATCTGCTATAATCGTCTGTTTATCACAGTGAGCATCAACTGTGTACATATGTGTTTTATTCTGGCCACCGGTCCTATAGATAAAGATGAAGCTTCAGTGTTGAAGTTTATCAATCAGTGATTCAGTGGAAATCAGACAGCACTTAGAACAGATGAAAATATATTTCAGGGGCTCACCATAGTCTAACCTGTCCCCCCACCACCCAAAGAAGGGTCAGTTTTTTTCAGCAGTGAACAATGACAAAGTTGAAGAATAGGGAAGCTAGTTTTTATAGTTTTCATGACCTACCAAATCAGTGTTACCAACAGTCCTCAAGACAATATCTAGTTCACTTCTCTGCTTCCGAGTGGAAGCATCTTGAACCACCAGAGTTGTGTGTAATTACTCAAAACCAATGTTCTTACCCTCTGCTAAGCAGGCACTGCCTTGAGATGGTAGTATTGCTGACGTTGAGTTTTCTACACTGATTTTACACTATTTGGTAAATTCCTCTCTTGGCATCACACTCAGTCCGCAAAGCGTGCCACGGTACTTACTTCCAAAGAACATGAAGAGCACGAAGAGCACTGGGTAGAAGAAGTTCAAGCAAACAGCCAAAATATATTCGTGCACGACGGCAGACACGGCAAAGACAGCTAACATGGCCGCGGTCTTGAATCTCTTACTGAATAACTGGGGCAAAAGGGAAACTTTAGACAGCAGGTTTTGTTTTTATTTCTTTGTTTTACCACGCAGACTGCACCCTCCCCCGCCCCCAAAGGAAGAGAAGAACAACCATCACTGGTCACCAGCAGTTGCAAGAGCAACACCGAAGGCTGGCTTCACACTCGGGAGAGAAGGCTACGCCTCCTCCTCGTGGTTTGGGGCACTCTGTGCACTCAGAGAGACCCCTCTAGCAGCAAACTACAGAAACGATCCCTGAAAGTATAGTCTGAAGGCAGTAGTTTTGAAAAAGTCAATAATTAAGCATGAACTACATAAGATTTATGATTACCACATGCTAAAGGCATCTATTTAACTATATTTACATGTGATTTCCAATCTATAATGCAAATGTATTATAATAATTATAGAAACATCTATGCTTGAAAATCCTGATTTTACTAAAATGAGCCATTTTCAAAACAATCAATGATGAAAAAAGATCTGGGCATATTTTAAAAAACATTAGTAACTTACAAGTCACTCTGATTGACAAAACACAGTTTCTGTATAATAACGAACACATCAAGCCTCAACCTTAGCATAACGCAGTATGGTACATAGGGCAGGCATCCTCTCCATTTTTACAGGTAACAAAACTAAGATTCAGAAAGAGACTTGCCTTGTCCATAGTGAAACTAAATATATAAGTGAAGGAACACTCAAATACACGCAATCCCTTGCCAATAATCTGGAGATACTGGTGACTGGTGTTAACCACGAGATTCAATGTTACACTGCATCACATTAAATACATTCTGCTCTGGGGAATGTCACAAAGAACCCCTCTCCCCTACAATGACCAACCGGAGAGATATAAATCCAAACATGGGTGTTTCTCCAGTTTTAACAGACCAAAAAAAAAAAGGTAGGGGGGAGAAAGAAAAGAAAAAGTTGGAGGGAGATGATACGTTAGCAGTGAGATTCGTAAGAAATGGCCCATAAGTACCGGATCATTTCAACTTCTCCAAATGCTTGCATGCATTCCTACTTTGTCTAATTCTATAAAATAAAATCCAGAGCAAAAACCTGGTATGAGACCCAGCAAGGGTCCATACTGGTCTAAGCAGTACTATTCAAAGCAGAAGGTTTCTTAGACCTACGGGGCTCACAAGGGAACCGAAGACACTAAGCACAGCATCTTAGTATTCCCTGCAACACCAACACTTCCTGGAGCCGAATCTCCGTTTCTTGAACACCACCAGCTGAACCTCACTGCTTACCCAGAGGAAGTCCTTGTAGGCATAGTAGTACAGCCAGTCATGCACCACCACGTTCCAGGTCCGGTAGTAGTTGGAGTAGGAGGTGGAGTTCCACCAATCCTGCGGGAAAGGGGAAGCGATAGAACTGTACACACACCACACGTACACTACACACACCCAGAACCACAGCAAAAAACTCTGAACCTTCCCAAAGAACATACACACGTAATCTCCAAGAGTATGTTTTGGTAAATTGTTAGTCCCTACACTGATGTCAGAAAAAACTTTCTTTAAAAAATTTGTTGATTTTCAGAGAGGAGAAGGGAAGGAGAAAAAGAGAGAAACATCGATTGGTCACCTCTCTCACGCCCCCAAATGGGGACGTGGCCCGCAACCCAGGTGTGCGCCCTGACTGGGAATCCAATGGGCGATCCTTTGGTTCGCAGGCCTGCACTCAATCCACTGAGCCACACCGGCCAGGGCTGATGTCAGAAAAATCTTAAAAGATATTTTGGTTATGAGTGTCGAATAGGATATAAATTTTAGTTCTATAGATGACTTTATTTTGTCTTACAGTGGAAGACACAGAACATATACAATGGTTAAACCCAGTATTCCTTTAAATAGCAATCCACAAATCCTCCCTCCCTCTCGAAAACACACTGAGGGAATTCTAAGGTCACACGGACTTTGGCATATGCTCACACTGGAGAGCTGTCTGCTGGTGTCCGGCAGAAAAACTTAAGCTGTATGTACAGGGAGTGAGCTAGGAGGTGGCTGCCTCCCAACCCTGGTGCTCCTTTGAGTATGTCGCTCCCTCCCTACCTTAAGATGAGACCAATGGACTCAGGCGTCTAAAACACACACCCTATGCTCACTGTCTCTTTGAGAAAGGAGTGGTGGGCTTAAAGGGCTAACAAAACCACAACAAACCAACAAAACTCTAGACCTGGGCTCTAGTCTAGAACTTAATTCCAACTTTGGAAGTACAGAATACTATCTGAAGCAGAATTAAAGCCTTGCAGATATAAAAGAGGACAAAGTTATTTTCTTTCTTCAACGACCTAAAGTGGAATAATTTGCTAAAATTACTCGTGCCACACCAGACAATCTCAAGGGAATAAACAGTTGGCAAAGTCTCTTAACCCCTCTGGACACATGCTTTCCTACTGTGATCACCAATGCAGGCTCCAGGGAAAACCACATGAAAGTGGAGGGCCTCTGAGGCAAAAGAGAAGGCTTGAATAATTGCACTGATATCAGAATTCGAACTTATCAGTACTGGTAAAACATGGGGGGGAAAGTGATTTCACAATGTTCGTGTTAAAAAGCTAGAAGCCAAGAGTGCTCAAATACCTGACAAGGACATAATAAAGGGTGAAAAGAAAAGTGAGTTTAAGTATATATTACCTTATAAAACATTCTGTCGCCAAAGCGTAACATCTCAGCAAAGGCATTGAGCCAACAGTGCAAAAAGGAAAAAAAAACAAGTAACTGTGCCAGTACACCTAAAATAAAACGAACAACACTGAGTCTTTCCACGTAGACGTTAATGATGTCACCACCTGTCTAACTCAAATAAAAATTATTATTCCAGCTTACCCATTCCAGAGATTACAGTGTTCTTCGTAAATTATTTTAGTTTTACAAAGTAACTTCCTTCCAAATGGGTTTTACAGATGACCAATGACCCAGCCTGTTTTTGACAGAAATGCCTAGATGTATGGCTTAACTTGATACCCAAGGCCCTTTCAAATGTGGCCCTCACGCATTCCTATAAACCAGTTTAAAACGGGGGGAGATTCTGTCTCCCACCTCCCAAGGGACATTTGGCAACTCTGGAGACATTTTTGGTTGTCGCAACTCAAGGCACAAAGTCCCCCGAAACAAAGAATTACCCAGGCCTACATGTCCATAGTGACAAGGGCACTTAGCTCCAACTCCACTCTCAGTGCTGCAAACACCCCCCAACTGGACTTCGGCCGTTCTAAAGTCAGTCTGTGCCTTTGCATCCATCCCACTACCCGCAAGCACCTTCCCACCACTTCTCTGGCAAGCGATTGCCTATTTATCTCCAATACCGATGTTGAATGTCATCTCCAACATGAAACAAAGTTAATCAGCACTTTGTTTATCCTCCTTATGTAGTATATACCACACTACGATGTAAAACACCCATTTACATGCCCACCCCTTTCATTCACTTATTCATTCAAACGATATTTATAAAGCATCTGCTGTGGGTTAGAGAACATGGGAGAGACTGTGACTGGCTGAGTAGCTGTAAGACACAATCCTTGATCTCAAAGAATTTGTAGCCTGGTGAGGAAGACACACAAGTATGTAACACATACACTATTAGAGGGACAGATAACAAACTTACTGGAGTAAATCTTGGTGAGCAACCAGAGAGAGAAGGAAGAGAGCAGGTGATCATGGAAAATGTTACTAACATTTCATCAGTAAAGTGAAGAGTAAAGAAAATGGTATGTATAATTAGACTGCAAGCTTCCAGAGGGTAGACAGTATGTCTTGTAATGCTGTGTCATCAGCACCGGAAATGTAGCAGGGAATGAAGCAAGTCAGAAGAAGTGGTTAAGACCGAAGCATGGATGGAGAGACAGAAAATGAAGAGTGGCAAGGGGGGATTTTAAGACACGGTCTACAACTGACGGTGTTTCGTGGAGACCAGAATCAGGGCTGTGGCACCCACTGGGTTTAGAATCAGGAAATTCCTAGTGATTTTATCAAAGGCTATTTCAGTGGCCTGGTTGGATTGGGAGCAAGACGATGGGGAATAAAGCATAAATATGCATTACCTGGTCAGAGAAAGCAGCTTGAGTGAAAGCCAGAAGACCAGTGATAAAAATGGGCCTAAGACCAAAATATGCTGCATTTATGGAAAGATCAAGATGGGTACAGATATGCAGACGAGTTTATGGTGAAAAGCAGGTAAATCAAAGGTACAACAGCTCTCTATTTTCCTTGCAATTTAACGAGTGGCCAAATTCAACAGCACCCTCATTACCTGGCAACATGGAGTTAAATATACAAAGGACCAGAACACGAGCACTGAAGGGCTCCTGCTTGATATTCCGAAACAGGGGGGCGCAGAGCCTTTCGAAGATGTAGTACATGTAAAACAAGCAGCCGAACACCTGGAACAGCAAAGGTGTGGGTGTCAGAATGAGGGCTTGACGAGGAAGGCTGGCGATTTTCCTTAAGATACACGTGACCCGGAATGTTTACATATTTTCTTTTAACAGTAGTGCAGCATGAGACTGCCGAACTGTGCCCCTCAGGTGTTACTCCACACCTGGTTTCTACCACACCTTTCCCCAAACCTTGACCAAATGGCATTTTTTAAAGATCAGACCCTTAGGAACCTGCTTTTCCTGCTACATGAATCCATAACAAAAAAATTTACCTCGTAAGTGGGTATTGATTGAGACAAGAATTTGAAATGGAATCTTCTGGGATTTGATTCCAATAAGGGGTGGAGGAGAGCTGGGGGGAGTGTCAGATCCTACCCACCCACATATATAACCAAAAATATAAAAACAGGAAGGGAGAGGGAAATTAATGAAACTGAAGTAACCAAATGGAATTACCTTCATTAAAATAAATTGTTTTAGATGTGAAGAAAATTGTTTTTGATGTTGGCAAAGCAAACACCGTTCACTATACTGGGAATCATTTAAAAACCTTGGGAAGTGCTGTACAGGTCCCCACTGACACCCCTTTACCAATACTCTAAATAGATTAAATGATCATAACGGATTCAAATCCTCATCTCCCCCCAACTGCCAAACCTTAGGAAGGAGCGGGGAGAAAAACTTACCTGGGCAAACTGCGTAACGACGTAACCCCATCTGATAGTGGGGGTCCTACAAAGGAAGCAACAAAGTAAGTTTTCTAGATAAAACACTGAACCTTAACGAAAATCCTCACAGTATTTTCCCACGTACAACACTTTTTGGCATAGGAGATGCTTGTATAATTCTGTCCCAAATAACTGTGAGCAAGTGGGGTTGCTAGAATCACCATTTGGGGCTCCCCGGGCAGCGAGGACATGAAAACGCACTCTCTAGTCCCTGGAGCCCTCCGTGAGCGGCCCCTCCCTGCCCCCCTGGCCACCCGCCCCCACAGTTAAGGTGCTCACTGCCTCTGTGCCTCTCGGTGTGAGTGCCGTTACCTGGGATAGCTGTCCCGGTAGATGAGGGTAGGCGCGAACAAGAAGTACAAGTACTGGTTGACTGTGGGCACTGGGATGGTGCCTGGGAGGGAAAACTGTGCTTAGGTCAGGAGCTCTCAGCAAAACTAAACAGGGAAAGCAAGACCAGAAGAGGGAAGCAAAAAAATGACCTCCCCAAATAGCGACTTCTTATTCTGGTAATAACACAGCAATTCCTCCACACTGAGTTATTCCTGTGACTTACAGGTTAACTCCTAGAGCTTAAAGCAGCAATTCAAAGAGTCAAAGAGTAATAAGCACACATGGGCATAGTGAGTATATTAACATTCTACAAAAATTACCCAGACTTACAAGTGACTAATGATCAGTGGTTTTTGTATTTAACTGACAAGTTGTATTGTTTATTTGGCTATTTCATTTAATTATTTTTCAATTACAGTATTCTGTCTTTTACTGCCATCCCAGCCCACCGCCCCCCGGACCCCCCTCCTCCCTCCCATTTTCACCCCCCTTAGTTGTTGTCCATGTGTCCTTTATACTAGTTCCTGTAAATCCTTCCCCTTTTCCCCCTGAAATTCCCTCCCCTCTCCCCTCCGGTCACTGTCCCCCTGTTCTTTATTTCAGTGTCGTTGTTTTTATTTTGCTTGCTTGTTTGTTTTGTTGTTTTGCTTCCTGTTAGAGGTGAGATCATATGGTACTTGTCTTTCACCGCCTGGCTTAAAAATATGGAACGCTTCATGAATTTGCATGTCATCCTTGCACAGGGGCCATGCTAATCTTCTCTGTATCGTTCCAATTTTAGTATATGTGCTGCCGAACCGAGCACATGATCAGTGTTTTTAAAAGGCAGGTACCAAGGCAAAACAGAAACAATCAGGAAATACTGACACAGTCTTCCAAATCGATGGGGATCCTGTATATTTAAAATCAAACATAATTCTGCAAAATGCAACAGGCCATCCCAGGAAACACCGAGGGCTGAAATACCCTATGAATAACCCTTTGATGTAGCAGAACCACCTACTTGATTTCTCCTTAGCTGAACTCAGCACCCGAGGCACGTTTTCTCTGAAAAATGAATGGGCCTTCATTATGAAACGGATCTAAAAAAGAAGGGGAGAGGGAGAAAATCGATTAATGTAAACAATGATCTCCTACCCTTGTCTTCTCTCATACAAGCAGCTCCAGAACACTAGATTACAGTCACGATAAGGAATATTTTAATACTGCACATGCCAACTCAAGTTCACTTTTATGGAATAAAGCAAATGAAAAACCTCTGAAGAAAGTTGTGATACTGACGTACTATTCTGCATCTAACGGTGCTACCACAGGCATATTAGAAATAGAGAAATCAGAAGCCTATTGAAGGAAAGCCTCCTGTCACGGGCCTTTCCATCAGCCGAACACAGCACATGGACAGCCGACACAGGGAATCCGAAGGGGGTGCATGAACGAAATAAATTCCTTCTTTACATGGGAACGGCTATATGACGAAACAATGACTCATGCCATTTCAAAGGTTTTTAATTACAAAAATATTTTACAGCACAGGCAACTACTACAAAAAGTATTCAAGAACAAAATTTGAACTCATCCAGGAAAGTCCAACAAGATTTCGATTATGGGAAATCAGAGAACACAGAAGCTAGAACAAGTTTATGAGATGAACTAGTTTAACATTTTAATTTCAGACAATGGCAAAAGAACCAGATACAGGAATTTATCCAACTGAAACTACTAAAAAGAATAGAACCTCAGTATTATGCTTCAAATAATGACGGAATTGGTGTTGCTATACCAATCATTTTAACTGAGCACAGCACGGCACTGGGCAGTGTGCGGGACCTCACCTGTTCAAATATAATAATGCACCGGGAGGCGGGGGGCAGCTTATACGCCAACACAACGTATGTGGGCCCGCACCCTAGAACGGCAGACTGGAAGGCGACGAACAGCAAGCCGTGGAAGAAAGTGTGCATCACCGGGTGCGCGCTCTCCCTGTAGCTTCTGGCCCAGCGCTGGAAGATGAAATAGGGCACAGCAAGCACACTCAAGAACATGGCCGACCATGTGAACATGACCACGGGGAACTGGCCGAAAGCGTAAAATATAAGACTGAACTCAAGCACCAGCCTGGGGGGGAAGCACAGAGGAAAGACACAAAAGCACATTTTTTAAAGTATGCATTGACTCACAGATTTCAAAACTTTCAGGCCCAAAACTCAACTTTGGGAAACCCAGCACATTACTGTGCTGGACGGAGAATGGCCTGTGAGACTGCTTCCCAGCGTATTCCAACCAACTCTCTAGAAGCCCCAGGCTCACAGGTCTTTGAACATCACACGCCTAAGGTAACTAAAACGTTAAGACTTCGGACTTCTCAAAGGCTGGATTCTCACATCAGTACATTTTAAACTCTAAAATATTCTATGGTGAAGTTAGTATTTAAATTTAAAGTATTCAAATAGCAATCACTGTTAGGTACAAAAGATTTTTCAGAAGAAAATAGGTATAATTAAAAAATCTATTAATGTAACATTACCTCCAAATTTAATTTTCTAATAAGCATACAGTTCAGTGTATGATTACCACAGTCATTTTTTATAGTTATAATTTGATTTTTATATTAAAAAGAATTGTTTCTTAAATGTTAAATTCTAATAAGCTACTTATTTTTAGTACCAATCTGAAATGCATACCAAAGTAGAAAAATCGGTAAGTCCTGTATATAAAATTCTCCCATTTAGGAAAATTGTCTAGAAACTAATTATAGTCTCTTCAAATAGACCATTTAAAAAGTAGAAGTAATGAAACTTCTAATTTCCTTCTTAATTATATTTTTTTAAGAGAGAGGAACCTCAACCTCAAATCAGCTGCTTTGGAATTTTCTGAAGCAAATTTAACCCAATGACCTTCTACCGAAACGTCAACACAGTGAAAACTTCCAGCACCCTGTGAGTCCAGCAGCCCTCCATCCTCGTCTTACCTCCCTTCATCGATGTAATCTACCGCAAGGGTGCTGAGGGCAAAGAGAATGAGGAGGGCAATGAACATGTGATATATTGTTCTGATGTGGTCCACCTCGAACAGCTCACTGCAAATGCAGACACACCATATATTAAAGACGTTAAAGCGGTCCAGAAGACCCTTAATACACCCTTCAAAAACCTCTCAAATAGCAACCACAGAACAGAAAATCTGATGTGGAGACAGCAAATGACACCACCAAGGTAACCACATGGAAGAGCTCAGGACAGGGCCCTTTCCGAGACAATGATAACGCTTCTTTTGTGTGTTCTTGAAAACCTACCAGAAGCCTGTTTTCTGAGGTAGGCAAAAGGCCATTCACTGAAAACAGGGAACATGGAAACCATTTATTTTAAATGCTAAAAAACTTCTTTAAAAAATCCTATTCTTACATTCCACTCCATATCCATTTCCAAGATGTTAAGATTGCATTTATATAATATAGATGATAATCAACTACCATCCTACAAGTCTATACAAATGCTTTTACAATCTTCTTTGATCTTTTCTTTAAAAAGGATTTTATTTATTTATTTATTTATTTATTTATTTATTTTTAGAAAGAGGGGAAAGGAGGGAGAAAGAGAGGGAGAGAAACATCGATGTGTGGTTGTCTCTTGCACTTCCCCAACCAAGAACCTGGCCAGCAACCCAAGCATGTGCCCTGCCTGGGATTCGAACCAGCAATTCTTTTGTTCACAGGCCGGTGGCACTCAATCCACTGAGCTACACCAGTCAGGGTTATACAATGCATTTTAAAAGAAAAGCACATTAATCACTTAAGAGTCACCAGCCAACTATTTCAGGTGACCCACACTGATGCATGTTAAATTACAGCAGTATTCCAATGGAATGAATGAATGAAGAATCTACTTATAGAACATTACAGAAGAAGTATTAATTACATACTCAAAGTGCACCCACCTTTCATTTTCAGTTCACAAATGATGTCGCCACAATTAATTTCCATTGCCTGATTTTTTAAATAAATCCCACACAATAAGGGTTTAAAATAACTACTAAGTCTGATAGAACTATCAAGTCTCTAAGCTGGCTAGCCAAAGAATAAATTAAAAAATGAATGTATCAAGCCCTGGCAGGTGTGGCTCAGTTGGTTGGAGCATCGCTCCGCTCCATCAACTGAAAGGCTACAGATTCAACTCCTGGTCAGGGCACACACCTACGTTGCGGGTTCTGTCCTGGTTGAGGCACATGCGAGAGGAAACCAGTCGATGTTTCTCACGCTGATGTTTCTCTTCCTCTTTCTCCCTCCCTTCACCCCTCCCCAAGCATATCCTCCAGTGAGAATTTTTTTTAAATTAAAATTAAAAAATCAATATACAAGAAGGCAGCAACAGCAAAACTCTCTTGATGTGGTTTACCTAAATAGAAAACTTTGTTCTAGTGCTTTGAGTAACCAGTTCTCTGCAGCACAACGTCAAGGAATTTACCAAAGGGCAGAGAATCATTCCAATTCCTAATGGCTCCTGTAAACTAGCTGCAGAGTCAGGGGATCAAAAAGAAAGAGCAAGAGACACAGTGAAGTATGGAAACCAGTGATTCCTATGAATATAGACAGAACAAAGTAATTAAATATGCACAGATTAAGCAGTGATTCCAACAGAGAATAGTGTTTTTAAATTCAAACTAATAATTAACAAAAGCACAAAAAATACTTACTCTAAGAGGGATCGCCTTGAAATAAAAATCTTTCCATGTTCTGGAGGTGCTCTCAGATCTCTGGGAAGAGCAAAAATTAAAACAAAATCTAAGTACTTTAAGTGTTGTAAGAAATTAAACCTAAGAATGAGAAAAAGAGTATCACCAACTACAGCAGGTACAATTAATTAACTGCCTGTCCCAGGAGTCAGTCACTAGGATCACCATTCTACACATTACCTCATTTGCCCCCTCTGAACCGTGCGGACGAGGGCAGAGGACCACCCGGGGAGGGGCATGAGCTGTGAGGCACAGCTAAGAGGCTTGAGTTCCTGACGTCACACAGACATGCACTCTTGCTTCTCCCCCTAAGGACACAGATGAGCCCCTGGCCATACTTATTCCAGTTAACACACACACAGTTACTGATCTGTCCTCAAAAACGCACTGATATTTATGATACCCTCTCCGATGTCAAAGGACTTCTGACAATCCCCAACAACCTCCTGACCTTAAAGGCTGCCTCCAGCTCCTGAAATCTGTTAGCATCTAGCATGGTCATGTTCTCTGGGGCCTTCTGCAGTACCACGGGCACTTCCGTTGACTGTGCCTGGTTAGAACTGTCCTCCAGGACGGGTGGGACAGAGACCACCGAAGCAGAAAGCCACGGAAAGCACAGGATGGCAAACCAGCACACACTGGCCTTCAACAGCCTTCCCTCCATGCTCTGGATGACTGACCAATTAGAAGAATACAGACTAATGCACTTTATTAACAAGGATCACAGAGAGTGCAACTGAGACGCAGTGTCACGCTGTGGTGAAGAGCAGGGACTCAGGGGCTCTGGCTTCAAATCCCCACTGTGGAACGCTGGACAAAACTGCACTGCTCTGTGCTCCAGGTTCCTCATCTGTAATAGGCAGAGTCATAGTGCCCACCTCACAGGGTCACTGTTCCGTTTAAATGAAAAGCGCCGAAGTTCCAGCAGAGTCTGAAGTATGCACATTTGTTACAATCCATATATTAAGATGAAGAAAGCCGCCCTTCCGGTGGTCAGATAATTTGCCCAAAGCCACACTCAGCTAATGACAAGGGGCGCCAGGGTGTGGGCCCAGGTCCCCCTACCGCCGTCCGCACCCTGACTGCTGCGCTGGACTACAGCAGGAGGCTCCTGCATTGAAAGAAACTTGCTCGCGCACACTTACTTAGCTCTGTAGTTGTTCTCTCCCTCCAGGACAGAAAAGGTCGTGAGAGCGCATCCACCACTGTCCAACGATGCTGATTTTTCAATGAGATTGGTCACAAAATCGTCAAAGTGAGTGCCAACTTCCTTCATAAAATATGGCTTTAACTCCTAAAGTTGTAAAACAAACATTAAAACTAACACGTGCTTACGGGTTATTAACATTTTTCTCAAGGGTTCTCTTAAAGAGAGCTGAATTAAAGAAATCCATTTGAGGTGAGTGCGCAGGAGAAGAGAAAAATGATTTCTGTCTCTTTTAAAATACCATTTTAAGCATAAATCAAGATAATAAAGTAATCTCCTACTAAAGGAACTACAAATAATAGACAAAACCAAAACGACAGAAAGGACAAAGATGACAGTCTACTTTTTTTTTCCTCTTCAAAGTTTTATCCGGAAAATAACAGAAAGTAAAAATCAGTATGAGTATTATTTTAGGTCCCCCTTCTCCTCCAGCACCCCCTTCACCCAAGTACCCACTGTTTATATTTCAGATCATGTCATTTCTGTACATTACCAACATTTACATAATGTTCCTTCCTACCTCCACAGCTGTACGTTTACCTAACTCTAAGTATATTTTCATAATATAAAATTCTTATATATTTTCATCCCAGACTATTTTTAACATACAGTTTTTGAAAATTGTATGAAGCAAAACCAACATTTCTTTGGATTATAACAGGCTACCTGCTGTAGATGCTCAGATTATAAATGTTGCTATTTTTAAACTGGCAGGACTCATCTACATAAAAGAAAACAAAGTGTTACTTACTAATTCTTCAATGAAAAAATTCCTCTTTCCTTTAAGTAAATTACTTAGGCTAAACCGAAACTATCTGAAGTAGCGTTTTCTATGTTCTATTATAAGAGTTTCACCATGACCTTTAAAAATAAAGCCAAAAAATATCAATGTGTCTAATGATCCTATATACGAGGCCTTTCAAACTGCTGTCTCTCATAGTTCCCAAATGCCTTTGGGGGCCAGGGAGAATACACTAAGGTCCCACCTGTCACCAGACAGCCGAGACGGAGATGGGAAATACAAGACGTGCACCAATAAGTAACAAACAGGAGTTTCACAGCGCAATGCAACCACCAGTGACACTTAAACAACATACAGCAGTTCGGCCAACAAAGATACAAGGATGAGATGGTTGGAAATGTCTTTCTGAGCTGGGAATGGAGCTGAAACCTTGAAGAGCAGGACTTAATTTTAAGTGAAAAGTGGCAGAAGGAGACAGTATGATAAAAAGCAGAGAGAAGCAAAGTAGAAGTCAAACCAGAAAACGTAAATGTTGTAGTCTGGTTTTAAGGACGAAATACAGGAGTATGCTCCCTGAAAGAAAAATGGTTCTTATAAAATCATTTAAAAAAATAAATAAAATTATTTTTTCAGATTAAGGTTCTCTAATAGTACTTCATTTTCATTCCTGTTTGTTCCATTTCAATTATACGCCCCTCTTCATTCCGAAATTTTCAATAGGATGTTTCCCTAACCAAAACACAACTACCCCCAACCCCTGCAAAATGACATAAGAAAAAAGGTTCTCTTCTCATTGAATCTCTAGATGTGGACTGGGTAACACACAAAGGGCTTTTCCCAGCTACAAAAATGCCCCCGTGGGGAAGTACACTAGAAGAGAAGGGAGAGAACGTGTCCGTCCCACCGAGGGCTGGACGCTGAAGACTGCTCTGGGCACAGGAGGCACCACAAGGCACAGAGTCGAGTCCCTGTGCGCCCTGGTTTACAGGACAACAAAGCAGGCCAGGTGGTGTTATGCAAAGAAATTGCGGGGGGGGGGGGGAGTATTTCTCATGGAGAGGGTAGGGCAAGCCTGAAGATGAGATGACAGTGACGATGCGAAGGGGTTAAGTGGGCCAAAGTCGGTGGATCTCTGTGGCAAAGAACGAGGAAGAGAGCGGCAAGGGTGTACAGAGCCCCGAGGCAGGAACCCCCTTGGCATGTGCCATAAATAGCCACAAGCGGGACTCCACGGCTGAAGCAAGGGGGTGATAAGAAGGGAGCTCGGGAAAGAACCGGAGGTGGCAGGAGCGTGTCTAAACCACGTAAGCTCTTAACACTTCACCCCTTACTCCTACCCATCAGCCCACTGACGCTTCTTATGAATTGTACCCATTTCTTGTCTCCTCCCTCCTGTTCCTTTCAGTTCCCCTCCCACTCTAGAATGCCTACCTTTTCTTCTCTTACAGCCCCCCACAAACGAGGGTATACCTTGTTATCCCAACTCACGGTCGGTTCTCGGGGACTGAACCGATTCGGATCCCAAGGGGCACTTCCATTCCCCAGCACCTGTGCTGGGGAACAAGCCACACGCAGCCTGCCCTCCCAGAGCTCACTGTCTACCAATGAGGAAAGACATAACTCATTGCCTGTGTGGCGAATGCCACACAGAACAGCTGACAGTGACAGGAGAACCAAATGAGAAAGCAGAAAAATAAAAACCACAGGCATCTCAACAGCACAAGGACTAGAACAAGGGGGTAACAGATGTCTCCTTGGTGAGTTTCTCTCACAACCTCCCTCCCCATTCTCTGGCTCCAACCTCTGATGCGGCAGACAGCGAGGAACACTGCTTGGGTCTGCTGAGCTCCAAGGTCCCTATCTAAGTACTAATCCCTGTCCTTTTCTCCTGCAGTGGAAGTTATAGGTGAGTAGTCCATAGATTCGTACTTGAGCTAGTACAATAATAAGGAAAAGGATGTTTTTAGTACTAATAATAAAGAAGTAAAAGAAACAACGAGTTTTCAGCCAGGCAGACCTGGGTTCAAATTCTGCCTCCACCCTTGCGTGGCCTGAGGCAAGCTATTCGCTCGTCTGAGCAGTTACATGTGCACAGAATTGAGATGAATAACATCTAACTCACTAGACTGTTGTGTGAACTTTAAAAAAAGCCCAAAACAAACAAAAAAAATGCTGCAAGACACACAGCACAGTTATCACTACAGATACTTGTGGCTCCAACTCCTCCCCGCCCAGTCGGAGCTGGCCTCTAACAAAAGAAACAAAATAATGTCCAATAAAACAGCAGTGGGAGCCAATTGTCATTCAGTGCCATTAATATTAAAAGGTAACTACTTAAACCCGCCACATTCCTGTACATAGCACAACACTAACTAGGTGCCTGACACTCCTTTTTTAACGCCTCCTTCCTTCTCTGAGGAATTTGGGTGCTGGTGGGAGACGAGGAAGGGCACTGCTGGGGCCCCTGGAAGTTTCCTTGGCCGCCTCCTCCCACGGATCCAAACACTGATGAAAACTGGGAGGGGAAATGGAAAAGGCAACACAGGAAACGCTCCCTCTGCCCCCTTCTGAGTCCTTCTACAATATCAAACTGGCCTTGATTAGAAACTCAAAATGTGATCACAGTAAATCTGAGTAATGTCTCATCTTTATCAGTAACCTGACGAGGAGGTAGAAAGTGACGGCTTTCCAATTGGCTCATCTTCCCAATCTCACCTCTGTTCATTTCACCCAGCCCAAGGCAGATGGACAGAAGGACAACAGAAGAAAGATGGCAAGCAGTTACCTAGAAACTAGAAAAACCAGTGCTTAATCTATTAAACAGAATTATTATATTTTAGAACTCAAAGAAATACCATTTTTAAAATAAGTAGCCAAAATGGATAATTTCTCAGATTCTGGGAACAGGGAACCACCACCATGAAGCGAAGACCCTCTGGCTGGGACACACAGTGAAGTCTCGCCTGGGGACCCGAGATGAAGCCAGACACAGGGTCGTGGGAGTAGATCGTGATGGACCTTTAAGTCATTTTAGTAAGTTTTCATTTTATCTTAAGGGCAACTGGGAACCTCCGTTTTAATAAACTCAAGGTTTATAAACATGTTCAGACTTTTAGAAAGATAAGTCTTCCACAAAGGGTTCCAAGCAGAGGTTATTTTGGAATGAATCTTAAAATAAGAAAAGAGCAGGGTCACTCACGGATAGATAAAAACAAGCCTTTCAAAGGCATCAAGGCGTGAAAAAGACTGGAAAGTAGGCTGACAGAAACACACGGTGAGACACAGCCCGGCTCCACACGGTCGGACTGCAGGCCGTGAATCACTTGTTTCTCTGAGTCACTGCCTGGCTCTGCACAGAGAAGCCTCTAACCTCGTAGTGGCTCGGAGCCAGAAACTTGAACTTTTGGGGCAACAAAGGCAACGGAATGGGTAACGACACAGTGTGTGAGCCTGACACTAAACTGACTCCCCCAGAGAGGCCTCTCTCTGACAAATCACCCCGCCGAAGACACTGTGCCTTACTCTTCCCCTTCAGTGCACTTAAAACGATTCCAATTTCTATGTATCTCTATTTTTTGGTGTCTTAAAGTCTGCCTCCCCCACCTGACTTCAAACACCATGTCTGTTTGCTAATCACTGTATACCCAGCTCTCTGCAAAGCACCTGGAAAGACTGTGGGTGTTAAACATATTTCCAAACAGCTTTTGAAACCAACCCCTGGCCCCTATACTCCTATCCACACCACTGAGGGGCTTATTCAGTGTCTATTATAAAGCAGAAAGGAGTCATCTTAAAAAACCACCCAGCTCTGATTTCTTTCTAGAAGCTATGAAAGGAAAGGAACTAAAATCCACTTGTTTTTATTATTGGTAATGGCTATTATTTATTGAATGGCTGCTATATGCTAGATGCTGTCTTGGGGGCTTTTATATATTAGTTTTAGTCTTCAGAGAACCTTTGAAGTAGACAATATAATTCCTCTTACCTATGGGAGATCTAGGCTTGAATAAGTCAAGTGAAGTGACCTGCCCAAGGTCACAGAACTTGTAAACTATACAACCAGGATCAGAACCCTGACCTACATTACATTCACATTTATTGTTCACATTACATTACACTGTTTTCCAGTGGAAATATTTTCTACATAATTAGCACCATAAGGAGAAGAGCAAACCCCTGCCCCCAAAGTTAATGATATACATGTAGCCTGAAAATGGCAGGTTATCCCATAAAAGGTTAAGGTGTTATTTAGCTTAGTTTTTTTCCAAACATCTCATTTGAAAGAATCGATACAGAAGAGGTTTACAGTCCTAAATAGTGCACGGTAACCAGCTCTTCCATACTGAAAAGAAAAAACTTGTTTGGCAATAAGTCTTAAGATAATTATTGTACCATCCTTAAGAGAGGAAGCCAAAGTTTCAAGATAAAGCAAAAACTAATGAGATTAGAGCTCTGAATTATATAAAAATCCCTTTTTATTTAAAATAAAATTCATACTGGCTGTCTCCCAATTCAAATTAGACTACAACAATTTTATCAGTCTAATGAGTTGAAACACATTTATCTTAATCTTCTTAGGTAGATTAACTATGCAAATAGCTTCCTATACTGCTTCCCATCATCTTTACCCACCCCCTTCACTTCTTTATGAGTCACCATTCAACACAGACACCAGAAAGTCCTTATTCCTAGCAGTTAACAAATACTAAGACTTTCTGGGCAGAAAATATTTAGACTTCTCTCTCCAGGAGTCTGCCAGTAAATCAAATAGACTGACACTGTCCAAAAACGCTTTTAGCAGAGATTACGAGAGTGAGTGACAAGCCGTGAGAGGAAGTCCTCACTTGCAGACAGGCCGTCAGCGTCTGACTCATTACGGTTTCTGCATTTATCGGTTGGGCAACAGCATACTACATCAAGGCGAGAAACAATGCTTGAAATGCTGTATGAGAAGCGAACGAAGTATGTGGCAACAAATATGTATTTTTAAGAAGTAGAAATAGGAGTGGTTCATCCTTTAGAATTTCACATTATACCTAACATTTCCTCCATAAAACTGTGCACATTCATAAAAGTTCTACAAATACTGGTAAGAAAGACTCTCCCTCTTCTCTTCCCCCCACTGCCACTTTTCTCTGGCAACGGTGTGAGCCCTGCCCTTCCCACACATGCCCAGTTCGCCTGCTCACAACCTGACACGCCGAGGAGCTTGGGCAGGGGGGCTGGAGGCCTCGTTAACCGAAGGATTCAGAACTATCTCAACTCCTGCTCCTCAAGTCCTTTCCCTTTCCAAAGTGTGAGTGCCCAGCTTCTCCCAGGATTCTGAGACACAGTAATACCAAATATGCTTCACTAAGCCAAAGTGAGTTTCTGTTATTTGCAACCAAAAGAAAAAACTGAAATAACCTAATGTTAAAACACAGCTGATTTACCTATTAACGTAAGTTGGTTGGGACTTAATCATGAGAAATGACTCCCTTGGACTGTTCCAAGGTCTTTTAAGTCTTATTACAACACAATTCTAAGGATTTCACAAGGTCATGGCGCAGGATTACACAACATCCTGTGACCCCAACTAGCACTGGGGCTTTCGCTAATTCAGTACTTGAAACACTTTCATGAAAGCATTTAGACCAGGAGTGACCTTCAGAGATTCCAGGAGTTTAACCCCCTGATCTCGGCCCACTGATGGCACAGCCTCTCTGCCTGCTCTTCCCCTGGGACTAAAGAGCCTGCCAGCTGCCTGACAACCTTCCTCACAGCTCTGCATGCGTGGAGCTCCTCTAGCTACGCACCGAAATTCTCAGTTCTCTGGAGGCTGCCAGATTTAGCACATAAAAATACGAGCATGCCCAGTTAAATTCAATAAACAACAAATAACTTTTTTAGTCTGCCTTGAACACTGACTGCAAAGACTAACAAGCTGTTGTCTGCTTATCTGAACTCACACGTAAGCTAGGCACACTGTACTTGACCTCACAACTCCTGTCCTGCGGGGCTGAAAGAGCACCCCCGGAAGACCTACAGACTGCCCATTCCCTTCCCAACGGGAAGCAGTGCGCTAGCAGCTGAAGAGTACGTCAGCTGCGCAATTACGACACAGACAGCTGGGCCAGTATCCTCACTTTAGAAATTAGGGGGAGACTGTCCAGTGAAGATGAGTGACAAGTGGGCTACCAGGAGAACCCATCACAATTAGAGCAGCGATTTTCAACCGGTGTGGGGCAGGAACTTTTAAAGCATGCAATTCCTGACTGCTTAGTTAGGGGTACCATCCCTTAGACTGTCAAATTAAAAAATGACAACAGTCAACACAACAATAGCCACCCAATATGAATGAATCAAAATTACACCTTTTTGTCAGATAGTAAGCAAAACTATGCATTTTCCGGCGTGCCACAGATTGTTAGTAATCAGTTTATGTGTGCCGTGAGATGAAAAGGTTCAAAGCCATGGATCAGGGGTTTGGAACTTCCACTCCCACCCTGCAAAACCCAGGAGGCCCCAGCTTAGTTCTGAGAGTTCCAGGAACACATGCTCCGGCCCACCAGGCCCCAGGCTGCCTGCCTGGGGAAAGATCCTCTCTTTGCTCAGGCCCTCTCCCTAAGGCTCTCTTCATCTGGCTGACTCTTATCCTTTGTAATAAATCGGTAATCTAGTGAGTAAACAGGTTTTCCTGAGTTCTGCAAGCCATTCTGGCAAATTCATCAGCTCCAAGGAGTCTGATTTAGAGCCAGTGGGTGAGATGTACAGATGACTATCTGAACCGGTAACTAGCATTGAGCTGGAGGGGGTCGTTGGAACCTCCAATCTGCAGCCAGATGTCAGAAGCACAAGTAACCTAGGCTTGCTTTGAGGTTACCTGGAAGGGGAAGGCAATCCTGTGGGACTAAGCCCCTTTTTACCTGCAGAATTGGGTTTTTATCTCCAGGTGGACAGTATCAGAATTCAGTTGAATTCTTGGGACAGCACCCTCGCTGGCATCTGAGAATCGCTTGTTGGTGTGGAGGGAACCCACATCCTCATGTTACAATTGGGTCCAAGAGCCCCATTCAAATAGGATGCTGAAAATATCTAAACCTGTTATTCCAAATAAATGCATTTGTGCGTGCATGTACATACAACTAAATTAATAGATAGAAACAGGGCTATTTCATCTACAACATTAGGTATGTAGAGATTCACGTTGGCCAATAAATTCCAGAAGTTATATTCTCAGGGCAAAACAGAGGCTGCCTCGGATGTAAAGTCAACTTACCTTCAAGCACAAAGAGTATTAGATTATATTTTTAAAAATAGCTCTGTGTCCTCCAGCATTTCCTGGGGGTGCCGCTCAACTCTGACCTGCAGAGCTGTCCGCCTGGCCCAAAACGGCCCCCGCTGTTGATTTTGAGTTGATATTTCTTCCACCTTCCTGACACATTGTTTCTAGATTCAGATTCCACTGGAAGCCTATTATTTCTATGACCCTTGCTACTTTCACAAAGCACTTAGACATTCGCACAGAAATTGAACTCTGATATGGTTCACTAAAACCAAGTTTTGCTGGTAAAAGTCAGGAAAGTGACAGTGATGGATGGGAGAGCAGAGAAAAGGGCAAGCTGGTCCTTAGGTGGAGGGACAAGGTGGCAGACCTTACGTTCCTGTTCCACAGCAGGACGACGTCAGCTCACAAGAAGGGCAATTAATTACCCGAGCAATTCAGCATTAAGGATGTACTGCACACAACTCTTCACCCTAACCCTCTATGTTTCTGTTTCTGGAAGAGGGAGGAACTTACCTCTGCCTCTGCAGTCAACTGTTTCTTCTTTGCTATCAACTGCTTGATGTCGACCCTGCCTAAAGAAGAAAAATGTAACTGTTAGGCTGATGGAGACACAGCCATCCAGCACCACTGTTTAAACCATGAAGCTGAAAGACAAACAGGCACAAATGGATGGTTGTGAAAAGTGCAGTACAACCACAAAGGCTGACAGCTCTTAAAAAATAAAGCATGGGTAAGATACATAGAAAGAAATTTATACAAAAAAATGCTAAGTGGAAAAAACAAGACTTCTTTCTATATAGGTACGCACAGTAAGTACAACTGTATTAATCATATGCTACGATAAGACACAATTCTGACAGCATGGGAAATCAGATTCTCCGAATGGATCCTGCAACGGTGACTAACAAAACTCACAAGCAATATTAAAGAAATAGACAAATTGGACTTCAAAACTTTTAGAAAGACATTTTTGGCTGCAAAGAACAGGGCATCATAAAAAAAAAAGACAAGCTACAAAATCAGGAAAAAAAACATTTGCAAATCTGATCAGGAACTCGTATCCACAATATATAAAGAATTCTTACACCTCAATATAAAAAGACAAATATGCAATGTAAATATGGGCAAAGTATCTGAACATACATTTTTCTGAAACAGATATTCAAATAGCCAATCCCACATGACAAGATGCTCAACATGACGGGTCATCAGGGAAATGCACATCAAAGCCACAGGGAGACATCGCTTCCTACTCACTAGGACAGCTAGAACCACACACACATAACAAGTGTTGGCCACTGTGCATATTCAAATCATGGAATGTTGTGTGTCACTTGTATCAATTAAGTTGGTGGGGGGGGGACTTGTACATGCGAACTGGCCAGACATGGAGAAATTAAAACACTCCTCCTACATTACTGGTGGGAATATAAAATAATGCGGTGCTTTGAAAAACAGTCTGGAAGTTCCTCGAAAGGTTAATACTGATCCACTTCCCATCTTCGCTTTGTCACTAGCAATGCGCTCCCAGCCTGTTTCTATGGCTCTTCTCTTTCCGGGCTCACTATGGAATCCGAATTTCTAAGTCCTCGTCCTCGTTAAATCTGCTACAAATTTCAATGTTTACTAACTATCATGCACCACCTCATTTATTCTTTGTAACAACCCAGCAGATAAGCAGGCGAGTTGGTTTCATTTCTATTTTAAAAATGAAGAGACTAAGTCTTGCCCACAATCACATGCCCAGTAAGCAACTGAGCACTTGAAGGAAAACTAGGCGCCTGCTGGCCCCTAGTCACCCAACATTCACCAAAAAAAAGTTAAAAATAAAAATTAAAATAATCAAGGCCACTTACAGTGGCTAAATTCCTAAAGATGACTAAGGAGTACTAAGCAGTGACTAATAACCACCTTTTCATTTCAGTTCTTTTAAGAAATGTATTCTTTGTCTCCCTGTAACAAATACAGAATTAGCTCATGTTGTCACTACCAGGCTTTAACTGCCTAGAAGTTCAAACTCATCTTAAATTCCTGACCATTTTCTTTACACTCAGTGACTGTGCCTTAGACAGCCATCCCAGCCTCGTCCAGCCCTCCACGGATACCAGTAATCTAAAAAATCATGTGGAAGTCACCACTGTTGATTAGAGGGTGATCAGATTTAGAACAGTTATCAATCTCTAAAACAAAAAGGGAGATAACATAGCATAATCCACCTATCACCTTTTACTGCTCCACGGAGGTCAGAAAACCTCCCAGAATTCCCAGCTAATCACATCTGCACAACCATAGAGAAACGGGATCTGAACCAGAAACAATGGTCAGTATACAAGTATTCATACAGAAAAGGAGATTTATTAGATAATGGTGAAACGACTGGCTAGCCATTTTGGAAAATTATAAAATTAAACCCCCAACTCACACATTATTCAAAATAAATTTTAGATGAATCAAGTATTTGAATCTAAAAAGACATAAGTAAAAAAATTAGTTTACCTTTTTCATTATCTTGGGTGATTTCTAAGCAAGACAGGATAGCTAAAAGCAGTAATACATGTGACTAGATAAAAAGTAAATGTGGCAAGTCACACCATAAGCAAAGTCAAAAGACAACCAGTTAAAAAATATTCACACTATCCATACATGACAGTCAAAGGATTAATTTCCTTAATATAGAAGAGCTCTTTAAAAAAAATTAAAGAAAAATAGCTACCAGATAGAGCACAAAAATGGGGAAAGAATATGAACTTTTAAAGGGCTTTTAAAGAAAAAACTACAAAGTCGATAAATAGATTAAAAAGTTCTCTACCTCAATTGACAAGAATAAATTCATGCTATGTGTTTCTTTACCCATCAAATTGCAAGTTTAAAAAGACTGGTAAGACATATTGGCAAGAGTATAGAGTAACAATATAGATGGGAATGTAAAGTGGTGTAACATTTTAAAACGTAAAATTAGTAATATCTAGCCCTGGCTGGCGTGGCTCAATAGATTGAGCACCGGCCTGCAAACCAAGGGGTTGTCATTTAGACTGCCAGGCAGGGCACATACCTAGGTTGCTCCCCAGGTCCCCAGTAGGGGGCACACGAGAGGCAACTACACATTGATGTTTCTCTCCCTTTCTCCCTTCCGCTCTCTAAAAATAAATAAATCTTTAAAAAAATTAGTAATGTCTAAATTTTAAGTGCAAAAACTCTTTGACCCAACAATTTCACCTTTAAAAATGGACCGTACAAGTGCACTAGCAGAGGCAAGCAATGGCACCGTTTCAGAGGTGTTCTCTGCAGCAGTGTCGGAACACTGAAACCCTGGAAAACACCTAAATGCCCACCGATGAGGGATGAGTTAAACAAACTACCAACCACCGGGCAACAAAACCACTACACAGATCCTTCTAAATGAACGACACCTACATATACACATACGGAATGAAAAAGATGTCTAAGATTTTCCAAGTTTGGAAAAGGAAATTGCAGAAAATATCCCAAACATAATCCTACATATGGGGGGGAAATAACTATGATTACTTAAAAGGAAAATTATTACTTTATGACTTTCTACAGTGTTTGCATTTTAAAATAAATATATAGTATCTTCAATTAAAAAGTGTATAAGCATATTCAGCAGTTTGTTTTAATGGAACCAAAATATCTTGTATTTCTTGAATGAGGACTAGCAGAAGAAGAAATAGCCCCATTTAGCATGAAGACAACGGATTGAGATTTTAAAGGGGTATTATGCGTAATCTACAAAAACAATAAATGGAAATACCAATCACAATTGGTCTATAACTTTAAATTCTCAATCTCCCCTTTTTAAAAATCCTTACCCAAGGATGTTTATGAATTTTAGAGAGAGAGGGATGGGGAGAGAGAAACACTGATTCGAGAGAGAAATTGTCAGTCGCCTCCGGTTCACAACCAACCAGGGATCAAAATCACAACCTTCCGAAGTAGGGGACGATGCTCCAACCGAGTCACCCAGCCAGGGCTGGTCTATAACCTTTTTAAGGCTATGAACAGATTTTAATTATATAATCTAAGTAATCCCAGGAACTGTATTACTCAAGCAGAGTTAACTTTGGTTTATTTTTCTTTTACCACTACGCCTGAATCAACTGTGTGGGCTGCCCACACTACACGCAACGAGGGAATTAGCCTTAGTGCCATTAAACTTTTACAATATCATGTGATCTTATTTTAAAATCAAGAGGTAATTTTTGGTAGAAACAGTAAAAGATTTCATGTAGATTATAACTCTTAGTTGACTTATTTTACAGCAGATGACTGTAAAGCTACCTTAGGATCTGGGATGGAAGAAGAGCTGCCGGCACCATCAATGAGAAGGTAGGATAATACCTTAATGAACCTGGTGCTACATATATTGTAAACAGTGCTTTGGCATTTGCCCTCCTTTGTTTTGCAAGAGGAAATCTAAGCACGGACAGGTGGTAAGTCACCCGCGTGGGTATGCAGTCAGTCAGTCACTACATACTCGGTGAGACTTTAGGCCCTGTTTCTGACTTCCTCCTGGCCCGTACAATTTTGTCTTCCTATCCACCAAACAAACCCAAATCCACTGTACTTTTCCCCAGCAATCCTCTCTAAAAGCAACTCAACACCATACACATACTCTACAAAGGCCAGACTCAAATTCTCCTCCTCTGTGACTCTTCCTGACATTCTGCAGCAAGGTACCCCTCACCCTGTGGGTCTCCTGTTCCATTCAGTTACTGTAATTCGCTTACCTTTAACTACGGTTTGTAACACAGAACTGTCTTCTGTGTTAGTGTCTCACTTATCTGAACTACTGGCAAAGCTGGCACACACACTGCCACAAAGGTGCTTACCAACACGGGGTTAAACTGTCCTCTGGAAGGCAGTGACCAGACTCCAACCTCGGGAATGCGTGCTGTGTAATTAAATGACAGCTAAGATCAACTCTTACTCTAAGAGCTTAGAATTCCAAGATTTAACTTTTGATAAAGTTAGTAAAACTAGACACCAGAATGCTCTTGATAAAACAAGGAAAATCAGATTAGAAAATTCAAGCTCTTCCCTCAAACATTTTACCTACACACATTTCTTGCAACTACATCTTAAAAAGCTGCCATAAAGTAGACTGCTCAGTATTTTCCCCATTAGAATATTGTTACAGTTTATGGTTATGTTCCTGCCCCAGGGCTGGGCAACAAGAAAGAATATCTCATTAGAAGCAAAACTTTAGAGACCACCTTTTCTTTCAAAATAGTCAGCTCATGCTTCATGCTCCATCATTTGAAACTGAATGTACCTTTTATGTCTGGACAAAATTATATGGGTAATTTTTAGCAATTCTCCTAAAAGGCAAATTTGCCTGAAATACATTACACCCGAGAAAAAAATAATCATTGACAATATTTTCTTGGCCCTCTTAGAATCTGAAACCTTCTTAGCATCATTCTTTTTCTTTAAAAAGTTTACGAAGCTGTCAAAGAAAGTATTAGCTAATATCTTGCATTTCTTTTAACTAATCTTCCTGTAAACACTCATATTCCATCTCATTCTTTTGACCTTAAAGCTATAAAAAGTA